TTGGGGTCGAAAGTCTGTGAATAGAACCTACTTTGGGCTATTTGGAGGTCCAGGGTAAGGCTTGAACCCCAAATCCTCGCAAGGATTTATTGTCCGGCGTTGGAGGTTGGGGATACTCGTTGTGCTGTGTCGGAAGGTCTAGATTCCGACCCTTGCAGGTTGAGTAGTTTCGCTGTCGGGTCAACGGGTTTGCATTTGGATTTGTCCGATTTGGAGGGTTGCAAGATAGGGCTTGCGGTGTGAGAACTTAGCGGAGCAGACTTGGCGTGGAATGGCTGTTGATGTCCGGCATTGCTGCTCCGGTGTGTTCCAAGCACTTTTCACTTTTTCACTCCAGTGTTGTTGCTCACACCGTGACGCATGAACCATGGTCTTCATGCCAGAAACGATCACTGTTTTCGCCAGATAAATAATGCACAAGCACAAGACGGCAAACAGCATCTACAGAACGGGAACAGCCGCAGCCTCGGCTCATGAGCATTCTCCTCTCCTGAAATTTAGGGGACTATCTCTATACATGCAGATATATATATATATGTATCATATATAGATATATATATATATATAGAATATACATAGATACAGATGTGGATATACACAGTCACCTCGTTTCAGTGTACAAGCAGGTTCAAAAGCCCCGGCTATGGGTCGGCACGTGCAGTCGTGCAGTCGTAGGGGAAGGGAGTCAAGCGATAAATGAAAGCCTACAGTAGCTGCTAGCATGTCGTCTTCGATGTAAGTGTCCCAGCTCGTTAATTTCTCGGTTGCCTCCGGATCTTAACCGAAATCCCGTAGCCACCCGCGATCTAGGAGAAGTTGAATGCTCTCCACGTCCCGGCTGTGCGAGAACTGCGGGAAGCAACTTGACTGCATTCTCTGCATGCTGCTGGTTGAGCGAGAGGCCCTGGAGGCAAGGCTCCAGCTGTGGCCAAAATCCAAAACACGCACCCTTCAACACCGCACTGCGTTCCAGCGCAGGCGTTGCGGCGGATAGCTGCGAGCTCTGCAAAGGCTGCACAGGGTTTCGCATTGGCCGCACTCCAAAGTCTAGCTGTTGGTTCCACTCAGTTTCTGCATTCTCGATTCTCGCGGGTAAACCATTAAGGACGAAGTATGATTTCAATTTCTTGAGCTTTCCGTGTTGGACTTCAAGAATTGTCGGGCGAGGCCTCAAGTGAAGCAGCGGACGACAGTTCACGAGACGGTGCTTCAGGGTTCAAGGATGCATACCTTAAGGCCCCACAGTAGTTCCTTTTTGGGGTTCATATTTAGGATCCTATAAGTAAGGTAATCCCAAAAAGGAACTACTTTGGGGCCTATGGGTAGGGTCTAATTTTTTTAAACTACTTAAACCCTCAAGCCCGCACCCTAGACCCTTAAAGGCTGAACCCCAAACCCTCTAGGACGGGCCTAACTCGCCAACCTTACCGTCTGTGTACGTTGTCGAACCCTTGTCGGCTCCTGTCAGCAACCACCCCAAAGCCCCCCGAAAGGAAACCTTAACCCTTGCAATAAGCCTCCCCTTTGAACGGAATTTCATTCTCAGTTTTTTTGGCCCCAACACACAACCCCTAAACCCACCTAGACCCTACAAATTATAGTAAGCCTGATGCCCTTGAGGCACCAGGGCACCCCTTTAAGGACCCTATGCTCAACCCTAAATTATTTTGTAATGACCTAAAACCCTAAACTCTACAGCCCTAAAGCCCTAAAGCCGAAGCCCGGCGACCCGACGCAACGAGGCGTTGCTGCTCGTGGCGGCTGGGCGCGGCTTCTGCGCAGGGGCAGATCTAAATCTCAGAGGCGGCTTGGGGGCTTCTGGCGTGTGGGTGGTTGTCAAAATTATGGTCCATTTTTGGGGTACCCTAAATATTAGGTGCCGTATTATAATACCTATAGTCTCCATTGTAGTTCCTTGTAGTTCCTTTTTTTGGTTAACCAAAATCTCTATGTTGGGGTCCTAACCATAAAACAGGATAACCAAAATATGGAGACTACAGGTAGGGACCCCAAAAGGGACCATAGTTTTGACAACCACCCATGTTGAGGGCTTCAGGGTTTCTAGGGTTTTGGGTGGCTTCAGGGTTTCTATTAAGATTGTGGGTTTCGTGGTGGGATTTGGGGAGCCAGGCTGCCATATATATATATATATATATCGAATGCATAGCAGATAAGTATCTAAATTAAAACCCGATGAATATGTATATACATATATATATATATATACATACATGTACATATATATATATGTGTGTGTGTGTGTGTGCGAGTGTACATAAATATTCATTTGTTTATATAGCGTTTAGGTGGTGGAGCTTCAGAGCCGTATGCCTTTGAGGGCGTGTGAGTGTTTTCGAAGCTTTTGATATTGGCGTCATGCGGGTTCGGGCCTCATGTTTATGGAACCTTGGTTTGTTTGGAGATGTTTGATTGGATAGGTCCCGTGTTTGGGCTTCATGACTGCTCACTCCAAGTTTAACTCCTGCACTTCGTCTCTATGAGGTATGCGCACCTTGCAGGTAAGCTTGTATGTAACGTACAACTGTTCTCTATCCAAGTACGTACTCTCAAAACCCTCATCTGCCCAATTTGAATCCCCAGTTCATGGGGGCTTATGCCCAAGCTACAATACCATTTTAGGCTTGTGCTGCCCCCAAATCCGAAATGCCAAGCACTACCGACGGCAAAACCGCCAAACAGCTCAAAAGCCTCGCCGCCCAGCCTTTTCGGATGCGCCCTCCGCGCCTTCGAAAGCTCCAGCCAAGCCCGACAACTCCATGCAGGAGGCGGCGGCGCATCCTTAGGGTTAAGGCCTAAGGTATAATGTAGGGGCCTAACTCATTACCTATACTATTTTGGGGGGTTCCTTATCCATTAAAGCAGCCTCAAAACCCTATTCTAATCATTAAGGCCCCTATATTAAGGGTATAATTAAGGGGGGATCAACATGCCTGAATCTGATATAATAGAGAGTGGGGAGAGGGAGAGAAGTCAGCAAGCAGGTAGTAAGTCAAGCTAGAAGTAGACTCAACGGGGCCCCTAAGCCCTACCTTAACCCTGAATAACCTACCCTTTTAGGGATCCTTACTATGATTTCTTTATATAAGTCCTTAGAAAGGTAGGTTCTTCGGGGTTAAGGTACACCCGAAACCCTAAGATACCCAAGCTATAAGTGCACTTAGAGCCCAGTTGCCAATCCCACTCAGCCTCCAATCAGTCCATAAGACCTTTCAAGACAACCTGAGCGGGGCTACTCTTGGTCTATGACAAAAGTGTGAGATCCCTAAACCCTAAACCCAAACCCTAAACTCTAAGTGTCATCAATGTTGTAATGAAGTTGTTTCAAGAGCTGTCCTGAGCCTTGAACCTGAGACCTTACCTAAACCCCTACAACCGTGTACGCCCGAACGTCTGGGTCGAAAGGACTTTAGGATGCGAGGCCTGGAGGATGGTGCGTTTGCAGATGCCAAAGGCTTCGAACAATCATCGATGACTGCCGAGAGACTCCAATATACCTAGTTAAGGAATATTCCTTAAATCATATTAGTCATCCTACCATAATTTAAGGAATATTCCTTAATTAAGGGACATTGGGGTCTCTGGGTGTCTTGTTGTTCTGCTTCGGGGGTGGGCTTTGGATTTAGGGGCGGTCTCGGGAGGTTTCGGTCTGTGCAGAGAGATAGGTTCCCAAATCCTAAGCCCTCTTTCTTCCTCTCTGGTTGTGCTCGAACCCAGCCTTAAGCCTGAATCAGGCGTGGAATCCCTTCATCGAGGACAGGTGTTGAAAACAGGGTCTGTACTAAAGGTGCTGTAGGGGCCGGAAGGAGCATCAGCGTAAGGATATCCCTGCAACGATGGGGCTTTCCCCTATGACACCGCCGGTAGCCTGCTTCAAAAGATGGCTTCGGCAGGAAGTGCGCTCCTTTTGCGGCGCCTGTTAGAGGAAACTCCCGCGAAGATGTCGCAAAGCTTCTCGCGACCTTCCCCCCTCCACCTCCCTGCCCCATCCAATCATATACAGCTTCTAGGAGCTACGCGGATTAAGGTGTTCAGAACCCTGAGCGTCCATGTACCCAAATAATATATATTTTGGCCCCAACTATATCTGGGTACATGGACCCTTACCTGTGGCCCCAAAAACCTACCTTTTTAAGGAACTATATATAGAAACCCTAATATGGAACCCTAAAAAGGTAATTAGGTCTTTTCTGGTACAGGCAGGGGAAATCTCTCTCCACTTCGTTTGGAGGAGCTGCGGAGCTTTCCGAAGCCGACGCTGGCTGTGGTACAGGGCCCTACGGCTGGAGGCCCTTAATTAGGGAATATACCTTAAATCATATAAGGGATCCTATTATAATTTGAGGTATATTCCTTAATTAAGGGGTTTTGGAGGCTCTGGGGGCCCTACGGCTGGAGGCTTTTGTCGTCCATTTGCCCCTGGCTTGTGCACTGAGATATTCTGTATGCCTGTAGACCTTTTGACCTACAGAGCTGTAGCTTAAGTCCTTTTCAAGGCTTTTCAATAGGTAGAGCGTTTATGGATGCGGCCCCTCTCCAAAGCGCTAAAGCCTCTGCTCACAGTCGACAGGTGGTGTCGGTGTAGCTCTAGCGACCGACATCACCATTGCCGCCCGCTCGGCGTACTTCGTGCTGACCTTCACGCCGACATTGGCCCTTTGACATCCGCAAGTCTGTTTTTTGTTGACCTTGAAGCCTACTTTGAGCTCAGTTTGGGGTTTAGGGTTTAGGGGCTTAAGGACTCTATAGGGCAGAGAGTTGATGAGAGCTATAATTATAATCTGTTACGTAGTCGGACGTCCAGGCCCCCTATGCGTCTGAATGATATCGGCTCAAGTGTCAGTTCGTTTGTCAAAGGCTCTTCTAGCCATGCAGTAGAACAACAACTGATTCTGATGAAGGGTGGAAGATCCTCAATCCGTACATCATGCATTGATTCGTCAATTCATGGGCTAGCAGCAGCCGTTCCTGATCTGGGCGCCATGGCACAGGAAGCGGAGGCAGACTCTGCAGAGAATGTGCCAAATCTTCTGGACAAGTTTGATGAGTCTCAAAGGAATGAAGCAGTTGGCCGACTGCTGAAGCTCGAGAACGAGGATACCTGGAACGAGCCTCTGGGGCCTTGTTACGTTACCGTAATAAGATGCAAGAGAGCATTGGCAAATGATGTGCATTCTTCATTTTGATATGTTAAAGGAAGCTTCCCCGTAAACAATGAACCCAGGCTTCTCAACAGGTTTGCCCGCACGCGTGGCGTCCCGCGGCAAGTCACTTTCAGATCTCTCACCGGAGAGGCTGTTGAGTTGACACTTCCACCGCAGCACACTCTCTTTCATGCCAAGCAGGCTCTGTTGGACAATGTTGCCAAGAAGATGCCAGCTCTAGAAGTCGGCTACCGCCGGGATGCACGGTTCTTTGCTGGAAGCGAGCTCCTTGACGAAAAGATGCTTGTGGCGATGCTGCCTGACGAGGTCTCTGTGGTGTTCGATCAAGAGGAGGAGGACGAGATCGAATTCGACCTCTTCCCTTTTACTACAGTTGCAGGAGAATATGACCTACAATAAAACTGAAAGTGTACACTTTTTGGGGCTTAAGAACTCAGCAACTAGGCTTCGGTTCGAAGAATCAGGATTGAAGGTCTCTGCTGTTTTGTGTACAGCTTTGGTTACGACCCGCTGGAGTCCGATGATGTGCCTCACCGTTGGTCTCGGCTGGCTCTGCCGCCTGACAACCAAGACCAAGACAGCAGAAGCCAAAGCCAGCGCGACTTGGATCTCGACACCAAAGCGCGCCGAAAGGTTGTAGTACAGAAGCCTGAGTTATTGCCGAAGGTATTCCCTACGGCTCCTTTGTAGATTTAGAACCTAGAATACACGGCCAGCAAATTTCGGAAGTCATAGCTACTTTCCTGAATCCACATACTGAATTTTTTCCAACCCTGCGTTTCATTGCCTCAGTCACCCCTGCACCTAATCTCCCTAACTTTCCATTGTATCTAATTTCATTGCGCTCGGCATTTGACCAGACGCTGGTTCCGACAGACGCCCAGGATGCCCAGTAGTGCCCTTATTTCCTTTTTGTAGTCCTAGGTTCCTTGTAAAGTTAGCGAATACCAAAAAGGGAGCCCTTTTTATTCCTAGGTTACTGGGCATCCTAGACTCATCTCAAACACCAAACAGCGAACCTTTGTCTGAGCTCAAGTTCAAGTTCACTGACCACGACGCGAAGCCTCAGACACTGCAGAGTAACGCCAGCCAAGGTCTACCCGATACTAAACTTACTAAGCACCCAAACCCCAAACGTCCAAACATCCAGCCCCTGAGCCCTTAAACCCTCAATCGCCGAACACCCAATCCGCAAGCATCCAAACCCCAAGAGCTAAACCCTTGAGAGTGAGTGCTAAAACCCTAGACACCCATCCCTGAACCCTTAATCTCTGAAGCCTTAATCCCCAAACCCTCAAGAGCCTAGACACCCTAAGCTCTACCTATAGTCTCCATTGTAGTTCCTTTTTTTGGTAAAACCAAATTTATATAGTAAGGATCCCAAAAGAAAACCCCCCAAAAAAGAACTAAAATGGAGACTATAGGTAAACCTCAAACCCTGAACACCAAACCCTAAACTCTAAAGCCTGAGATCCGAAACCCTAAAAAAATCAACTTAAACCACCCTATAAACCTCAAACCTTACCACAAACCCCAAGCACCCTAACCACCCAAAACGCGAAGCCCAGGGCATATGCCCAGATTTGGGCGTCACCTGGCAGTTGGTTCGAAGAATTGGAAGAGGTTGCGCCCTTGGCCTTCAGCTTTAGTGATTTGGGGATTAGGAGTTAAGGGTTCAGGGATTTAGGGTTTGCTAGGGTTCAGGGATTTTGGGCTATTTTGTGGCTTCGGGACCTTTGCTTCTGGATGCCATCAATTTTTCGAAGTTTGTTGTCGGGTTTATCGGCCTTGGGACTTGGGATGTGTAATGTCGCTTGTGGCTGCAACCCGTTCAGTCACGTTGGGAGTTTCCCAATATGAGGGGTACCTTATCTTGGGGTCCTTATAGTAATAAGGACCCTGGTACTACATTGGGTCCCCTATTTTCTGAAACCCCCATATGGGGTTTAGGGTAGGGCCAGCATCCCGAAACCTTAAAAAATCCCTGCCAGCTACGTACATCCCAAACCCTCAACTCGAATCTCACAGCTTTCGGTTCGTTTTGTTCTTGGCTTTCCGCTGCTTCCTCATTTCAGTTCTGCACCACTCATCGCACCTCCGGAGTGAGGTTTATACATATTGGTTTTCGGTGTAAAGGTTATAAATACACACACATGTATATATATATATATATATATAGAGAGAGGCATACGTACATGTTGTAATGGAAGGTAAGGTAGTGTAATGTACCGTAATATACTGAAATGTGATGTCTTGTAATGTAAGGTAGTATTATTCATTTTTGCATTTTTAATGTAGTAAGGTATTAGTGTAATAACGTGTTGACGTTGTCATGTGAAACCGTATCAGTGTATTAATGTATTATTGCGTTGCTGTATTAGTGTATTAATGTATTCTACTGTAATGTAATGTAACCGCTTGACCTGATCGAGTGCGAGCGGCAACAGATTCAATGTAGCGCAATGTAATGGTATGTAATTTAGTAATGTAACGTGATGTAATGTAATGCATGGTTGTATGTATGTACGGATGCATGTATGTGTATTTATATATATATATATATATACTTCTATATGACCTACTTCCCTTCTAAGGGGAGTGGAGCAGGAAGCATAGGTAGTAATTGTGCACCTCGTGGTTGGGGCTCCTTTTTGGGGCTTTAGGGGTTCATTCATGTTTTGTTGAGCTGTAGAGAACTATATAAGAGGATCATATTTCGGGTTCAAGGGTAGCGAGGGAGTTGCTGTCTTCTGGACGTACAAGGTTAGAGGCTTAATGTAACTTCGAGGTGTATGCAACGGGTTTGCCTGAAGCTTGAACCTTAAACCTCCAACCCTCTACCCTAATCATTAATCCCTGAACCCTCAATATCCCTCAATCCTCTACCTTCATCATTAATCCCTTAACCCTAATTCCTAAACCCAATCCCTAAGCCGTTTTGGCCGTTGGCGTTGATGTTCACAGTTGGACTGAAGCTTGGGGAGGCAAGGCGCTGCCTCTGGCGCTTCTTGGCGACAGGCACCCGAGCGGGGTTTAGGGTTTAGGGTTTAGGGGGATCACCGATTCCTGTTGCAGTATCTGCGGTCTTAGAAATTTAGCAAACTATTTGCTGAAGCGGTTTTAAAAACTTAGTAGAGCATTTCTAAGGCAAGGACGCGGCGTTAGAAGTAGGCGATCCCCAACGAGGGCAGTTAAAAGCCCCAAGACCCTAGTTGTCAAGTGCCGCGAGCCTCCAAACAGGCCTGTGGCCTTCTCGTCGGTCGTCGACCCATAGCACAGGGTGTGCGTGGTCTCGCAGACCGTCACTGGGAAGTTGTCGATTATCAGCTTGCGAAGAGCATGATGTCGTGTTCGAAAATGCTCTGAATACATGGGCGAGGGTTTACAGCTTTTAGGGCTAGGATTAGTTCGCAGACATAGCATCCAAGCCCCATGTACACCCCAAGACTACGCCTGAAACACTAGCCAACAGCCGTCAAGTCTACAGCCCTAGACCTTACCCTACACCATGAATTCCAAAACCAATCTCTGGAACGATAACCTTAAAAAGCGGCACTCTTCTCCTACAATCCCCTAAACGATCAGCCCTGATTCCTGTAACGCCCCATACATGTGGGCAGTGATTTGGGACGACTTTTGATTCTTCTTAAGACTTAATACAGAACCCTAACTACAATGAGTTTTGGTGACTACTGATATCTAGATACGCCTCGGAGGCTTCCGGCCATAGAGGCCGAAAAGTGTGGCCTGATTTGGGCCACGTATGCTGCTCGGCCCAGCTTGGAGGGTCTTGGGTCTAGTTATGTGGGGCTTAGAGTTGCCACGGTTGATGATCTAAATCCTGCATTAATTACTTTAATAAGGACCCTAGACTATGGGAATTCTGATATACTCCTTATTGTGGGTAATGCAGGATTTATATCATCAACCGTAGTTTTTAGGGCCAGATCTGTGGGTGTTTGGGTGTCAGTGGCGCGACTGTAAGGTTACATATACGCGAGGGGGATTTCTAGTACCGTCCTTTCTGCAACACGTGCAAAGTTTCGAGTCGGTCCATTTAGATCCATGACTCTGCAAAAACAGTCTCTGCTCCCAGCCGGACTTGGGCTTCTTTTGGGGTTTCCGGGGTTCGAGATCTGATCTTGGAATATAGGGGCCTTAATGATCCTTAATGCTTACATATATTGTTTTGGGGGTTCCTTATTATATTTATAGTATAATAGGCCCCAAAACCTTATTCTAATGTTTAGGGCCCCTATATTATACCTGTTCTTCAAGCTCAGGATGTCCTGATTAGAGCTTGCCAAAGACATGCTTAGCATCATGACGGGGATCAGGAGTAGGCACGGAGGCCTAAACCCTGCAGGCTCTGAACTCCAGAGTTTGTTCTCCTTCAACCCACCTTCTGCACCCGAAGCCCGGAACCTCTGAACCCCACTCTCGACCCGCTACAGCCTGCGATTGTAGAGTTCACGAGGTCAAGCTTTGGGGCCTAAGACAGTCTTAACCTTGAACCACAGCCCAAAGACCCTGCAAAGGAGGATGCAGAACTCCTCAAGCGTGCGCGAGACATGGCCCTGCGGCTGACCAAGCTGCCACATCAGGCCCCCGTTTAGGGATTGGGGGTGTGAAATTTCGGGTGTAGGGTTTAGGGGTCCGAAGTTGTAGGGTTTAGGGGTCCGAAGTTACACACATCGTCTTCCAATGGTTCTGACACTGAAAGCTTCTCTGCTGGGATGACGGAGACGATGCCGGGAAGACAAGATTTGCGAAGGGCTAGTGCGGTTATATAGATTATTGCTGCACGACTTGTATCCCGGACTCGCCAGTCCCCAGAATCACACTTCTTCTGAATCCCGAACCTTATGACCGCAAACCCTCAAACCTTAAACGCTGAACTTAAAGCCTACATATATGCTCCTTCCAGGAGAGAGGCGTCGTGTCGGTACTGGAGAGAACTGTAGGGCTAGCGGCTACGACGAGGCTCTCAGACACATCTAAGAGATTCAAGAGCGAAGTCATGTAAGGAGTGCTAGAACTTAAGGGTTAGGGCCACTAGAGTGGCTGTATTTTATGGGAGCCGCCGGCATCATCAGACTGAGAAAAGAGATCAACAAATTCACGATGCTCTTGTTTGAAAATGCGTCCACATCTGTCGGATGTACCCCTTGACAACATGGGAGGTTCCGAGGCACTTATCATCAGGATCCTACTATTTATGGTATTAGATTAGGGTCCCCCATTTTCGGAAGCCACCATATTGCAGCAATACCCTAAACCCTAAACCCCTTAACCCCTAAACCTCTAAATCCTCCGAGAGCGTAAACCCCTAAACCCTAAATCATGGTGACCCCTTTCCCATTCTACTTGGACTCGAGCTCCAGGTCTGCTCGACTGTGCTTGACATTCTCCTGTGTCGTACTTGGAGGATCATGGGACTTATTAAGTAGGGTTATAGGTACCTCAATTAAGGATATAAGTAGATATAACTAGGGAAACCTTACTTATAACCCTACTTACTAAGTCCCATGATCCTCTTAGAAGGCTTTCGGTACCCTCAAAGCAAAGGGAACCTTCAAAGAAGCCTCAAAGGGAACCCTTAAAGAACCCTCGAAGGGAACCCTTAACCCTAACCCCCCAACCCGAAAACTATTCTCCATTGTAGTTCCTTTTTTGCTTAACCAGTTTTATGGTTAGGATCCTATAGTGTAGTTTTTTGTTAACCAAAGAAAGGAACTACAATGGAGACTATAGGTATATATAATCCTTGCAATAGAACCCTTAAGCGAAGGCCGTCCGCCTGGTGCGCGATGCCGTGGATTCTGGCTCCACAAACTCCTTGCCTGCGCAGCTGGAGGCATTCGCAGGATTTTGCAACTACTTTTGCAGGTAGGGCTTTGGGACATTTTATACGTGCTCTTATTGGGCTTAAGAGGATCTTACCTACTAAGATTTTTCAAAGGCTTTAAGAGCACTTCTAGCCTAGCAATGGCTTCATGGCAGACGGTCTAGCATTTGGGTTCTTGGATTCTTGGAGCAATCAAATTTCGCTCATCGGGTTGGATTCTCGAGTTTGATGGCTGTTCTCTGGGAAGGTCAGATCCCCTTTTGGATAGGATCTCCTTATCGGGTACCTGGACCCTAAGGAACCTACCTTTTTAGGGTTCCTTATTATGGTTTCTATATATAATTCCTTAAAAAGGTAGGTCTTTTCGGCTGCAGGTAGTTTATGAATTCGTCAAAGGGCCTTTGGAACAGTCCACCACAGGCAGAGAACAGTGGAAGCCTCACAGCTCCACGACCCGAAAAGCGAAGCGCAGGCTGAAAGATTCAGGCCCAGTTCCGAAAACCCTAAACCCTAAACGCAGTTCATTCAAAACTTTTTTTCTCAAATCCAAAACCCTCAAGGCTTGACGGCCCCACACCCCAAACATCTGGGCATCCCCGTTTCCAAAAGTACATCCGAATGAAACCACACTGCGCCAAACCGTAAACCCTAAACCACTTCAGATGAGACTGTTGAATTCGTACAACACCCACATGCCAGGGCTTTGTGTGGGTTTACTGATTTTGGCATGGTTAGGACATGTATGGTTTGGCATGGCCCGCGGTCGATTCAAATTTGTTTGCAAATTGGTCACCTTATCAATTTCAATAGATCGCCGATATGAGTTCAATATGACCTAAGTATGGATATGGGTTCTTGGTCTCACTCTGGCCAGACGTAAAAGGACATGACATATCGAAGCCATACTGAAATTACTTTTCCATTGTTGACCTCATGCCAATTTGTTTTCGACAACAGTAGTGTCATCGAATATCACAATAACAAGCCAACCTTGTTAAAGCCACATTGTACCGTACTAATGATTCCAATTAGTTGCACACAGCGTTCATACTTTCCTCCGTTTCCGTTTCCCAACGAACAAGCTAAGTATTTGAACCATGCTGTTTGCATTAAACGAATATTCGACAACATGGTCTCGTCGGAGGCTACGCTAAACCCCTGTGCCCTAAAGCTAAGCCCATGAGCGCTGAACCCTAAACCCAATCCCTAAACCACTATCTCGACGCTCACAGGTGGAACGCCTTGCTCAGGCGAAGTGCCTTGGAGCTAACATGTGGGACTGCATAGACTGTTTTTTCTATTTTAGGGCTTCATGGCTTCAGAGGTGTAGGGTTTGGGGTTATGGGTTTCTGGTGGTTGCTGAGGGATTGAGCAGGGTTCCGGTATACACTACTGCAGGCTTTCACAAAGGGTTTTCGACTTCGGCGCGTTTAGGGTTTGTCTCATGACCTGTTTGGGAGGTCAAGGGTTCAGGATTCAGGGAAACTAGGGTGTGGAGTAGGTGTTAGAAGGCGTCTGGGCTTGAGAGCGGTGCTTGTCTTTTGGGCTGTGAGATTTAATTTATCTTAAAGGGTCGGTTTTTAGCATTGGGTGCTTCTGATCCTCCACAGCGCGAACGACGACACATGGGGTTTAGGGTTAGGTTAAGGGTTTAGGCCTGGAGGTATGTTCTGTTTTTCAGAGTGCAAAGACCGCTAACTATGGTGCTCAAGACCGAATCTGCTACAGGGGTCGCAGTGATTACTATCAATTACCACCCCCCTCAAAGACCAGAAAACAGTTATACTAGAGTGTACCCCAAACCCCTGTTCGAATTAGATCTAACTACTGAATGCTTCTATTCCTTAAACCCTGGTAGCAAGCTCAGCTGGCACGAAGCCGTGCGTGCCCAGAGCGAGCGTGTGAGTCAACACCCTTATAGTACAGACTTGTATATCAGCGCGGGTCTCGAGTCTACGGACAATTCTGTAACCCGAACCCAACCTCCTCAAGAAAGACGTTCATTGCTTTCCAGGGTCGTAAGTCCCTATAAGGCCCTAAAACCTAAACCGCGCAACGATTAAAGCACAAAAACACCCTAAAGACACCTGCACTGCAAGGCTCTTCCAGGATCCCGACTCCAAACGCCTGATGGCAGCGAGAAGCAAGACTTTCCAGAAGTCCAAGCCCAAACCAGCGGCAAAGTTGTGAGGGTTCAGGGTCTTTGCCGTTTTTTGGTCGGTTCGTTAGTTTTTGGGCTTAGGGCCTAGCCATGGGGTGCCTAGAGCAGTTTGGCTTGAGGTTGTGTGAGCTGTTTTGGGTTGTTTCATCTGTGCTTTCGGGTTCCGGGCGTAGGGTTTTGCTACAGGGTGTGCAGGGTTTTAGTTCGGCTTTCTTCTTTTGTTTTAAAATCTCGGGTCTAGCGTTTAATCCGGAAGGACGATGACATCAGGTTTTCGGGCTTGTGACACCTGGTCGGACTTTTGACAGCTGGCCGTGAGAAGAGAAGCCCCGCAACCCTATAGGTTGCACAAGGATAACATGTACCTTCGCAGGCATGCGAAGGACAATCCATAAAGTGTCTCGCCCAAATATATTAAACCCAAAATCCTGAACCCTAACCCCCTGGACCCCTCCAACCATCGTAAGCCTCGTATCTGTATCAAAACCCAGAGAGACCCTGAGCCTGAGACTCTGAATTCCTTGTCCTATATCCAATCCTTAAATGGGAGTTTCCGAAAATAGGGCATCCTAATATGTAGTACCCTAAAATAGTAGGATCCTTATTATAAGGACCCCCAAATAAGGTATTCCTGATTTTCGGACACTCTAAACCCTAAACCCTTTATAGAACCCTTATAGATCCCTTTAAGGAACCCTTACAGATCCCTTTACAGGAACCCTAAAGAAATTCCCCAGTTCCGGCACGTCCTGATGCCAACCTGAGCTCCACATTACACGAAGAGAGACTCAGCCAGAGATCCTCAACTCCCTCACTCCCACGTGGGAGTTTACGAAAATGTGGGGTACCTTATTTGGGGGGTCCTTGTAAGAAGGATCCTATGATTTAGGGTACTATATTCGGGTCCCCTATTTTCGGAAACTCCTAAATCTGGGCTGTTGTTCGGAACTCGATGTATTGCTTCTTCGTTTTGGTTGAAGGGTTTTCTGAGGTTTAGCTTGAACTATCGCGTTCGTGTTAAGGTCCTTGATCATAGGAAGGGAAGCAGTGGCAGAATGAAGATACATCTTCGTTCCTCAGTCGTTTATCCGCACCGAAGTCATAGACCCGGGGGCTCTACCGACTCATAATTTGAGGCTCAATGGGCTCCCAAACCTTACTACAAAATGTTTTTGGTGCAAGTGTGAGTCTGATAGCTCAAACTTCGAACCCTAACACCCAAAAACTCTGACTCGCAAAACCCGCAACCTTTTTTTCCTCAACCCGAATGTAACCCTCCCGTAGTGAGGGTTTTCAATAAGGGTTTGAATGCTAGTGCGACCCCTAAGGGCAAGGGGATCATGTCTACTTTTTGGGGCCGAGATAGGTTTAGGGTTTGGGTTGAGGGTTTAGGGTTTGGGGTATATATACCAATACCAAAAGCGTTTTCCTTAGTATAATTATAGTATAATATACATCAAAACCTTATTCTAGTTATTAAGGCCCTTATGTCATAGAGCCCTACTAGAGAACCCTTTAAAGGAACCCGTAAAATGAACCCTATTCTAATTATTCAGGCCCCTCCATTCCACTCATCCTTCAATTTCCTCAACATGCAGCGGCCTCCCTCGGGCACTTGGCCTGTGTTAGGACCGCGCTGCCGGATCTCGCAATAATATAACAACAACAACAACAATAAACCGCAATAGGAAAATTATCGTATTCATAGTAATCCTATACAAACAATAATTATAGCATTCCTTTAGCCGTAGTTCTAAATGCTAGTACCAGAGGCATGTTTTTCGATCTCAGGGGTTGCGGCAAGTGACAGGTGAAGGACGAGCCGGGTGGATTTTGGGTATCACCACGGGTTTAGAGTGGATTAAGGCCCAGGCCTATGGCTTACAGTTCTGTAGGTGCACTGCTTTGTTCACGCCTGCCTGCGAGATCTGGAGTTTGGGCACAGGTGCCTCTCCTGAGTACTGTGCCGCAGGCTTAGACCAGCCTTAAACCCCATGCAAAGCCCCAAACCCCAGAGCTACCCTAGCGTAGGCTTGCCTAGGTTAGAAGCTGCCCCCACCCTGTAATAGTGGTATAGAAGGAATATAACAGGGCCCTAATTTAATATTAATATAACCCTTATGGTCACTATTACAGGGTGGGGGCAGCTTCTAAGGCCTAGGCTAGCTACGTGCTGGTGTTGACTTAGGAGCTCTGGAGTCGCAATCCCGCGTCCCAACTGCTCCAGGAAAGCTTTCATGAATGCTTTTGATCTGCAGTTTCAAGCCCGAACATAACACGATACCATACCGAAGATTCACGGAACTTACTTACCTTAGGGATACTTAGAATAATTTTTCTTTTTGGCTATTATAATCACCAAGAAACAGCTAAGATTATAATTTTTGCTAGGGTTCTGAGTTCAGTATAGTTACCTTTGGTCATAGCCTCCTGGGATCTCAGGGAGACTCTGCCGGCGCCATCACAGAAGCTGGGGCGCACCAGGCATGTGGAGTCTGAACCCTGCCCCAGGAGCCCCAACGCTCAGCCATGTTACGGACGTGAAAACTGAAAGATGAGCTGGGGAGGAGCCGGGATGGAGGTATTTTTATCCGATGTTTAACGGACCTTTCGAGCAGTTGGGTTTTTAGCATTGCCGGTGAAGCAGAAGGCCTTTTGGTCCAGAGAATGAGGCACTAAAGTCACTAAAGAGGCCATTGTAAACGCGACGGGCTGTTGACCTGGCCCCCACTGACTGGATTTGCTACGCCATTGTGAGCGCAATCTTTTCACAGCTAGTCAAGTGGTGGTCGCTGAGAGCCTTGTTCTCAAATTAAGCGGGACGGCACATTCCACATGGAATGTTCCGTCTGCTGGCTAGCCCCGTGTACTTGACTCGTTGCTTTCAAACTGAAAGCTTGTTGGAACTCGGTGTACTTAGAGACCAGCACGCCGGCCCCTGGGCTGACAAGTCCTCGACCCACTTCCGCGGCGTCTGGGCTCTATCTCGACTTGCTGCCCTGCAGCGTACGGTTTCCGCGACAGTGTAGCAATCGAAGGAGCCTTGGTCTGTGTTGGGACAGTATAATATTGCTTTTTTTGTGTCTTGTCAATAGGTTTTGTTGCTAGTTAAACATGACGCACGAGAACAAACATGGGTGTGATAGTCTGTGATAGGTGTGTGTCTCCAGACACAACATGAGCAAGCATGGGCATTGATTTACCAGGGAACCAACAGCAACTGCAGCACATGACAAAAAGATGCGGAATGAGATGGCTGCTGTCAAAAATCATGTTTGTGAATGCGTGCATCGTGGCAATAAGAATTGCTGCTGTTTTCTCGGGTGCCGGCCGGTTAAATTGCGGCAGAGTATAATCAAACCCGGCCGTTTTTCAACCCGGAAACCGATTGAATTCAAGCACCACCGCCCTTTAACCCGAATTGCATGATAGCTTCCCTGAACCCTAAACCCGACCGGTTGAAGCCGAAATCCGTTAAAATATATCGGCCCGACCGGTTAAGCCCGAAATCTGTTAAGTGTAACCGCCCCGCCCGGTGAAAGCCGAATCCGGTTAAACTTAACCGCCCCGACCGGTTTAACAACCGAGTCTGGTAGACCGGTTAAAACCGGAATCGGATAAATTTATACCGGCCGGCCCGGTTAGAAGCGAGACTTTTAGTGACGTAGCGTCGTCCTTTCTACGCTGAATCCGCACTCAGGAACACCACCGACGTCCATGGCTCTTCCGGAAGGCATCGAGTCCGACAGGCAACGAGATTCAGGGTATAAAGGTTCAAATCTTAGGGTTGTGGGTGCCTGAGGCCTTAATCCAGGTCTCAAGCCTTTCGCGACACGACTTTTCTTTTGTCAGTTTGTTGATAGATGTGGGTCGCAGCGAAGTGAATTTGTGATTCATTTTGCTGGGGCAAACAGCCAAAATTATATACGCACGAAAGTTCAATTTAGACGCCAGCACCCCCTTGTCTGTGTACTTGGAGGATATGTGGGGCCTTTGGTTGTAGGATGTTCGATGAACAGCGCTCGGCAAAACAAGCTCGGGGGTGCTTGGAATCGAATCTCCGTGCAGCTAGCCCTGTGCTCAGAGGCAACTGGTTCGTAGGTTTCAGGACGTAGGTCTTTTGAGATTACATGTGCGCATGCACCTCCTGAGTACATGCATCATCCATCCGGTGTAAAACTCAACAGACCGACTATACCGGCCAACTCCGCTGCAGCAGATCTTTCTTTGGATCCTCAAAACCGGAAACTCGACACCAGAAACCTTAAGGGCTTAGTATACTTGAGAGTGCTGTATCCGGCAACTTGAGGGCCTGAAGCTAGGAGGGTTCGCTTGCACCTGGGTGTACTCGATATTGCATTACGAAAGTTTTTATTAAACTACTGAAACTGTTATAGGGTCCTAACGTAGGCTTTCATAGAGACACCAGCCCAACCGTACAAACGACTAGTATCAAGACAAAGTATACCGAAGGCCGACAAATCCTCCAAAGTCCGGTGGATCCCACAAGGCCCCCCACACACACAAGAGACTCTCGTAGCCCCAAGCCCTCGAAGGGTCTAGGGTCCATTTAGGGCCAAGGTTGTAGAGCTCCAGGAGTATAGGCTTCTGCGGAATACCAAGTCTTTCATGGGCTCGCCAATCAAAGTTTCATCATAGTTCAGTTCAGGGAAGCTGTTCTTGAGGTTCCCGAAGCCAGAATAGTGTTGTACAGCCGCAACCCGGACAGACAGTAAAGGCTATTATGAGGGAGGTTCTGAGCTTCTCCCGCAGTTCTGGGCTGCAGAGGGCTGCTGTATGAGATGCTATTGCTACCTAGACCTCTAAATCTTAAACCGTAGCAGTATAGGTCCTACATACAGCGGAACCCTGCGCCCTAAACCGCAACTCAACCCAAACACAAAGCTGCAACGCCAGACCCCGAACGCCCAACGGCTCACCTCACGAATATACGTAAGCTCTGAACATCAAGCCCCTTTTCCAGCCTTTCCAAAGCCACCTAGTAAAGTGACTAGTAGCGATCCTCCAGAAGCACTCTTACCGTATTCCTCACACGACCTTTATAATTATAACAAAGGCCAATGTTGAGAAAGACACCCTGTAACCGCTAAACCCTGAAAGTATTAAATCTGGAGGCACAAGCTAGTACACCCTAAATCCAACCCTAAATCCGTAGCAATGAACATAATTGTTAACAACCCCCCCACCCCACTTACAGAAGCGTTTATACTATGAAGGGGCCCTTGTGAGTGCTGTTGAGGCGCCTGGAGGAGGTAAGGCAAAGTGCCTCTTGGATGGCAGTGGGCCAACTGGAAGACTTCAGGGTTCTTGCATCCTAGGTTCTTGCTGTTGTTGTTGGTTCACTTTTTTGTCGTAGGCTCTTTTGACAGCACTGAAGGATTTATAGATTCTTCCTTTGGGCTTTCATGCGTATATTCCAACGATCCGGGGTTTGGCGGTTGGGGTTGATTGAGGGTTTCCGGTTTGGCTGGTTGAGGGGCGCAGGTTTGATGGCTCAGGTGCCGAGAGCTGCGGCTTGAACGAATCGGGTTCGATGTTTTGGGGTTTCCAGGCCTGGGGCAGATTCCAAAACCGAAAGACTCTCACTTCATGACTCTTTCATACTATGAGGATCATTATCAAACGGTGCGGCCGAACCCTGAAAAATCCTTAAACCCCAAAACCCTAAACCCGACGACAAGGCGTCTCGGCTACCAGCTTGCAAGTAGCACGACAGCACGGAAGTTTCACAAGGTCATTTTGACCACACCGCCCGCTTGCAGCAATGTCGGCACCAAGTGGGCATCAGTCCTCACTGGAGGAACTGAACCGTCTGAGGACGCAGTACAACGAAACGGGGATCACCACGCAGTCCATGGCCACACAGCGCTTGTTTTTCGACACCTATGGCAGGCAGAAGCGTGGACCTCCTACGCCAGTGGCCTCTGGACTTACCACACCGCAAGAGGGCGCGACGGATCGTGAAGAAGCAGCGCGTTCCTCTGACAACCCGCCGTTGGTGGTTCCGGTGACGCTGCAGGACCACACCGCCATGCAAGCAGTTGCCTCGCACTTGGGTGTTGACTGCAACAATCCGCAAGCGGTGGAAGGATTTTTACAGCAGCGCGTGGGCACAGCACGAGAGGTGTTACAGCTGGTGCGTGGGTACCACGAGGCGGTGGTGAGGCCGGAAATGTACGGCATGGTGCTGCAGCTAGAAGGGGCCCTGCGGTACATGAACGACCAGCTCTTCGCAACCAGAGCTGAGCTGAACTTCATGGCCAGGGAAAACCGCATGCAGCAAAAGCATGCCAGCGGTCTTATGTTGGTGACGACAGGATGGCCAACAGACCTGCAACCATCACAACGCCACTATATGTTGGGATGGATGATCGGACAGCTGCCAGAGGCCAGAACCTTTTTGAGAAACCGTGGGATCATGCGAGAAGGGGAAGACCACACCGCCGCGGAGCCGGAGATGTGGTTCAATGTGCTGCAAGTCGATCCTACCACGGTTCCGCAGTCGCATGGCTTCTTTTCGGCAAGGACCATGGTCACGTTCAAAGCGTGGGACCTTCGGTCTGCCTTTTTGTCCCGGTACGGAGGGCAGTCAGGAACCCCTCTGTACTTGGACCCGACCACACCGCGCGCAGGGAAGCACATACGTGTTTCCCCGTGTGCTCCTCAGTGGCAGCGTAAGCTTGAAGCCCCGCTGCGCGTAGTTATTGCGGTTATCAATGCACATGCGGATTATCAAGGACAGCGCTTGATAATCCTGTGGAAGTCTTTGACCGTGATGGCTCCGACTGACTCGCCGGATTTTAATCCCGACCACACCGCCTTTGCTCGCTTGTTCTACGAGGAGCAAGGGGGGGCTTTTAAAGGTCGCCTGGAAGTCTCGGCAGAGTTTGCAAGGCTCATGCAGTCCCCGGCCACAACGCTCGCGGTCAGTGATGAGAACGGCTCGAATGAGTCGCTGTGGAACGAGAAGTGGAATGAGGTCATATGGGGCCCACAGCTTGAGATGGACCAAATGGAATCTCAAGCCTACACCCAGGCAAAAAATGATGCCAGGGCCGGAGGTCGTGGCACCATGTACGGGGGCGGTCGAAAGCACTGGTCCTCTACCTTGCTCCACAACTCGTATTTTTCCCCGTATCCGTTTAGCATTGAAATCAATGCTGTCGACCACATCGCCTTCGTGTGGGATGAGTTCTGCGATAAAGCAGGAAACCCACAGGAAAAGGTGGGAGATGTGAAGGCATGCACCTATGGGGGCAAGCCTGTGGTCACAGCAGATGTGAACATGGGCGATGATATGGGCCCCGATCCTTTTGCCAAAGCGGCAGCTCCCTCAGCACCCTCGGTTGCCAAAGGCAAGGGCAAGGGATCCTGAAGGGCTCCCACGTGCACGGACCACACCGCCTTTTGTGTGCTTTCTGAGGGTTGTGCAGGTTTTCTGGGGAAGCAGGTTAGCACACCGCAGCGGTCTTTAATTCAGGAGGCAGATGGAGCCCTTTTGAAACTTTCTGAAGCTCCGGAGCTGCTCCTGGACCACACCGCCGACAGAGCGGTCTTTCGCAGGGTTCCCGCAAAGAGCCTTTTCAGCCAGAGCGAGGGCTATGCTAAGGTACTCCAAACACAACGCAACAAATTGCAACACAGTCTTAACGGTAACACAGCCCTTAATCTTTCCCAACTTCTCCCCTTAGCCACACCGCCCCTGACCTTAAGCTTGTCTGAGTTACTGCCTGTACCCCCAACCTCCCCCACACCTCTGCAATACTCTAGGCACCTCCTTTTAGCAGCCCGAACCCACACTCCCACAACGGATCCTATCATCAAGCTAGTTCCTCGGACCATACCGCTTTTGCAGGGCAACGCCCACTGCAAACCCAGCCCGTCCCGAACGGGACGCCGGCGAAAAATTCAGGACACCCTGGGACAGTTTCACTTTTACAAAAAACCCAAAAACAGTAAAAAGAAACCTGGAATTCAGAGAATTCGTAGAATTAAGCCGAAGCTGGAAAAGCCACGAACACCGCCTCCAAGAGGCACGCCGGGAGCCCCCTCGGGGGCGAACGAAGAGTGTCCCCAACCCAAGGAGGGAACCAATGCACACCCAAGGGGAGCCAAACTCCGTAGGTCCTGTCGCAGGGCCTACCGGAAATGGCGCAGGGAATGCAAAACACAAGGGAACAAGAGGGCGGACTCCTCTTCTTTCCCCCCTCCTCAGTCCACAGAAGCCGCCCCAACCCGCACCAACTGGTTTCGCGACGCAATCTACTGGCAGGAAGCACTGCAGCGTAAACGCAAACCAACAGCGGAACGCCAAAAGACCACACCGCCTTTAGCTTATAACTATAAGTTGAGGGTAGGTGCTCAGAATGTACAGGGCATGGCAGACACACTTAAGCTCAAAAACCTCATCATGATGATGTCGGAACACTCGCTAGATGTACTTATGCTCTCAGAAACCAAAAGCACCAACTACTATTCTTACACTTCGGAGCAGCATCTAGTAATCCTATCAGGGAACAATAAGGAGAAACACGCAGGAGTAGGAGCGATCATACACCCAAAGATCAGACCGCATTTGGCTGATGTTGTTCAGGTGAACAATAGGATCATCCACCTCACTTCCAATAAGAAGGGGGGTCGCGTTCATGTTATTGGGTGTTATGCGCCGCACTCGGGGTTGGATTTGGAAACCTCTAGGCAGCCATTTTGGGATACCTTAGAGGGATATGTATCCAAAATCCCGCAACCAGAACCGGTTTACCTAACAGGCGACTTCAATGTCAGATTTCAGGCTCAGCATCGTAATGACGAAGGGGTTACAGGACCTTATACCTACGGTAAGGGGTCACTACACATTGATCACACCGCCTCCTCGAATCGAAGCCTTTGTGTTCAAACCATGAACCTACTGGACATGCTTGAAGTAGCGTCATATAGAACCCCAGCGCCAGTGCACCACATAACGTACCGAGACAAAACCGCACCTCCAACGGATTGGTCCCAGTATGTTTTAGATCCTCTCATTATGCAGCAGGTTTACACCAAAATGCACTGGGAGTTTGGCGACAAAGCTCTAGAGGTAGCTTCACACGTCAGAGCCTTTTTGCCACTAGAACAACAACTGCCCCCGAAGCAGCTTGAGCCACAACCAGATCCCACCAGGTTCCAGAGACTTGACCACACCTTCACACGCAGGCAGTGGTTATCCTCCATTAACTCGTGTAGATCTAAGCTCCATACAGGGTACCCTTCCGACCACTACTTGTTGCTAACAGAAATCCAGGTCAAACTTGCAGCGCGTAGTCCCCGACAGCCCCAGCAACCTAAGCTCAACTTTGCTGCTGTTGACCACACCGCCAGGTATTAGTATAATGAAAACCTTAGGGCAATCCTTCACAACACGACGCCGGCTCAGGCACCTGCCGTGGAAGGTTCTCCTAGTAGGTTTGTGGTCTATACGGATGGCTCAGGTACCAGAGGAAGGGCTTCAAGGGCCACTCCGGCTGGATGGGGGTGGTGCTCGCCGAACGGAGAAGAGTGGATACAGGCTTCGGGTCCGGTGGTCACCGACGCAAGGGCGCTTCACTACCATGGCGCCACGGTGGGGTCAAATAACACTGGAGAAGTCACAGCAATCATCGAAGCGTTGGAGTATGCGCACACGCACGACCACACCGCAGTAACTGTTTACTCAGACAGCGAATGGGCCATCAACGTCATTAAAGGACGCTGGAGAGCGAAAGCCAACCGCAACTTAGTTTATCACGCGCAACGATTGGTTACGCAAACAGGCCTCAAGGTACATTTCCAATGGGTCAAATCGCACCAGGGAACGCGCGGCAACGAGATGGCGGACCGACTGGCGCACCAAGGTAAAACCTCACAAATCAGAGAAGGAGACCACTCTGCAGTCGTACCCATTCTGCCGCTTCAGACTGACCACACCCCCCCGCGCCAGCGCACAACCTCGCGCAAGCAATGCAGCAAGCCGCCAAGGAAACCTTCCAATACAAAGAACGGGCCAGCACTAAGCCATGGATCACGGACGCAACCTTGAGGTTACTCTCCAGCGCAAGAGCGGCGCAAGCAGCACAAACGGAAGATTGGAAACACAAAAGGAATCAAGCCAAACGCAGCGCACGCAAGGATAGGGTCAACTGGATCCATGAACAACTCACATCGGACCCGGACGCAACTCACTCTACGCTCTGGAATGTGGTAAAAAGACAAAAGAAGGGGTTCCAAGGGAAAAAGAAACACCTCATAGTCGACAATAAACCCGTCCCATGGTCACAAACCCACGAAGCTTTTAAAAAGCACTTGGAAGAAAAGCAATGGGCGGAACCTGCTATTCCTGACCACACCGCTGCTCCTAGGAAGACTAGACCAGCATTGAGGCCCACCTTTCCTGAAGAACATCCCTTTACCCTACAGGACCTTCACGCGGCAATGGCTAGGCTCAAAAAACACAAGGCACCAGGCCCGGACGGTCTAGTCAATGAACTCATTTTATTGCTAGATCGTGACGGTGAAAAGGAGCTACTTACGTTGTTCAATCATTGTTGGCTAGAGGGAGAATTCCCAGATACCTGGGCGCAGGCCATCGTAGTTTCTATCTTCAAAGGTAAGGGATCAGACACGGACCCAGAAAACTACAGACCTATATCCCTACTTAACGCGTTATATAAGCTTTACGCAGCAATGCTGCAAGCGCGTATAGCAACCCAAGCTGAACCACACCTTAGGCAGAGTCAGTATGGGTTTAGATCACAACGCGGAACCCGACACCCCTTGTTTGCGGTTCGAAGAGCTATGGAATGGTCAGAAATGACAGGGAACCCACTGTATATGCTGTTCTTGGACTGGAAGCAAGCCTTTGACTCTATAGATCACACCGCCATGATCGAAGCGCTAGATAGGTTTGGCTTATCGGATAGAATGCTCCTGGCCATCATGTCCATCTTTATGATAAGCCGGAGTTCACAACGCGCGGCCCCAATGACCAAACCGCCACGGGTAAAGTATCATCGGGTATTCGTCAAGGATGTCCGTTAAGCCCATACCTCTTCATTATCGTTCTTTCGGTCATTCTCCATGACATGGACAACACCCTAAAATCTCAGGGGGTCCCTACTAACACGTGGTCAGAGGGATATCCGGTATGTGATCTGGAATATGCAGACGACACCCTCTTGCTAGCAAGGACCATACCGCAGCTCCAATCAATTCTGACCGCCTTAGAAAAACATGCGTCGGAATATGGCATGCATCTGAATACTGTTAAAACAGAGTTCCTCCTGCACCCAGACAGACCAGAACCCCAACTTTATTTCTCAGACCAAACCGCCGTCCCGGTTACCCCACAAGTTAAATACCTGGGTTCAATCATTACTTGGAAGCGCCCCTTCGAAGAAGCCTTCAAACAAAGATGCGGTCTAGCAGAGGAAGCCTATAAAAAGCTGAGATTACTTTGGAACAGTTCGCTAAGCCGCAAAACTAAGCTCCATATATTCCAAAGCTCCTTTGTCCCAATCCTTACTTACGGTTTGGACGCCCTAACATTGACCACACCGCTCCTCAAAAGAATAGACGGATTCTATTACAGATTCTTACGCAGAATAGTAGGTATCAAGGCGTCATACTATTCTCGCATCACTAACCAGGAGGTTTGGAACAAAGCAAATAAACCTCGCCTCCCGAGTGAAACCCTGCACAAGCTCCAACTCAACATGATGAGAGAAGTGTTCACGCAGCCCCGTACAGAAATCACCCATTCTGTGGTCTTTGGCTCCGCTTATAAGGATAGAATCCTTAGCCAGGGCAGACGTCGTGGTATGCAATTTCCGTATTGGATAGAAATAATGTGTAAACGTTATTTTCCTAAAGAATTTGCTGAGGACCACACCGCCCTAGGACCTCACTTTAAATATAGTCAAATCTCTAAGCTCATGCGGGAACCCTTTTTTGGGCTGGCGCCAAAGCGCGCAGACACGCGCGCACGGCCATAGCAAAAAAAACCCGACGACAATTGCTCCTGAAAGTAAGCTTTCTGGCTAAACTCCTTAACCTTGGTAAAAGCAAACCGCCTGCCTCCTGGATATACAGATAATACATATCTCTATATCTATCTGTATATACATACATATGTATATATATATATATGTATATATATATACATATGTTTCCTTACACACTCATACTAACTTATGTTTGGCATATGTTTATGATAATTGTACACATGCATACATGTAGGTTTTGTATACGTACATATGTAAGTATGTGAGGAAGTAATTAAGTATATGTATGTATGCGTGTATGCATGTTGCATGTGTGTATGTATGTACGTATACATGAGTATATGCATGGCATGTGTATAAGAGAGAGAGAGAGAGAGAGAGAGAGAGAGAGAGAGAGAGAGAGAGAGAGAGAGAGAGAGAGAGAGAGAGAGAGAGAGAGAGAGAGAGAGAGAGAGAGAGAGAGAGAGAGAGAGAGTGAGAGAGAGAGTGTGTGTGTGACACCCTGATAACAAAGGGTACAAGCAGGGGGCCCGGAGAGCCCGAGTGAGGTCCGGGCCAACGAAGACCCTCACTCGGTGCTCGTGTAAACGTACCTGCAGCAGTCATGAATTGTTTAATTGTTCCAAGTGATGGTAACCCCTGTCTAGCTACTCTCGCAAGAGAGTTTGCAAGTGTGTTCTCGACCGGCATTCTGTCAAAGGGCCGGGCGTAGCAACTGCTTGACTTCTTGATACAACTGTTCAAGACATTGAACGCCGCTTCTTGATTCGCAGCTTCTTGATTCGACAAATCCTCGAACGCTGCTGATAAATTGAATGACTTCTTGATTCGTTTTCACTTGATTGACTTCTTGAATGACTTCTTGAATGATTTCTTGAATGATTCCCTGATCGACGCATTGCAAGAGGCCAGGACCCAAGCCTCAATGGGGGAGGACCCTTACCCCAGACGACGCATTTTTTCGAAAAAAGTGCCAACATGCGGCACTTTTGTGAGTATATCTTCGACCAGCGCAAAGAATTTCAGCTGTCGGTCGGCAAGCACGGCAGGGCTGCGGCATTTCGGTAAGACCTGCGAACTGTGGATGTTTGACCGTATTAATAGGACATGCGCTGCAGGGCTGCGGCTTTCTGTAAGACCTGCGAACTGCGAGCGCAGTCCTCTAACGGGGTTTGAAGTGCCCAATGTGGGCCACCCCTTACCTTTTCTTTTTCCGCATGTGTCGTTTCGCAGTCACAGTTTTTTCTTTTTCAATGCTCGAAGCCAGAGGCTTTTCCAAGCCAAAAAGGCTGCCTCCAGCTGCAGCTCCTTTACTTTTCGCTTACGTTGCTGTTTCGCTTTAAGGCTACACAGCCAACCGCCCGCCTTCCTGCAAAGCCTTTGTGTTTTCCTTTTCCTTTTTCTTTTTCCGCTTCCCTAATGCAAAGCAAGGGCCGAGCATAAAAACATGTATTACTTGAATGATTCGATACTTCTGTATCGGCATAAGGCCAGGACCCAAGCCTTAACAAAAAAGGGGCAGGACCCGTACCCCTGACGACAACACGTGAGGCCAGGACCCAAGCCTCAATGGGGCAGGACCCGCACCCCTGACGACACAAGAAGGCCAGGAACCTAGCCATAACGACAAAACAACGGGCAGGACCCTTACCCCTGACGACAGTACGAGAGGCCAGGACCCAAGCCTCAATGGGGCAGGACACGTACCCCTGATGACGCTTTTTTCAAGGGCACCATGTCGTGGCTGCGGCTTTGACCTGCGAAACGTCATGGTGAGCCCAAACCAAGCAGGCATCAGATGGGGCTGCGGCATTGACCCGCGAACCATCTGATGACCTTCATGTTTCCACTACTCCCCCAAACTGGGGAGCAGCTGTGTGTGTGACACCCTGATAACAAAGGGTACAAGCAGGGGGCCCGGAGAGCCCGAGCAAGGTCCGGGCCAACGAAGACCCTCACTCGGTGCTCGTGTAAACGTACCTGCAGCAGTCATGAATTGTTTAATTGTTCCAAGTGATGGTACGGTGACGTTTTTTAAATATATGGGGGCCCGGCCAGCCGCACTGGCCGCAGAGGTAGTATAAAATATTTGTTTGAATCCGTATATTTAAATCCCAGTATGACGTGATCTAGCCTTCAGTCTTTAAAAGGCTGGAATGCTGGGGGGTTGAAGGCTGGAAGGGGTTCAGGGCTTGAGAGGTTGAAGGCTGGAAGGCTGGAGACTGCAAGGGCTGGAGGGGTTGAAGGCTGGAGGGCTGGAGTGCTCCAGCCCGCCCTCCAGCTTGCCTTCGAACCTTTCCTGCAGCCTTCCAGCCTTCCTCCAGCCCTCCAGCCCTCCAGCCCTCCAGCCCTCCAGCCTTCCAGCCCTCCAGCCTTCCCCAACCTTCCAACCTTCTTCCTGCAAGGCTGGAGGGCTGGCCTGGATGTGGAAGGTTGGACGAAGGGGCTGGAGGGCTGGGCTGGGAGGAAGGCTGGAAGGCTGGAAGGAAGGCTGGGGAGCTGGAAGGCTGGAAGGTTGGAGGGCAAACTGGAAGGCTGGAGGGGGTCTTCAAAGCTGGAGGGGCTGGTGGAAGGTTGGAGGGCTGGGTCTGGAAAACAACTTGACGGGAGGGCTGGGTTGGGCTGGGAAGGCTGGGCTGGAGGAAGGCTGGAAGGCTTGAGGAAGGCTGGAGGGCTGGCTCGGTTTGGCTTGAACCTAAAGCTGAAAGGTTTGACTTCTACCTGAACTCTAAACCCTTAAACCCTAAACCCCAAAATCCTAAACCCCAAACCCACCAATCATCTGCCAATCTCCGGATATTTTATTTCGAGGCGGGCCCGGGCGATGTTTCACGGAGGTAGTGTAATATACCTGTTTAACCTATTTAAATATCCGTATATTTAAAAACAGACGCCGTAACCCCTGTCTAGCTACTCTCGCAAGAGAGTTTGCAAGTGTGTGTGTGTGTGTGTGTGCGCGCTTGTGTGTATAAGTATAAGCACTAGGTAGAGATGCCATTATTGCAAAGCCTTTACACTCAGCGGGTTTCTAGGTTGCCCTGAGGTGAGGAGTCTCCAGGACATCTCCGACAAGTTGGGAGACAAGCTTCAGGCCTTCTGGGTGTTTCTTCAGAATTCTGCTGAGAGGTTCCTTCAACGTGGCCCTACACCCTCAGTCAAAGACCCTGAACTAGGTCCCAAAATCAAAGGCCCAAAACCACGCCCCGTGATCGGATAACACCTTTGACTCAAACCATCTCTAAACCTAAACCCGCAACCTGCAATCCGGACTTGCTGCGCCAAACCCTGAATCCGAAGCATAGCTAGTTGCCGTTATGGCCTTAAACCGTAAGTATGGCCCGCCAGAAAGAATATATCCTGGACCCGAAGCTTAATTAAGGCGTAGCAGCCAGCCGTCTCTCATAGAAGCGCACGTCCAAAGCTTGGAGCCAATCCTAAACCCGAGAACTTTTGCTTTGGTAACTTCCGTCAAATGCCTTAATTTAGCTGCCTGCCTTAAACAGAACCTTATAAACCCCAAAACCAGGTCCCGCGAGCCAAAAATTATCTCCAGCAGCTTGTGGATTGCACCCTGCCTGGATGTTGGATTTGCTGCCTTACCATCGGGTTTTGGGTTTAGAATATAGAAGCGTTTTTGCCACGGGTCTGTTCTTTGTGTTATGTGCCCTCAATATGGGTGCAGATAGTGGTGTAGCCGGCTGCAAGGAGCAACGCATGCGAACCCAGGGTTTGTGTTCCTGCCTAGCTACCGCACGTTTCCGCTTTAAATCACACCTGTGCGACTAAAGTTGACTAAAGATCTTCAGACCCCCCCAAACCCACTGCATGGTTTGAGATGGCTTTGGACTTAATCAAGTATTTTGCTTTTAAAGATATATGGCGAAGGGGTGCGAACGTCATGAAGGTAGACACCCACACAAGGCAAAACGGCGAACGACAAAGACCACGCCAAAAATGTTTGGAGGATACCATTGCCCTCTCCGAGAATTGTGATCCTCCAAAAGTCTCGGACCGTAGAGAAGAAGGATGTTTTAAACAGTTTGGAGTTCCCGAAATTGGGGGGTACCTTATTTTGGGGGTGTCCTTATTCTACTAGGGTACTATATTAGGGTCCCCTGTTTTCGGAAACTCCCACTTCAAATTCTGACTACCGTCGGACAATGCCCTCAGCCCTAAACTCCCTAAACCTTGACCACCGTAGACCGATACGCTCAACTTTAAGCCCGAACCCTGCGAGCCTTGAACGACGAATCCAGAAAACTCTGAGCCAGAAGATAGGGACACCAAGGACCCCAAGTAAGCATAGCAAGATTCCACGATTCTAGGTACCCAGAGAGCCCAAGATCCTTTAATTAAGGAATAGGCCTTAAATTATATAGGGCTTCATACCATGATTTAAGCTATATTCCTTACTTAAGGGGTATTGGGCTCTCTGGGTCTTCCCTAAACCGCGGAGCTGCCGCAAATCTCGTCTACCCATGAGACGGGGCAGCACAGATAACCCTAAGTCCAGGTCATGCTCCTCCGAAGCCAAAGCCGCCACATAAACCCTTTGAGCTTAACATGCTGTCCCGAGCATCCGATATGCAGCATAGATGTTGCCTGCACGTGCTAACATCTGTAAAAAAACACACATGCATGCAGTACTTGTACTTATTTTTACGTGTTCTCCCTTGTTTCCTGCAGGCATCAGCCCAAACAGAAACCCGGTGCCTCAGCTACAATGAGTGACTCCATGGGCCTCGGCACAAAACAAGGCGAGCTCGTACTAAACCCTAACCCTAAACCCTTAGGTCTGGATGCAACGGCAGAGAGAGAGAGAGACAGAGAGAGAGAGAGAGAGAAACCCTTAGGTCGTTAAGGGTGCAGCATTCACAGGTTCGAGGGCAGGGCCTTTAAAGGTCAAGCGCTCTTGGACTCATAGGCTTTAGGCTTAAAGTTAAGAATGTGTGGTAATTGACCGCGATTCGGGTTCTAGATTGGTTTCATCCAACTTCCACGGAGAGTATATGAACTGCGAGCTTTAACGGTACAGTTACAGGGCTCTATCATAAGCGCCGGGTTGCCAGAGCGCAGCGCAGCCTGAAACTACAAGCCTCAAAGCCAAGACAGTTGGGAGTTTCCGAAAATTAGGGGTACCTTATTTTGGGGCCCTTATAATAAGGATCCTACTATTTAGGGTACCATATTAGGGTCCCGTATTTGCGGAACTCCCAGTTGGATCACGGTAAACCCTTCACTGTAGATCCCTAACACCCTAGACTCTAAACCCTTGACTACACACCCTGAGCTGCAGCCTTGACTCCGGTGGTGACTCCCGGTGGGAGTGGCCAAACCCGTGCTTTAGCTAGCACGTAAAGGTATCCTTTCCTTGCAGGCCCCGCCTTGTAAGCCCTATCCTAAACCCGAAACCCTAAACCATTACAGTGTAAACCATACAGGTCTCGTCACAATCAAAAGCACCCTCTCATGCCTGCATAACCACATTTGAGAGACTTCGGGGTTTCCAGGCAGCTGCCCTGTGACCATCCTTTCGACGTCACAGCCAGACACCCGTCGAGCCGTCAAGCTCTAGAACCCTTCAATCACAAGCCCTGAGCCCAAAGCAAACCCCAAACCCATAGACAGCTTGCTGGAAACACTAAACAATGGCGAGTTGGGGGGGTTGGGTGGTAGTCAGGGAATGGGGGTTGGAAGATGAGGGTTGGGGGTGCAGGGCTTGCTTAAAGGGCTTAACAGCTTTTCTGATGTTTTGGCTTTGGAGGTTTGGAGTCCAGCAAGCAGGCTTTGTTGAGAGGCTTCCTTAGGGGCCTAAATACCCTTAAAGGGTCCGTTACTTTAACTTTCGTAGAAGATACCCCAAAGCCCTCTTCGAATTAGTAAGGCCCCTACATTATCTACATCTATTGTGGGGGCTCCTTTATATAGTATAAGATACCCCAAACCCTATTCTAACCATCAAGGCCCCTGTATTAGGCTTTGGGTGAAGTCTAGGGTCGAAGCATTCAGGTTGGCAAGGGAGATGTGGATAAGGACAAGTCTACAACCAGCGCCCCTGGGAATCGCAGACCCTACCATGACCCCCCCCGAAAGGCCCCTTCAATATTGACCTTATGGCCCTTAATAGTGGGCATTTGGGGTATATTAGAGGGTAGTTGGGGGGCCTAGGTAGCCCCACACCCTAACCCTAAACCCTTAGGTAGTTGTGCACATCGTTAATTCCTGATTTTTCCTCAGGCAGGCTACCGGCTTTGCCAAGAAGAGCTTTCGCGAGTGGGCGGCCGCTCGTCCGTAAGGGTCAGTAAGGGTCGTTTTACTCTCATTAGGAAATTTCGTGTATGGTTCTTTCATCGTTCAGTAATTTGGGCGTTTCTGGGAAATGCTTTGTTCTACAATAATTTTCGCGAGAGAAGATCCTGATCCTGTCAAGCAAGCAGTTCTAGCTGATGTTCCAAAGCTCACAGACAAGTGTCCTCGGGTTTGCTGCAGGCTAATTCTAGTTCTGGGCTTGAGTTCTTAACTCAAACCTCTGCCGCACCTACCCTGCGCCTACGGTTCATGCAGGCCCGGGCGCTCAAAGCTTTGCTTTGGGGTTTGGTGTTATAGACCCTCATCCCACAATGCCACTCAGTCTCAGCTGTGTTGACCAAATACCTTGTCCTCGTCCTGTCCCGCGTCTTCGTGGACCGATGCAACATACGCATATTGCCTACGCCTCCAGCATGACATAAGAGTGTGAATAATCAACTACATCATTTTGGGGGTGCATACTTATTCTAAGTATAGTAAAATGGCCCCAAAACCCTATTCTAATCATTAAGGCCCTATATCATAGAACCTTACTATAGATCCCTTATAGAACCCTTTGAAGGAACCCTGACAAGGAACTTTATTCTAATTAACTAAATTAAACTACAATTTGCGACATTCCTAAGGTCCTGGGGTTCTCTTGCACGCCGCCGGCCGGACTGATAACGAACCTCGGCCGCAAAGCAGGGTTTAGGGTTTAGGGTGGAGGGCAGGAATAACCTGGCAGCAGGGGTGGCGGGCATTTCGACGTCGATGTCGTGGTTCAGCACCAGCGCCCGCAGCTGCGGACAAAGCAAGCGCATGCTAGCTCTCACCTTCCCGAAGTCCTTAGCCTGAAGTCTATGGCATCTGTGAACATCGAGCAGTCACATGATCCCACAGATTTGGCCTCATGAAGGACCTCTTGCGGAGTTTGGTCCTGGAGACCTTCGCGCACATGACGCCACCCGTCGCGCATGTTGAGCAACCAAATCCCCAGATCAGGGTACAGTGCATGGGACCCAAGTCAAAACCCTACCAATACAGGTGCCCTGAAGAACTAGCAACATCATTCTTTATACCTCCTTATAACTAGGAACACATATGCCACGATCTCGTTTTCCAATTAATGAGAACCTTGTACCATTTGCCTACTTGGGCCCTTCAGTAAGTTTCGACCCTAAGTTCACGTCCCAAGCTCATGCCCTCCCCCTTCCCCCGGTAGCTTCCTGCCCTGAAGCCGACTATGCTGACCTGAATCATTAGAATTAAGCTCGGAGGTACATGGTAGTATACTTAGAAGAAGGAGCCCTTAGGGTTAGCATTACTGATTAGTTCGGCTCTATCAACTTTGCCTTCATCTTTGAGCCTTGAACAGGAAAATAAGCCGCTAACGAAGACTCGCACTGAGACAAAAGCTTAAGCAACCAACACGCAAGCCAACCCTCCGTGTGATAAACTGTAGGGGACACAGGCGGAACAACTATTCTGTTGTTATACGGTCCCCGTATGATTCTAGCAGTTCTTCCCCCACAGAAAAAACTCTAATCATTACGAGCCCCCATATTGCAGCTCGAGCTCTACCCGAAAGTGTGAGCTCAGAGGTTTGACAACGCTGGCCTAGCAGCGTCTGTTCTGGGTGAGCATGGGGACGGCCTGCTGCGCGCGCTCAGGAGTACCTTCTCATGTTTTCGTTGCAGAGTTCTATTGGGTGGTACAGGATTGTTCTGTACGGCTATTTCTGGGTTTTTGTTGCTTTGCAAGCGGTTATGTCACTCTGTATGCAAGTTGGAAGCAGTCCCACAGGTGCTTCACTTCGCGTGCATATGTTCACCTGTGAGCTGCATGTAAGTGCTACGTGTACATGTATGTAAATGTACATCCGCAGTGAAAGAGAAAGATATATATATATATATATATGTGTGTGTGTGTTTGTATATATATATATATGTAAATATGTAAATATGTATATATGTATATATATATATATATATATATTTCTAACCTTTGCATGTATTTGTGTATGTGTGCATGTCTGTATGTATGCTTGTTTGTACGTATGTATTCATGTATGTATTTTTGTATTTATGTATTACTGCACGTATGTAATCTTATGGTACATAGCGTATTGACATAATGTAATGTAGGTATATGTATTTGCGTATGTATGTATGCATATATGCATGTATGTGTATGCATGTGTGCCTGTGTACGCATGTTTGTAGGTATATATGTATGTTTGTTTGTTGGTGTGTGTATGTGTGTATGTATGCATGGATGTCTGTATATATGTACGAATGAAGGTATGGAGGCATGTCTGTATGTATAGATGCATGGGTATATATACATGTGTCTAAGCATACACACGTATCATACGCTGATATTTATATCTGTATGAAACCCTATACCTGTATGTATATATTGATGTATATGCACACATAAACCTAAAGATAGATCATTACATGCATCGGTATTTGTATGTATGTGTGTATGTATGTAATTATGTATGCATATGTATACATACATACAAGTACAAGTGAATATACATGTATATATATAATATGTTTTGCACAGGGGCATTAGTGCATACCTGTATATAAAAAATGTGCACACATATTTACATATCACACACACATATATACACATATATGCGTGTGTGTGTACATGTATGTGTGTGCGAAACATGTGCATCTATTTCATATACATATATATATATATGTATACTCCACACACATAGGCTATGGAGCTATGCCCGACAGCTACATGATATCGGCCCAAGCCTGCCGTCCCGTCGCATCAGAGATGTTTTTTTTGTGGCCGTGCATTGCCAGATCTGCAGCCGGTACACCATACAATCATTTGTTGGTTCCTGAATCGTCGCAGTAGTAGTAGTAGTAGTAGTAGTAGTAGTAGTAGTAGTAGTAGTAGTAGTAGTAGTAGTAGCAGTTGTAGCAGTTGTAGCAGTTGTAGCAGTTGTAGCAGTTGTAGCAGTTGTAGCAGTAGCAGTTGTAGCGGTTGTAGCAGTAGTAGTAGTAGTAGTAGTAGTAGTAGTAGTAGTAGTAGTAGTAGTAGTAGTAGTAGTAGTAGTAGTAGTAGTAGTAGTGGTAGTGGTAGTGGTAGTGGTAGTGGTAGTAGTAGCAGCTGCTGTTGTTGTTGTTGCTGCTGCTGTTGTTCGTTTTTGGGCGCCATGGCTGAGGGAAGCGGGGGAGCCTCTGCGGAACACGTGCCAAATCTCCTGGATGAATTTGATGAATCTGAAAGGCATGAAGCAATTGGCCGACTGCTGAAGCTCGAGAACGAGGACACCTGGAACGAGCTTCTGGGCCCCTGTTAAGTTTCCATAAGAATGGAGACAAGACAAAAGAACATCATTGCGGTATGTCAAGTGTCTCTCACTAACAATGAACCCAGGCTTCTCCACAGGTTTGCCTGCGAACGCGCCGTCCCGCGGAAAGTGACTTTCAGATCTCTGACCGGAGAGGCCGTGGAGTTGACACTCCCACCGAGGCACACTCTCTTTCACGCCAAGCAGGCTCTGCTGGACAATGTTGCCAAAAACATGCCAGCTCTAGATGTCGGCTACCGCCGAGATGCACGGTTCTTTGCTGGAAGCGAGTACCTTGTCGAAACGATGTTTGTAGCGATGCTGCCTGACGAGGTCTCTGTGGTTTTCGATCGGCTGAGGACGGATATTAGATTCGAAGATATTCCGGGCATGAAGGTGAGAAAACCCGAAGATTTTTTTGGCGGTGGATGCCCTTTCGGTTCGGACGATGAGAATTGAACGTTTCTGTTTTGGTTGTGCCCGCTGTGTTCCGATGCTGCACACCGATGTGGCATTGACCTCGCCATTGATCTCGGCTGCCTCTTTAGCCTTGCCCAACAATACTATCGCTTCTCCTGCACTTAAGCTCTGCTGCCACCATCCTATTTGCTAGGGCACCAGTTATCTTAGGGGTACTTAGAAATTAACTTTTTAAATTTTGGAGATTATAATCCCGAAGAAACAGCTAAAATCATATTTTTCCTAGGGTTCGAAGTTCAGTATATACCCTTAATATAGCTATTATATACCCATTATCTAGCCCATTATAGGGTTCTAAGTTCAGTATAGTTGTGAAGGCCCGGAGGAGCCGAAGCTACGGTGACTTGGAAGTCGCGATCAAAAGGGCCGAGAAAGGTGAACCCTAAACCCCTACACCCTAAACCCCTTAACCCTAAACCCCTAAACCCTAAACCCCTAAACCCTAAACCCTAAATCGCACCCTTCCCCAGTTCTCAGGCTTGTTTAGGGTCTGGGGTTGCCTGTGGCCCAAAACCCTAGGGATCTAAGGACTCATATATTAAGGCTTTTGGGCCCAAAGACCATACTATATAAGGCTTTTGGGCTATTTTGATCCCCAGGGAAAGACCTACCTTTTACTTTTAAGGGACTTTATATAGAAACCCTAATAAGGAACCCTAAAAAGGAAGGTCTTTTCGGCTACAGGTGTTGAGGGTTTAGAAACGTTTTTCTGCCTGACAGGAGCCTAAGTTATTCGATATTGTCGTCAGTCTCTGCCGTTTTGCAAGCAGCCCTCATAACATGGGAGTTTCCGAAAATTCGGGGTACCTTATTTGGGGGTCCTTATCATACGGATCCTACTATCTAAGGGTCCCTAAACCCTAAACCCTAAACCCTACTATTAAGGGTGCTATCTAAGGGTCCCCTTTTTTCGGCAACCTCCATGTGTTTCTGGAGCATCTTCCGGGACTGAGTGCCCGAAGTTGAGGCTCCTTGAGCTCATGTACCCAACATAAGGGTACCTTTAAGGGGTTCCTTTAAGGGATATATAGGGTTCTATAAGGGTACCTTTTAAGGGGTTCCTTTAAGGGATCTACAGGGGTATAGGGTTTAGGGGTTTAGGGCTCATGATCTAAATCCTGCCTTACCTTAATGCTCGTCCCCGTCCAAGAGCCCTGCCTCCATGGGGACGGTTTTGCGAGCTGTGCGGCGCTTCCAAGGCGACACAGCTGCCGCTGGCACGTTGGCCTTTGTGTCTCCCTCCTCCGGCTCCGCCTCAAGGTCGACGGGCTCTGCCTTTGCATTGCCCACGGTTGTGCCCTCTCGCCTTTGCCCCAAAGTCCTTCCCTCGCTGGCGATTTCGCCACGTTCACGAAGCCATCGCTCAAGAAATCTCCCTTTCCAGCGACCCGGTGGTGGAATCGGGCACTTCTTGGGGGTGGGTCTTGTGGCCTCGGCTCCTGCGGGGAGCCCTGGACCAGCTTGGCCGTCTCCCTCCGAGGCTGTGGAGGGGGTGGGGGAACAGGAGGTCGCGGAAGGCCCCGGGGCTGCCGCCTCCTGGGGGTCAGCCTTTGGGCGGAGGTTTCTTGCCCATGAAGACTGCTGACCCTGCTAGGGGACTGGTGGGGCTGAGGGGAAGTCCTGGGCAGAGTTTCCTGGGGGCTCGCTTGGGCTTCGGGCGGGGACCCGGTTTCGAGCTTCGCCTGTCAACAGCGGGGCTAGGTTTCGGGTTGAGAGCCAAAGTGGGGTCGCCGCTGGGAGGTGAGGAGCTAAGCATACTCGCGGCAATCTGCCCCTTCTTAAGGCGGGTAGTCAGCGTGCAGTGAGGGACCCGGCTGGCATTCAGAAGGCGTGACTGCGCTTTTTTCTCTCTGCGCGGCTGGGGGGTCTGCATCAGTCCTGTCGGGGCAACAAAGGGCTTGCCCTGTCCGTCGAAGCAGACCAGGTGGCCTGAGAGGCCGCAGAAGCAAGGCGGTCAAGGCTGATCCTGACGCGTTCTTGCGGTCGGTGTGAAAACGTATTCGGACTTTTCCACAAACTCAGAGCCTGGTAAGTAGCGGAGTTCTGCAATTCACAATGTGCTCCATGAAATTGGGCTCATGCCAAAATCACGTGTTAACACATGTAAAACTGTTCAAGCAACGTGTGTACAAAGGGCAGGGATGTAATGTTTCATCACCCCGATCGACCTTTCATCGAAAGCTGTATTTTCCAGGTGCATGTACACACCACATGTCATGACAGCATGTGCATGCGGTCTAGTACACGATAAGTTCTGGATGGGGAGCAGCTAGCAGCCAAGATCCTGATGCACAGCTAATGCAATACAGGAGGTTCCTTCATGTACAGGCCGCGGTGTACGAATACATAGTTTTTGTAGGTGAAGGAGCATACATTCCACAAGGAAAGCCGGAAAAATACAAAGCCGCACCGATAAAACTCACGCAGCTAATCTTTCGACCTCATCCGTAACCTAGACCCTCCAATGTCGTATCCTTTGCTTTTGCTCCCTCCAGCCTGACTCCCTGCAACTATGCGGCTGAATGAATACGGCCCAAGTCCCAATTCATTTGTCAGCTGCTCTTAGGCTTACAGTATCGCGCCCATAGCAGCGGTTGAAGAGTGGCAGATCCTCAGTCCGTACATCATGCATTGATTTGTCAACTCAGGGGATAGCAGCAGCCGTTCCTGATCTGGGCGCCATGGCACAGGAAGCGGGGGCAGAGTCTGCAGAGGATGTGCCAAATCTTCTGGACAAGCTTGATGAGTCTCAAAGGAATGAAGCAGTTGGCCGACTGCTGAAGCTCGAAAACGAGGATACCTGGAATGAGCCTCTGGGGCCTTGTTAAGATAGCGGCGTAAATGTATGCAAGAGATTATTGGGAAATGATGTGCAATTCTTCAATATGGTATGTTAAAGGAAGCTTCTCCGTAAACAATGAACCCAGGCTTCTCCACAGGTTTGCCCGCACGCGTGGCGTCCCGCGGCAAGTGACTTTCAGATCTCTCACCGGAGAGGCTGTTGAGTTGACACTGGCACCGCAGCACACTCTCTTTCATGCCAAGCAGGCTCTGTTGGACAATGTTGCCAAGAAGATGCCAGCTCTAGAAGTCGGCTACCGCCGGGATGCACGGTTCTTTGCGGGAAGCGAGCTCCTTGTCGAGAAGATGCTTGTGGCGATGCTGCCTGACGAGGTCTCTGTTGTTTTCGATCAAGTGAAGAAGAAGTTCCACGAGCTCTCTGATTCAAACGACAGCGACGATTTTTCGCTGGGTGGCGGCCTTTTCGGTACGGACGATGAGGATTGAAGGTTTTTGTTGCTTTGTGTACAGCCTTGGTTGTTGCCTGCTGTAGTCCGATGATGTGCCCTGCTGTGGCATTAACCCCATTGCCCTTGATCTCCGCTGGCTCGTCAGCCTGGCCCCACAGTGCAATGCCCTGTACCTGAGCTTTGTTGTCAAGCAACCAAGCCAGCGTAACTTGGATATCGCGAAGGAAACACGCCGAAGCTTTGTGATTTAGAAGCCTGGGCACTTGTCGAAATTGTTCCTTGCACTCCCTGTCGTCCTACTTGAGGCTTGAAGGGTGTCTACTTCTTAAGGCTTGCAAGATGTTAGTCCCAGTCTCAAAAGCTTGAACAGCTCTGTGGCTCTGACCGTTCTTTCGCGCGCAGCAGTTTATGCTAAGCAGTGTCCCTTCCGATCTCCACCACTTGCAAGCAATCCTCTTCCTGAGTTCGAGCATCTTCGCAACAGAGTTAGTTGAACTCTAAACTTTTTGGGCTGATGTATGCAACAGTTCGGCGCTGGAGTGCCTATCTAGGTAGGACATGAAGTTCCGATAGCATGATGCATTATTCCGAGCGGAGAGCCAAGAGGTCGGCAAGCAAGGTTTCTTCACGAGTAAGAAGCTTGTGCCTGTGGTCTAAGTCTAATGCAGGGGGTTCGAGTCGTGGAAGACATACCTTCCAGCAGCTGAAGACTGATCCTGGTTGTGGTTCTCACGTAGTAGGCTTTTCGGCTGTTTCGGGACAGTGCTTCTCGGTGTTTTTTCTTGTAGTAGGATCGCCGGAGAAGGAGATGCAGCTTGACCGCTCAAACCTTAATCGCTGGAAGTGCCGTGAGCCCTTAACTGTTCCCCGACCGCCCGATTTCTACGCCGGGTTTGAGGTAAGAACCCAGGGTCCAAAAAGGATGAGGAAAGTAGCACCCCCGCCCCTTACCCAATTTGGCACCTTTTGCCTTAAAATCCTAAACCCTAAACCCCTGGTACCACTTCAGGGATCCCTCTCATCGGTCATTTCAGGGTTCGTTTTTTGCTATGTATAGTTCCTTGACAAGGTAGGTCTTTTCGGCTTTTGGCAAGCCGTAAGAAACTGGGAAGCCCAGGGTGTGTTCATTTTGGGATCCCCCTGATTTCATGCATTGAGGGACTCAGGTTAAGGGCTTAGGGCTACACTTACGGGTGTTTATGTGATACTGGAGCATATTTGTAAAAGTGCTAGCTGCGGTGACACCGAATCGGGTTTACGAGGGCAGCGCGGAAGTTTCTGATTTCTGATACACTGTCGATCTGGCTTGTTCCTTGGCATCGCCAGCGAAAAAATAGCCAGCTAGACACGAAAGCTACGTAGCGCTGGCTATGGTCCTCGAAATAAGCCCGGAACTCCCCTGAACCGTTGAGAGTGTAAACCGCAAGCCTCTAGCCTGACGCCCTGCAGCTGCACAGCCGAATGCTATCGGCCCAAGCCCAAGCCCAAGCCTCAACTCAACTGTCATGCGCACTTGTTGCATTACCCTAAAGGTCCATTTACCTAAATAGTATATACGTTGGCTTTAAAGTAGTCCCTATATAGGTACTTTGGGGCCAAAGTATATACTATTTCTGTACATGGACCATTGGGTCTAGCACCCACACCAATGGTTGGAGGTTGGCAGATCTCAGTCAACATGCTGCTCCAGCTCTGGGAGCCATGGCACAGGAAGCGGGTGGAGACGCTGCGGGGGGTGTGCCGGAGCTTCTGGAAAAGCTTGATGAATCTCAAAGGAATGAAGCAGTTGGCCGACTGCTGAAGCTCGAGAACGAGGACAAGTGGAACGAGCTTCTGGTTCCCTGTTAAGTTACTCTATAAAACTGAGTGGTGTGTATACATGTGTGAACATATATATATATATGTATTTGTTTAAACATAAATATGTGTATCTGTATATATATATATATATACATATGTATATACATGTATACATGAAACAGAGCATATGGACACTGGCAAACCCTATGCATTCCTTATTGCCGAATGTCAAATTCCTTCAAACCACCCAGGCTTCTCCACAGGTTTGCCTGCAAGCGTGGCATCGCACGGCAAGTGACTTTCAGATCTCTCACCGGAGAGGCTGTTGAGTTGACACTTCCACCGCAGCACACTCTCTTTCATGCCAAGCAGGCTCTGTTGGACAATGTTGCCAAGAATATGCCAGCTCTAGATGTCGGCTACCGCCGGGATGCACGGTTCTTTGCGGGAAGCGAGCTCCTTGTCGAGAAGATGCCGGTGGCGATGCTACCTGACGAGGTCTCTGTGGTTTTCGATCAAGTGAAGATCTACGGGATCCCTCAGTTTATGTTTGACGACGATGTAGACTTACTGTGATGCAGGCTTCAGCTGTATGCCGCACCGCTTGAGTTGTGTCCTGCTGGCTCGTTGCTGTGCTTCGATGCAACATTGACCCCAATGCCCTTGAGGGCGGGTGCTTTTCACCTTGCCCAGTAGTGCTATGATATGGCTTATCCTATACCTACCTATATAAGCTGCACTGGCACTAAACAGCGCCAGAAGACACCGAAGCTGCGGTGACTTGGGAATCGCCAACGAGACGTGCCCACTTAGTGCCAAAGTCCTCGGGTGCCTCAATGACTAATGCCGAACCACCATCCTCGGGTGCCTCAGTGACTAATGACTAATTCCGAACCACCACCCCCGAACCCTAAACCCACCGATTAGTTTAACAATCATGCAGATCTAACTCCGAAAGCCCTGAACTTCGCAGACTCAGAGTCCCAAACCATGAAGAAAGCAGAGCCCTGTCCCTAACAGATGGGCCACCCTGAAGCTCAAGTCAAAAATCCTTTTGGACGACCCTTCCTCGTAGAGCTTTACACACCTTTGCCCCGGATGCCTTTGGAACAACGCCGAGCCCTAGCACTCGCAAGCAGAATCACCCCCGCAACTCTCGTTTCGGGCTTAGGGTTTAGGGTTGCGTCTGCCCTGAAGCCCACAACCCAGTGTGACTGCTGAAATACCCTTAAATCCTAATTCAGGCCTCAACCTTGAACTCTTTTCGAAACATCCTAAACTTAAACCCTAAACCCTAAACTTAGAAGACTCGGGTGTCCGTCTTCAACTTCTACAACTACGACTGGGGTGACTTCGCTGGGAGTTTAGTTTCACTAAGTTGAGAAGGAAACTTAGAAGCGCTCGGCGATGTCCAGGACTTCCCTGGCAAATGGCTCGGTTCCAGAGCGACTGTCGGCACTGCTCTTGGCGCAGGCCCTGCCTTTAGGGTGAAAAGGAGTTAGAGCTGACTGCCCTGGGCCTGAGTTTTACAGTTTTTTGTGCCAGAACGATCCTTTCCGCGGATTTTCGGTTTTGGTGTAAAAGGGGTACAAAGGGGACAGGGGTTCTAGGGGACAAGAGGTTCAGGGTTTGTGGGAACAGGATTTAGGGTCAAGACTAAGACGGGTGTGGGGTCTCGGAAAATTTAGGTGCAGGATTTGTGGCTCAGGTTTTAGTGGAGAAGGATTTAAGGATTCAATGGTTTGCTGGGCTGTAATTGGGAGTTTCCGATAATAGGGGACTCTAATATAGTACCCTAAATAGTAGGATCCCTACTATAAGGACCCCGAAATAAGGAACCCGCATTTTCGGAAACCTAATCTGGTCTGGCGAGTTTCACACCTTTTGATGCACGAGCCATCGATGAGGAGGGGAGTTGAGAGGCACTTCAGAGATAGGACTTAGAACTATTATCGGGTTTTATGGTTTAGGGTTTTGGGGTTTTAGAACAGGAATATATGAGAGACCTCGTTCAGAAGCTTGAACCCGGGAACCACACACTTTAAGGCACAGGGTTTTATGTTTCTGGGGGCCCACAGTCTGGGGGTTCGTTTCGGGCCCCCTGTAACTCACACTCGTTGTGAGGGTCATCAAGCAGCCAAGTTCCCTGGGTTTACCGGCTTTACATTTGTGCCGGCATGTCAGTTTCCGGCATTTCCGCGCTTTGGTGTTTTGGTCCTTGTAGAGCTCGTTTGGACACGGCTTGCCTGCAGAAGCCGCCAGACTGTGTATGTGTTATTCGTTTCCAGTTTCTCTAGATGCTCCAATGCCCAAACAGAAAATTACCGCCATCGCAACTAGATCAGCAGTATGGCTATATACGTATACTAATATACATATATACATATATACATATATATATATATATACACATACATATACATATACCGATACCTATACCTATACATATATGCAAACGTACATGTATACGTATACGTATACATATACATAGACATAGACATAGACATATACATCTACATATACATATATACATATACACATATATATATATATATATATATATATGGATAATCAGAGTTCTGTTCTGCCGTGGTGTCGTTCCAGTATTGACAAGAAGCTGCCATCTCCATCAGAATCATTGAGCTTGATACATCTTGATCGCTCATCGCTTATAAGTTATGGACTTTTGAGGCTCATGAATGTGGTATCGTTGTTCGGGAGGTCTAGGCCCTAAACTAAACCTTAAATCCCTAAACCCAAAACCTTATCGGAAGCTACTGAATGCCTGTTCAGGCCCTGGCAGTGGCTGAAGCTCCGCCAGCAGTCCTCGAGGCGCTGGTTATTTTTGGATCTTGTTGTGTCTAACAAATGAAGTAGCTTGGGTTACAGTCTGCGGGTCGGGGGAATTGGGGTTCAGGGTTTTCGGATGCAAAACACGGGTTCCGTTCTTTTGTACAGGAATTCAGGCTGATGTAGGTTTTGAAAAGCTTGAACATGCGCGGCGGACGTCCTGGCTCATACGCGGAAGGCACTACAAGCGCTACCATACTCATACATGCCGTCCACACAAGCCAAGGCAGGTGGGGGAACTTCATGACGGGGAGAAGGGATGTTCGCTTATGCTATGTCCCGAAGCCAACCACATCGTATTGCTGTTTTTTCGGTTCCGTCACCCAGGTGCTTGCCTCGGAAGCGGAGCGGTTTCTCGTCTTGAAGGTGGGGGTGTGATAGGGCTTAAGGTTGAAGGGTTAGTATTATCAGTACATCCCAGAAGCCCTATGTAGTCCCTGCACCCTGAACCGCCGCTCGCTCTACACTAACCGCTGAAACCATGTAATCAAAAAACGCTCAACCCTAAACATTCTCAATCCTGAAACCTACATTACACATTCTTCGGGATGCCATTTCCGAGCTGCAGATCATTGGGGAGTATAGTGAACCCCGGAAGTTAGAACATGGGCTTATGATGATTAACGCTGGCGTTGCCTTTCGACCTTCCTTACTGGCACGAGGATAGTGGTGCTTCGGTTTTAGAGCTTCCGGGCAGGATTATTCTATCGTTTCTTTTTTGTTCAGAAGGGAGGGGTGGGGTGGGGCACACTGAATTCTTGAAATCCTTGATGAAGGACTACATCGGATATGGTCTTGCTCCAGTCAGCAGTAGATGTTGACATTGAAAGGTGTACCTGGAATGGTTTGGTCTTCAGCATCACCACCTGCCCTTCGCGAGCGTTAAAGTCCGTGAATGCGCACCCCTGCGCCAATCAATTAAAGCTCCAAGCCCTACGTGGTAGTTTCCGAAAATAGAGGACCCGAAAATAGTACCCTAAATAGTAGGGTCCTTATTATAAGGACCCCAAAATAAGGTACCCTAATTTTGGGAAACCCCAATGTGACTTGATGGCAGAGCTCTTGGTGGGTTGGGGAACGAGAGACGAAGATCTTCGACCCCTGCAGCGGCATAAAAGCCTGAACCCCAGAATCATACTATTAAGGAATTACCTTAAATCTTGCTATGAAGGCCCCTATAGTTTAAGGTATACCCCAAACCCTACACCATTAATTCAGGAGTATATTTAACCCAAAGACTCCCGAAAGCCCGGGTGAAAGATCATACATACCGACATATTTGGAACCCTCCCTTCCCCCTCCCGAAAAAAAGGCTTGTAATGATTCTGCCTTGATGGGTTGGTACATTGTCCTGAGTCAGGTCACATGGCATCATGACATCTGGAAGATGGGTGTTTGTGTTTTTGTTGGGAGGGAGGGGGTAGCATATATGTATGCTAGTTTATCCTGAAATACATCAGTGATGCTACAACAGAGGCACATATGTAAGAGGCATTGGAGTCTCTGCGAGCCACTCTCAAGTCTGGCGACAGGACGGCAGCCATGGCTTCGCACAACTTGGTGAGGTGGGGTGGGCAGTCATAGAGTGTCGGCTAATAAAAGGGGCCTGAATATCCACTAGTTAATAGAAAGCGCCTCAATATTTAATTACTAGTACAAATTTGGGGTGTCATTATTATACTTATGCTATAATGGGCTCCAAAACCCCATTCTGATGATTAAGGCCCGCATAGTACTTGCTGAGAGCCTTGGAGCCTTGGAGCAGTCATAGCAGGCATCTAATTCTGGACTGACCTGTATAATGCAGGAACCTGATTAATAAACTCTGGCCCTATAACACCACAGAATAGTAGGATTCATATAAGGACCCCTGATAAAGGCCCAAGGTTTCTAAATCAGGTTCCTTCATTAAGCAAGATGGTGTAGCTGGTAGATACTGATCCTAAACCCTAAACCCTAAACCCTAGCTCGGGATTAGGGATTAGGGATTACTGATCGATGCTGAATTTCTGGCGGTGCCGCTGCATTTTGAGGCCGGAGCTCTGAACCCTGACTCCGAAGGACTACTTTCAGGATTATTGCCCAAAGATCTCAATACCCCTTAATCGGCTTCGGTCCTCTCCTGTTCCCGGGCCCTTGTGCCCTTGTGCCCTTGTGCCCTTGTGCCCTTGTGCCCTTGCCCTTGTGCCCTTGTGCCCTTGTGCCCTTGTGCCCTTGTGCCCTTGTGCCCTTGTGCCCTTGTGCCCTTGTGCCCTTGTGCCCTTGTGCCCTTGTGCCCTTGTGCCCTGGTGTCCTTGTGCCCTTGTGCCCTGGTGTCCTTGTGCACTGGCATCGGGCTTGTCAAGCTGGTATGAAGTTTCGAACGCCTCGCTTTCGTTCCTGTTCTTTTGCTGATGATGCCAGGATGCTTAGAGCATGTGTATTTATGTTTATATGTGTACATGCATATATTTACCTTTATATGTATGTGTATATAAGTATGTTTGTATGTATGTTTATATATTTATATGTTTACATGTGTACATGTATGTACATGTATATGTGTACATGTATATATATATATATATATGTATATATGGAGCGTGGGGGCAATGGGTGCAGCACCTCACAGTTGCGCGGTGCGTCGGTGCACCGCATGCAACTCGGTTGCGCCGATGCGCCAGCCAGTGCGCCGTTGCGCCGCTGGAACACGGATGCGCCGATGTACCGGTGCGCCGGTGCGCCGACCCACCACATGGATGCGCCGGTGCGCCGACGCCGGCTGCGCCGCTTGCGCCAACTGCGCAGCTTGTGGAGCCTTGGACTGATGGGGCGCCCCTGATTTTAAAATCAGAACTCTTACCACCCTTGAACTCCGAGGATGGAGCCTTGGACTGATACGGCGCCCCTGATTTTAAAATCAAAACTCTCACCACCCCTTGAACTCCGAGGATGGAGCCTTGGACTGACGGGGCGCCCTTGATTTTGAAAAAACAGAACTCTTACCACCCTTGAACTCCGGGGATGGAGCCTCGGACTGATGGGGCGGTCCTGACTTTAAAACCAGAAGTCTTATCACCCTTGAACTCCGAGGATGGAGCCTCGGACTGATGGGGCGCCCCTGATTTCAATATCAGAACTCTTATCACCATTGAACTCCGAGGATGGAGCCTGGGACTGATGGGGCGCCTTTGGATGAAAAATGAGAACTTTTACCACCCTTGAACTTCGAGGATGGAGCCTCGAACTGATGGGGCGCCCCTGAGTTTAAAATCAGAACTCTTACCACCCTTGAACTCCGAGGATGGAGCCTCGGACTGATAGGGCGGTCCTGTCTTTAAAACCAGAAGTCTTATCACCCTTGAACACCCCTGATTTTAAAATCAGAACTCTTATCACCATTGACCTCCGAGGAAGGAGCCTGGGACTGATGGGACCCCCTGGATTGAAAATGAGAACTCTTATCACCCTTGAACTCCGAGGATGGAGCCTGGGACTGATGGGACCCCCTGGATTGAAAATCAGAACTCTAATCACCATTGAACTCCGAGGATGGAGCCTGGGACTGATGGGGCGGCCCTGATTTTAAAATCAGAACTCTTACCGCCCTTGAACTCCGAGGATGGAGCCTTGGACTGATGGGGCGCCCCTGATTTTAAAATGAGAACTCTTACCACCCTTGAACTCCGAGGATGGAGCCTCGGACTGATGGGGCGCCCCTGATTTTAAAATCAAAACTCTCACCACCCCTTGAACTCCGAGGATGGAGCCTTGGACTGACGGGGTGCCCTTGATTTTGAAAAAACAGAACTCTGACCACCCTTGAACTCCGAGGATGGAGCCTTGGACTAATGTGGAGCCCCTGATTTCAGAATCAGAACTCTTATCACCATTGAACTCCGAGGACGGAGCCTCGGACTGATAGGGCGGTCCTGTCTTTAAAACCAGAAGTCTTATCACCCTTGAACTCCGAGGATGGAGCCTCGGACTGATGGGGCGCCCCTGATTTTAAAATCACAACTCTATTCATGTTTATATGTATACATGTGTACATGTATATGTGTATATGTGTATGGGTAATTATGTATTCTTGTGTAGATGCATATATTTAGATGTGTATATATGTATATATGTATAAATGTATATATGTATATGTGTACACGTGTTTTGTGTATATATGTGTACGTGTACATATGTATATGTGTATGTATGTATGCACGCATGCATGTATGTATGTATGTATATATATATATATATATCAAAATGTGTATATGTACATAAGTAATTATGTGCATGTTTATATACGTATATGTGTATATATGTATAGATGTATATATGTACATCTGTACTTTTGTATATGTACATACATATGTATGTTTTATACGTGTTATATGTATATGTGTACATATGTAGAAATGTATACATGTGTATATGTATACTTGTATATTTGTATATATGTCTATGTGCATTCGCGCTCTTGTGCCCTTGTGCCCGTGCCCTTGTGCCCTTGTGCCCTTGTGCCCCTGTGCCCTTGTGCCCTTGTGCCCTTGTGCCCTTGTGCCCTTGTGCCCTTGTGCCCTTGCCGTGCCCTTGTGGTGCCCTTGTGGTGCCCTTGCCGTGCCCTTGCCGTGCCCTTGTGCCCTTGTGCCCTTGCGCCCTTGTGCCCGGGATCACTGGGGGACCTCTCTCCCTTAATTAAGGATTATACCTTGAATTATAGGGGGCTTCATATTTTGGTTTAAGGTTTATTTCCTATTAAGGGGGAAGACTCGAGATCCTAATGTTGCGGTCTTATTACGGAGAATAGCGTTCTGGGTTTCAAGACAGTATGATGACGATATGGGCCCATGCCGACTAGAAGTAGTTCTACGAACTACTGCTGAGGCCCCCCTAAATCCTAAAACCTTTTCTGTAATGAGAGGCCCTGGGTTGAGAGATTTGCGGTTTTTGGTCCTTTGCCAAGGCAGCCCTAGATGTTTTGGCCTCCGTGTCCTTCGCGCACCCCACCGCTGCGACTTTCGGCGGGGAAAGGGCGGGGCCTTTGCTTCGGAGTAGCCTGGTTTAGGGGTCATGGGTTTAGGTTTTAGGTGTGTGGGCTAGAAGTAGACGAAGTAACCTTCAACCCCTTGGTCCTGTTATAATGCCACATACGACCTATACAACCTCAACAGTTAACCTTTTGTTCTCGCAGGCCCTAATAGCGATAAGCAAGGCGAACTCAAGACTTTAGTTTTAGATTTGTTGGTTTGGGGTTGGTGGTTCGGGTTTCAGAGGTTGTCGATGCTTTGCACACTCTGCCTACTAGAGAGAGCCTGCCAGTTCCTAGCAGGTCGTAAATGTAGTATAGTATAGTGCAGTTACCCTAAATTTCAAATCCTAGGCCTTCAGCTATGAGTCCCCTGGTCCTATAATTAGCCTGCCTGCCTTTCCCAGCCGGTGCTCCAGGATCGAGAATCTGGGCTGGAGCAAGATGGCAGAGACCTGGCTCTTGGTAACCATAATCTATCTACTTTACAACCCTAATTAGATTGCAAAATGCCCTGAACAACTTTTCAAAAAGGTTAGGTATCATGTGCTAAGAACTTGCAAACACTTGCTGCAACTTCGGCGACAATTGCTTCAGCGAACGTCGCTTCCACGGATGTATCGTTGACGTAACTATGTGTGTGGCCAGTGACAATTGTGCGCACGCGTCCGGGGCCAAGGCTGAATCTCTCCCAGCAATATTTAGTCATGTAATTGACTGAAACTCTGGTACTCCCGCAACCAGGTTCTTGTATCAGGCCTTACATCACATGGTATAATCATGTTGATTGTTTCTGATGTGTGCACATGTGTACATATATATTTAATATAATGTTAAACATACATACATACATACATATATATATATATATATGTAGGTTCATGTGTGTGTGTGTGTGCACCTACGAATACCTGTTTATTTGTATAGATGTGTAACTATATATCCATAGCACCTGGTATTGTAATGTATTCATTGCTCGAAGACAAAATAAGGCAATATAATACAGTGTACTACAATATAACATAATACGACCTAATGTAATAGGCCATAATGCAACTTAGTAAGTAATATTGTCACACCATACAATGGAAGGTGTCATTTTCTTATGTGTTACAATCTTACCTAATATAGTATCACTCAATACAATTTTTGTATAAAACAATGTAATATAAGATAATATGAAATATAGCATGTCGTAGTAAAATATAAAGTGAAGACCGCATCGTGCCACACCCATGCCTTGTCATATCGTCAGTTTTTATATGATATACGGTTATATAATCTACATATAGTATAAGCTACTATGATATGATATGGTGTGATACATAAATGCTTACATACAGGCATTCTTGCATGCATCATTCCATGCACCTGTCCATCCACTGCCGCCATGAATCCATAGATCTTGGCATCCATACACCTACCCATGTATACATACATGTGTTTCCCTAAACCCTAAACCCTTACTTGCGTGTTTGTTTGCAGCAGCTGCACAGCGAAAATTCAAAAGGTGCCTCGAAGGAATCCGGAACTCTAGGCACCGTCCTGTATCAACCGCGAAGGTCGCCTGTTCCCTCTAAGCCTTGAGGGACACTTTAATTCCAGACCCGAAACCCCAAACGGCAACAGCCTGGAGAAAGGTTTTAAACACAGAAAACCATGGACTTTGCCTAAGTACCCCAACCTCTCAAACCCTGAAGCACTGCCCTCTAATCTTGCTCCCCTTACTCACAGTCGTTTCTAATAATATGATGTCTATTGGTTGGCAGCAAACCTATAGAGGCTTTGTAGTTTCCATGACAGAACCCTTGTAGTCTAGTATTAGTAGCTCTTATAGAAACCAGAGCTGAGGCGCTCTTGGAGGAGCGCGACAGCCCCCCGGAGAGCGGGACAGAGCAGCTCCAGGCAGGCATGTCCAGGCTGTAAGGCCTTTAGGGGGTGGTTGCAGGAGTTTGTCGGCCGGATGCTTTTTGGGTTTTTTTGTATGGATTTAGGTTGTAGAATTTAGCCACCTGGCAACTCGTCTTTTCTTATTGTCGCATGGGCTGTTTGCAGTGGCTTAGACTCGTTCGATCGGTAGCAGCTAGTTGAAAATTTTGGGTTTTGATTGCAACAGACAGGAGCGGCTCCCCGAAAGAAGTCGTCATGCAAAGGCAAGGGCTTGCTATGATGAACCTTAAGTCCTTGCGTAATTTCGGTGTCTGAAGAGCCCAGACCCCTGGACAGGGTTTTCATTTCAGTTCTTGTGATGTAGTTAATGTAGTTAGTCCTATGCACCCAAAAGCCTACTCCAGTCTATCGGTTTATGCACCTTTTCCGGAAGCCCGGAAATACAAGAAGCCTTCTTGCATGGCTACTTGACGACACCCGTCCAGCCCCATGAGCAACCCTGCCCTAAACCCTAAACCTTCTTCACAGGTTCTGGTTTGTGGTCTGCTGGCCGCCAACTGCCTAGCCGCAGCTGATGACTCGGTGGCAGAGGCTGGTCTAGGGTTTGTAGGGTCTAGCAAGTGTGGCAAATGTGCTAACCCCAAGAGCTCTGTAGGGACTACACCCCTAGAGGATCATTAGTCGGGTTCTGGCTGTGGCAATTTTTGTGATTGTCCTTGAAATTTGCTGTCACCGGGTAGAGGAGTCCCGAAAGCCCCGAACCCCCAAATCACAAGCCTCAGGCCACACACCTCAATTTCGTTAAAAGTATGATTCTGCCAGCATAGATCCTCAAACAGTGATAGAGCCCCACTACGATCATCATGACGGCCACGACGACCATGACCACCAGGACCAGGAGACAACGAAGCGACTACCAGAAGACTACCAGGAAACTGTGTTTGACTAGTTTAGCGTGTTCAAACAAAAAGTTCCTAAACCTTGGCCCGACACGTAAACCCCCAAAACCCTCAACAACCTAAATCTTGACAGCTCCTGCAAAGCAATCAGAGATTCGGCTTTGGTTGGCATGAAGCTGTATGATGCAACCTACGGGGTCAGGTCCGGGATACGTAAGACCTTCCGTAAGGCTGCCAAATGTCCTACCTCCGACTGCAATTCAGCTTGGGGGCTTGAAACCTCTTGACGAAGTACCCATAAACCCATAGCCGTGAAGAGACGCGCGTTGGGATAGCACAAGCTCTTCCCAGCTCAAGTTTCAGATTGATGGAGCGGCAGACGAGGGGAGGTAGTGGCTCAGGTCTATTTGTTTCGCCGACTCCCCCCCCCCTCAACCCCGTAAATCGTGAACAAAAAATACAGCCTTGTGCACCACACCCGGCCCCAAGGACCCCTTGATCCATCGCTTCGGGATGTTTGAGCTGTATTACACTGCATAATGAATAAGAACATACTTATACAAACAGTGAGTACAGCAATAACAATGCAACACTGTATTGTGTGCCGAAGCGGCAGGAAGTCCACAATCGACTGGCTTCTGGAAGCTTCTTTCGGCTATATGCGGCTCAGCTGCGTGTGCGCAGGAGTTTCGGAACGCTAAGAGTGCATATCTTTTTATAAGCAAACAAATATAGATATGAATATAAATATATATATATATATATATATATATATATATATATATATATATATATATATATATATATGTACCTATCTATCTATCTATCTATATATATATATGGTCACGCCCCCCCATGATCCATACCATGGTTTTTTCTACCTCCTGCTGCTCATGCTTCGATTTCTACATGACTTCACCTACATACAAAATCATCGGTATTTGCGGTATTTTCTGCACCTAGCATCTACTGAACTCTACATGTTGTAATTTGTTCTCACATGTTATATCCCCACGAAACCCGAAACGGATTCTGATTTCACTTTCGGGCTCCGCTCTTCCATCCAAAACCTGGCACTCCATGTTTCAGGAGGCATCACCGGTGGTTATGCAAAATCTTCAACATGTTGCCTGTCACAGTCGCCATGTTTTGGTGCCGATGCCAATACTCAAACTGGCAGCTTCGAATCTTCCTGGTCATTGCCTGATTGCCTGGAAAGCGTGACACATACTTCAAGTGTTTTCATAACATTATAGTACTAACGCTAATACAGTACTACTGCTAATACATATCACAATACTTTACTAACATCAATATTTGCAATAGTATTGATACTCCTACGAGTACGAATACATAAACTCTTGTGGTGTTAACAATAATGCCACCACCAACACTGATACGGATATTGATAATCTGTTGATTATTCATGAATGCCAGTACTATTACCAGCATGAACACTTATATTATGGCTAATACGACTATGAATAGTCCTAATTCTAACATCAACATTAATACTCCTACGAATACCAATAGTATATTCGTATTGATATCAATACTAATCTCTTTACTAATAGACAACTGCATATACTAATGTACATAAAAATACATACCACTATCTTTAGATACAGATATATACATTAGTGCATTCATGTACTAATGTTTTGGCATAAACATATACCCATATACCAATGTAATAATATACTTCCCGTTAATGTATGAATATACTAAACTAATATGCGAGTATACTAATATACGACTACTGCAATATGCAAGTATACCGACATGACAAATTAGTAGACTAATATGCCAACATACTGATATACTTGTAAATATGACTAGACAATACATGAATATAGAACACATACTAGTAAACTAATACACCAATATACTAATGTACTCGTGCACCAGTTATACTAACATATCAAATATACAAGTATACAAATATGTTACTGTTCGAATGCATTAATACTATATTGATATACTAGTCTGCTACTATACGAAACTATCAATATACTAACATATCATGACTAGTTCTAGTATTGATACGAATATTAGCACTTCTGCGAATAGAAGCTGCGATTAAACCCAACATTAAGACTGACACTGATACTAGCAGTGGTGCTGTATTACTGACATTGACACTGGCACTAGCGCTAACTCTAACACGAGCATGGGCATCAACACTAATCTATATTTACTATATTGACATGTATACTATTACAGCAAACACTAGTACTAATATCATTAAGAACAATACTCATGCTACTATCGCTACTTCCACAAAACTATCATGTAACTCATGCGCCGCACGTCTGGTGCATGCGTCCTCAGTACATGGCATGTCAAAGTATATGTTGTATATCTACTGCAAATGTTTTACTTTACAGATTGTCGTCGGGTGTGGTGTGCTTTGGTACAATATCTCAAGGAATTGGTGGCATCGAGAGCATCTTGCAAGGATATGTCACCCCCGTCGCGGATCATGCTGGAAAAGAGGAAAAGAGGGACACAAACGATGACTTTCACTCGGGAGAGAACTGCAACGGATATGTCGTGGAACATACCGCACCTTGACATGGCATTAAAACAAAGCATATGCCATGTGTATACACGTGGCAAACAAAGACATAATAGGAACACAGCATCCAAGATCAGCAAATGCCGCCTGGCTCGAAAATCCACAAAATTTGTAAAGCCTGAAATGCGAAAACATCGGCAGGGCTCAAAAATCACCAAAATTACCAAAATCGTGGCATCTATGGGGCCATGCGTGTTTAGTTTTGCAAAACTTTGGGGATTTTCGAGCCTGGCAATGTTTTAGCATCCGACGTTGAAGAAATGCCGCCAGGCTCGAAAATCCCCAGAATTTGTAAAGCCTGAAATGCGAAAACACTGGCAGGGATCAAAAATCCACAAAATTCCCAAAATCCGGCAACTATGCGGAGTGCGGGGCCATAGTCTGTCATATTTTGGGGATTTGGGGAATTTTTGATCCCTGCCAGTGTTTTCACACTTCAGGCTTCAGGAATTTTGGTGATTTTCGAGCCTGGCAGTGTTTTAGCATCCGACGTTGACGAAATGCCGCCAGGCTCGAAAATCCCCAAAATTTGTAAAACCTGAAATGCGAAAACACTGGCAGGGATCAAACATCCCCCAAATTCCCAAAATCCTGGCAACTATGCGGAGTGCGGGGCCATAGTCTCTCACATTTTGGGGATTTTTGATCCCTGCCAGTGTTTTCGCACTTCAGGCTTCAGAAATTTTGGTGATTTTCGAGCCTGGCAGTGTTTCAGCATCCGAAGCTGCCCAGCTCCCATGATCCACTGCTTACCAAAAGCAAGCATAGTATGGATCATGCGGGGGGGGCGGGGGGCGTAAGCATATATATATATATATAGATAAAGATAATGGTTCTAGACATAAATAGACATGTTAATGAAGAAGAATACTTGCTTTGGGGCTGAAAGCTTCTGAAATATTGTCTGCCTGTAGTCTTATTGGAAGGTGTGTGACGATGTTGGCCTGTGGGTAGTCGGCTTCTGATTCTTACTGTACAGGACCATGGAGGACCAGTAAAGAAGCCCATGAACATAGATGTTCGTTGACAAGGGTCGCCCGGGACCGGCGCACAGACGCCGAGCTGAGCTTGCGCCCAGACTTTCCCCCTTGGAGTTTCATAGACCCTAAGGCCCTAAGGCTCCAAGTACCCAAATAGTAGGGTTTCAAGGTCCAAAAACCATTCAGAGGATGGATCTTGGGACCTGGAACCCTACTATTGGCCCGTGTCGACGCGTACCAGAGCCCAGAATCTGCGAGTGCTTGACCATCTTGCTACTGTCCGCAAGAGCCTTGTTGCATGCCGATGCCTGTAAAGTTTTCTCCTTGTGTGCCTCAGACACATAGAATGCCCAGATTGCTGGAGATGCACAGGTTTTCCCCTGTTAGGGCCTGTCCCTCCCTCTGTGCCTGGTTGGGGGTTTTAGGTTAATTAGGCCTTCTCCTTCCCTGCTGTCAGCTTTCACTCGGAGTATCTCGGAGTTGATCTCCCGATGAGTGTCTTTTCTCAGTGGCAATTCGACTTCGTTCACGGCGTGGTCAGGATTGGTGCTGTCGTCAAATCTTTCGGTACCTGGACCCTCTGGGTAGAGGCATCCAACTTCCCTTCATCTCCAGCTGCCCCACTGCCCCGTCACACATCGCGAAGACGACAAAGACAATCGAATTCTGAACTCGTGAAGTAGTCTACGGGCCTAAACAATTACTAACATGATTTTGGTGGTTCCTTATTGTAAGTCTGGTATAATGTACCGGAAACCCTTTTCTAGCATCAAGGGCCCTATATGAAGCCCGGGTCTCCAGTCTACCAGAATTATTTCGATTCTCTGAAGCCACCCCTATAGACCCCCCCAGCCAACCCCTAATATACCCAAATACCCACTATTAAGGATTATAAGGGCTCCATTATAGGGCAAGGGCCACATTTGGGGAGTCCTGGAAACCCTTCTGAAACTTTGGATTTACAAGGCTCAATGCCTTGCGGCCTCCGTCGCTCGCGAGGCATGGCCGCAGGAGCGCAGGTGCTCAAGCACCTTATATATATATATATACATATACATATATACATATATACATATATACATATATACATATATACATATACATATATATATATATATGTATATGTATGCGTATATATATATATATATATACATACAAAGATATAGGGTTTATGTGTGGGCTTTTCCCCTGGACCCTTGAGGCCTTGTCCGTTTCAGTCCGGTTTTGGGTACAGGAGTAGCTTTTTGTTGCATGCTGGTGCCGAGCATTGCTTGGTAAATTTACCATCATCTACATCTACAGACATTTAATCGTGGCTATGTTGTTGATGCGCGCTGTGTCCGATGATGCCTACCCGCAAAGCTCCAATCAATGGCCCCAAAAAGTATAGAGGAATCCGCATGATATGTTAGCTAAGATATCTAGCAGCTTCAAGAAGGGGGGTAGAGGTAGAGTCACTGGCGACCGGGAGCACCACAATCCTACGGCAGAGGGCAGCCACAAGCTAGGAGATCTTCGTGGTTTTCGGACATGAAGGTAGGTGAATCCGAAACCCCTAAACAAGTATTGGATCTCTGATCCCGCCTACGTCTTGCTCCAGTTTGTCAAAGATTGAAAGTTCCAGAGGCTGCGGCGCAGTGGGGAGACGCTATACATCCTAACCTCTTGAGCCTCAAACCCGTAAGCCCGAAACCCTAAGCTCCTACACTGAAGCCCGCGTTTGCGCGACCTTCCGACCACCTAGTCTCGCCTTCATGTGTGTCTGAGAGTGAGACTCCCAACTGGCTGAACCCCTAACTCCAGATCATTACAGCCTGAGCCCTAAACCCTAAGCCTAAGCTCCGAAGCCCAAGCCCCGAAACTTCAAGGAGGACCCCGGCCCCACTTAATGAAGCAAAGCGCCACATACCTTCCCTCCCGAACTTGAAGATTTTGCTGGCAATTCAGCTTGCGCGTGGCTTGGAGAGGACCCGAGGCTTTGAAAACCAACTCAAAACCCCGAAAGCCTTAAACCCTAAACCGCGAAAACGCAAAATCGTAAACCCCCAAACTCAAAACCCTTAAACCCTATAAGCCCCTTAAACCCAAAACCCTACACCCTCAACTTCGGAGAGGATTCCAACACCTACCACTCCCCACGGCGCCTCGCTCGTGCGGCATCGCGCCTCGCGACACTAGGCTCCTCCAGACGAATTTCGGGTTTAAGGGCTTCAGGGTTTAGGTTGAAGGGTTTGCGGTTTAGAATTTATAAAGGGTTTCAGGGTTTAGCGATCATAGTCATGATTAAGTATGTTTCCAAACCGATTTCCAAGATGAGCTGAAGCATTTTTCTTTGGGTTACATGAAGGACTCTCGGAGAACATACGCATTGCAAAAGCTTTCAATTCGACAGAGCTGGGATGCGACTAGCACATTGTCTTTTGGTCTCAGGAGACGGGCTGTACACGTGAGGAATACTATAGCGGTCTGGACAAATGGCAGTCCTTAGACCTTAAGGCTTTTAAACGCCTGCAGCACCGTACTCTAATCAATTACTACAGCCCCTATCTTCGGTAGGCTTTGAGGCTTCCCCAGGTTTAATTGCTCGGGAGCAAGCGATGCGCTGTTTGAGCTGAAGCACAAGCAAAATACCCCAACAACAGCCTAAAGGTTGAACTATGCGGAGCCTGGCCTGCCTTGTGCGAGTGTGAGCGTCGAACGATTGAAGCACGACACCCTACTTAGAGGATCAAGGGAACTAGTAAGCAGGATTTTAATGTAAGGTAACTATAGTTATATCTACATAGTTATATCTACTGTAACCCCAATTAAGGTACTGATAACTTAAAGCCATACTTCCTAAGTCCTATGATCCTCCAAGTAACCCTGAGAATCATCGCTTCGTTGTGGGTTTCGAAGGATTCGCACTGCTAACTTGGGATCAAGGCTTCTCCAGTTTTGGTCGTGTGCTTTGATGTTGAAGGGGGTCAAGGTTAATGCTTTCGAGATTTGGCTTGTGAGTGTGTGTATCCCGCCCCTCTCTTGCAAGAAGGCTTCCGCCGAGAGCTGCTGCCTGCAATGACGCTGCTGCCGAGAATAGTTGAGGCACGTCGCGAAGGGCTGAAAAGTGTTATGGCTTAGGAGTTTCGGGTTTTATTTTACAGGTAGCTGCTGCTGCTACTACTACTACTACTACTACGACGACGACGACTCGTTCATAGTACTACCCTACTATACACGGCAATCAACCAACGGTCCCTCGCCGGAACTCCTGGCCAGGGCTTTGGTGATGGCGCCCCCGTTGAGGCCAGGTTTGCCGAGCTACACGATGCTCTGGGTATCGAACCTTGCAAGTCCAACCCATCTCAGAATGTTGGGCTTATAGGGTTTAGGATTTCGGGTTCAGGGTTTAGGCCCTTCGACCAGGCCTGACGCTTCGAGTGCCTGTGAGAGAGGGAGAGAGAGGGTTTAGGGCTTTCGAGTTCAGGATTTTGAGATTAAGCATACATGATTTCTGGTTCGGGTGTTAGGGTGTCGGACTTAGGTTGTCGGGTGGAGTGTAGGGTTGGGATCATGGGCACAAGCTTTAGGCCGGGCTTTTGTTGCAGGCTTAAAGGACGCCTGGGGTGCAAGCTGGCGGGTCTTGGATGTGCATGGAGTGTAAAGAGTGATGGAATGTAGGGGCCTAAATAACTACCAGTGCTATTTTGGGTGTTCCTTGCTAACACTGGTAGCAACATAGACCCCCAAAACCCTCTTCTAACAAACAACTCCCCCATATTACAGTACCCTCATAGTATCCCTTATGGTAATCCTCGTAGAACCCTTTAAACGGAGCCCTTAAAGGCACCGTATTCTAACTATCAAGGCCCCTGGCCCTGTATTGAAGGCTCCTCAGCTTGCATATTTGGTTTAAGGTTTAGGGTATGTCACCTTGCGCATGTTTTCCTGTGTGCGTCCGTCTGCGCGAGTTTGGGCGTGAGTGTACGTTGTAGTCATACTACCTGGGTGCTTGCATGTATGCACATACATCTCTCTGTCTATGTACAATTTTATATATGTATGTATGTACATATGCCTACTCATATGGACAATGATTGCTCAGAGTTGTCTGTTTATTCGCTTCGTGATGCGAACCGCTCATCGGAGCAGGGATAACGCAGGAGCGGTTTGCAGATAATACAGTATACATCCTCGAAGTGGATGGTTGTCAAAATTCTGGTCCCCTTTTGGGTACCCCAAAACATTTGGTGCCGAATAAAAAAAAGGACCCAAACAGGGACCCTAGTTTTGACAACTTCCCAAGTGGGGGTCTGGCAATGCCAAGCTGCAGGCACTGAAAGCACTGAAATCTTTGGCCGCCGACGCGGAATGCTTGGAGGCCTCGATAAGGGGCGACTTCGCCATTTTACTATAGAAGCCTAAATAACTAACATTATTATTCCTTAGGGTTCCTTTTTATATCTATACGAAAATGGAGCCTAAAATCCTAATTATTAAGGCCGTTTGCAAGGGTTTAAATGGATTTGGGATTACATGCCTGGTTCTGAATTGAAACGTTTCGGTACATGGGTTCCGGGTTTATGTAGGGTTTGAATGATGGACCATGAGAGGTAGAGGTGGTAGAGAAGGTGCAGTGGCACAAAATGCAAGCAATGTTTGCTTCGGTTTAGCTTTGAAACGGCATGCTAACCCTCAAGCATCACGAACGTCTGAATGTTCCCATCCCAAGCGCGAAAGGCCCGAAAGGCCGTATGATTTCAACACGACTTGCCTACTGTGAGTTCCCGAAACGACTGCTCGACATTGAACTTGCTCGAGGACTTATGGGCTTGAGTGTTATTGGGAGTTATGGGGTGCGGGTTTGGGGGGTTCGGGGAGTTCGGGGTTTAGGCTTTGGGTGTCTAGGATTTGTTGGCTTGGCTTGGGGCTTTCTGTCCAGTCTTGACTGGCTGCAGGCATTGCTGATGGAGGACAGCTGCCGGGGATGTTTCAAGAATGAATTGACTGTCGGATTGAGTCGGGCAGCCGCTTCTGCCTGGAACATGGTGAGAGATGGAACAGATCTAGCATTCCAGATCGATGTTTCGTCCAATCCCATCATGTTAAGCGAAACCTTTCGAGCACGCACTTACATGCCCAACTTGTGCAGGAGACTTTCCGCGAGACACTGGAAGGCCTTCATCGAGATGTGCCAGCTGCTTGGCGCATGTCCACCAGTGACGTGTTGATTCCAAACCCGAAAGTTTAGGGTTTAGGGTCCGAGACCCTGGACCCTGAAATGCAAAGCCGTTAAAACCTTAGCTCTTGGCCCACTAAACCCCAAGCATGCAACTTCAATCTCTGTACAGACCTCGCCTGGTACTGCCGAGTGTGAGCGTCAAAAAAAACCAAGCATCAGAGCCTGTAAACCTTGGATCTTGCGTTGTTGTAGCCACAGGAAACTGAGCATGGACCGTCGAAAGGCTGTTCAGGTTGGAGGCTTCTCGAAAACGCATGGCTGTTGAAACGCAGTTCATTTCGGCAATCCAGCAGAAGGATCCCCATCGAATCTCGAAGCCCAGATCGGCACTCCCTGTCCACTTCCTGGCACTTTGTGTGGTGACATAGTCTCGGCCCCGCGAGAAGTTGTCGAAAGCAGTCATCCCAACCCCCAAATCATAACCCTCAAAAAGTCTACCAGAAAACGGCGGGAGAGAGCTAGCTCTCTCTCTCTCTCTCTCTCTCTCTCTCTCTCTCTCTCTCTCTCTCTCTCTCTCTCTCTCTCTCTATGCATACATCCATCCCTCCTTCCCGTCACTTCAGGCGTGCATCCATGCATGCATGCAAATACAGACGCACATATAAGACATACATGCATACATACATACATACATACATCGTCATATACACAGACACGTCGCACAGATTCGCAGATGCCGAGCAGCAACCTCTGAGCTGAAACCTCTGGGAACGAACATTGTCAGCCCTAATCCCCAACCCTCAAGCTGCATCTGAAAGCTCAGCCCTACACCCCAAACCTCACCTCCCGTACTCTAAGCCCCACGTCGAACCCTAAACCTTTCGTCAAAGCCCGAGCATGTTCCGGCAAAAGGAGGCAAGAGAACTGCTGAGTTACATGGAGCTCGTGGAGTCACTCGGCGACAGATCTGGTTTCGGGTTGGGGGTTGAGGGTTAAGGGTTTTCAGGTTTTCAATTCACAAGGTTTTAAGGCCTACGACATCAGAGGTTCAGTAAGCTTACGGCTTAAGTTTAGGTGGTAGAGGTTTGGGGGGTGTGGTCGGAGCTTTCCTTAGGGTCTATTTAGCGGCTTCTGCATGACGGGCTTTGGTCGTGTCACGGCTTCGAAAATGTGTGTTCTGTTGTTGCCCCTCATGTTCAGGGTTGAGGGGCGAAAACCCAAACAAGAAGTAAGGCAGTCAAGCCGAATCGATCGCACAAATCGGGCCCGCTTTCTTAATCGCCCCGGTTGGTGGTTGAGTGTTTCCGGTTCAAGCTTGAAGGGTTTATAGGGGTTCAGTCCATTTGTTTAACATGTCTGACAGCCTTGCACCGTAGTTGTCGCATGAACAGCGGGGCCATGTTTTGCCGAAGTCGGATAGACTCAACATTTCAAAACGAAAGCCCTCAGGCGTTCCCCGCAAAGCTGCAATCGGCAGTCCTAGGAAAAAGAGTAGTCCCTGAAAGTTTTTCGTATGTGCTGTATATGGATATATGATATATGCAAGAACATTCATGAAACACAGAGGTATTTTATTTCGAGCGTTTCGAAAGATGTCTCCCCGAGGATGTATTGAAGTTATGTCCCTGAACCTGAATGCCGGGAAGCCCTGAGCCCCTAGACACTCAACGCCATGAAGACCTAAATCCACAGGAGCCCTTCGCCCCAAAGCTTCCAAACAGCTTGAAGTACCCCAAGAAGATGTCCATCGTAGCCTACCTACCACGAACCAGGACCCTGAAGTCCTGTTAATAGTATGCCTTTCGGCACAAGCCAAACTGTATCGCTTTCGCCTTAAGCCCAAATCCCTCGAAACCCTGAACCCTAAACGCTTCAAAATAGTAAACCTCCGACACCGATCCTCGGGCCCCTTCGGGCTACATCGGCTACCTGCACCCTAAACCTGGAACAGCGTTGTAGGGGTTTTAGGGGTTTAGCGTTTGGGGGTGTAATCTCTAGGGTTCAGGGGTTTAGGGGTCTGGCTAGACTTGAGTCCAGCAGCAAAAAACCGGGGTTTGGTTTGGGGGTTCGGGGTATAAGGGTTTAGGGTTTAGGGGTTCAGGGTTAAAGTGTAAACCCACCAACCTCCAACTCCTGGACCCCGGCTTCGCCCGAGGAGTGCTATGGCAGCAGGGCAGTCTGCCAAGGCCGCGCAGGCCCACGCTCCTCACCAGCAGATTCTATCCTCAGGCCCCAAAGTAGTTCCACATTTTGAGTCTTATGAGGTAATCCCAGAAAGGAACTACTATGGGGCCTCTGGGTAGGGCTCGAAGAGGCCCCAATACCAATCAACTAAAGATCGAGGACCCTAAACCTTAGAAAAAACCCAACCCCTAAACTTTAGCCCCAAACCCGTAAACTCCTACACCTGAAGCCCCTAAGCCTGAAAACTACAGGTTGTTTCTTCATGTGAGATGTAGTCATCATCGAACCTTGCTTTGAGAGTTTGGCTTCAGTTTTGTGTGTTTTGTCCTTAGGGTCTTGCTTGGGTTCGGATCTCCGATTTGGTGCTTCGGGTTGCGCACGTCGTCCTCAAGGTCTTCTAAATTCAGCCTGGGTCTCATATTGAGAGAGTTCTGATTCCGGGATTTCAAGGTGTAGATTGTAATTGGATTGCGGGATGTATAAGGCTTGTGGCGGCAGTGAGGCTTGAAGATAGGTTTCGGTTTAGGGGTTTAACACCCTGAATTCTACATTCTTAGGGTCATCGCCCCCGTAGTCCAAAGTCCTCAAAAACCATAGCCAATTCTCGGCCCTGCCAAGGAGAATCCAATGGCACCTTCAGTGATGCAGCTCACGGCTGCCTGGATAATAAAGGGGCCTGAGAAACTCCAGGTATGTTATACCGTTATTGTCTAGGGACTGAAAGGGATTACGATGAGCCTGTTTGCACTTGTTCAAACTGCCCCCCCCCCCCCAATATGTGATGTGAGGGGCTTCTTAGGATCGAGGTCCCTAAACCCTAAACCCAGCGCTGGGAGTTGACAGATCTGCGGCCCTGTTTCATAGAGTCGGCTGAGAGGGACAGGGGCCTTTGAGGTCTGCAAGTTCAGAACTCGGACTGACTATGAGAAATGATATGTCGCCAACACAGCGAAACCGTGCAAAGCCCTTTAAGCCAATTACTATGCTCCCCTTACCGGGACCTTTATTAGACTGTTTGGGAGGCTTATTTATTCAAGCTGGAAGCCGTTCAACGACTTTCACTGTGCATTTCAGCGCCTGGCAGAAAGGGCTAGCGAGCAGAGATGTCTCAGCAGTTGGAACTTAGAGTTGAACTGTTTGATGCGAGCTCAGAGACCACTTTTAAGTCAGCTCGGGTTTTGTGGCGCGTGCTGTGCCAAGGACATCTTCAGCAAATTCTCTCCTCTGGACGGAAGGAAGCTTGGCGAAAAAGCCTGCTGTGGGAAAATGCTTCGACTAACTGAGATACTCGACTCGGAGGAACCTTCAAAAGCAAGAAAGCTCAAACTATATCCAGGAATCCCTCTGGTGCTCAGGGATTGTCCGTATTTAGGGCGTGCTTGGCCTTATTGGAGCGGTGCGCACCGGTTGTGGTCACCCGGTTGAGTTGAGACGCCGAAAGCAGTAACCCATGTAGAAGGGAAAGGCCACTCTCAGCACTTTTGCAGTTCAATGATGAAAGCTGAGTAATGTAGGAACCTGATTAAGAAACCTCGGGCTTTTATATAAGTGTTCCTTGTATCGATCCTACTATTTGGGCCAGGGTATTTTAATCAGGTTCCTACATTAATCGCCTGAGGGCTGACCATGAGCAGCATGACTATTTTGTCGTGAGCTCGAGGGCACACTTGCACTAGGATGGACCTTGTCCACCTGGCCTCCATTTGCGCTGCGGTGCCTTTGGCCCCAGCAGAAGCAGCATCTCGGCAGAAGTACACTTAGCTCTGAGCTTGGCGTTTGACTTTCAGGCTTCCGGGGGGATCTAAGGACTCATAAAATAAGGCTTTTGGGCCGAAGACCAAAGACCATACTATATAAGGCTTCTGGGCTAGTTTGATCCCTAGGGCTTGAGGCCATAAATCCAAAGAAGACTTGCGCGGGTACTGCCGACAAAACCCTAGAACCCTGGAGTTTCATGCCATGCAGGACCTAATGATGTAATGTAGACACCAGACTAGTCCGTAGTAGGAACTACGAGTTCAACTGTCATTCCCCCATGGTCTAGGAGAAAACATGATGAATCCTGTAAGCAGTGAATCTCGGACCGAGAAATCTCCAAGCCTTTTGCTTACCACTGCTCCCAGGATTTTGGGTACAGGCCTTTGGGCATTTAGGTTTCAGTATTCAGGGCTTCGGCGAATGATAGAATTCTGTCGGACCGCATGAATGTTTGTATTTGTTGACATAGTCTTACCTTTGTGCTGGTGCTGCTAGTATCATGTTGCTTTCTTCATTTACTTCATCGTTGCTCAATATTCGGATCGAACCAATATCATGCTTGAACTAATCTACTCGCAAAGCAAGACTGATGTTGAGCGCCCTAAACCCTAAACCCATCTGCCCAAAACCTGAACCCAAAAGCCTTAACCCTGAACCCCTAAACCTACAAGCTTTGAGCCTTAAAACCACCGACGACTAGCGGGACCATAGGTCCGTCGCTCGCTGCAGTCCGAGACGAACCTGACTTTGCAGTCTTTCCTAGAGTCCCATGGCTCTGGCTTAGGGTTAAGGGTTTTGTGTTTAGGGTTCGGGGTTTCGGTTTTTAGCTTCAGGGCTTTGGGTCTGGGTTTTAGGGGTTCCATTTTTGGGCTGGGCTGCATGCCTTTTTCAGTATTGTCAGGGCTTGGTAAGGTTTATCGCGGTCTAAGTTTCCGGGGGTGGGAGCTTCTGGACAGGGGGGCTTGGTAGGTTTTTTTGGAGCCTAATATATGTGGGTATGGGCTTACATGGTAGGTGTGAGGTTTAGCTTTCTTGCGTCAGGAATCTTTGGGAGAAAAAGTAAAGGGTTAGGGTCTATCAAGCTTCGAGGTCGTAGAAAAGGCCTTTGGGATTCACAGATTTCATTGGTTGATGCAGGGAAGGCGCAAATGCTCGTAAGGGTGGTTGCCAAAATTATGTACGGTCCCTTTTTGGGGTCCCGATTATAATACGGCACCTAATATTTAGGGTACCCAAAAAGGGACCCGAGTTTTGACAATCACCCGTAAGAGGATCAGAAGACGTATGGCGCTTTCTGGTCCCGGATCGCTAACGGTGCAGAGTGGTGGGAGCTGTACATGCCTGGGTGGTTGTCAAAATGATGGTCCCTTGTTGGGTACCCTAAACATTAGGTGCTGTACTATACAATAAGGACCCAGAGTTCAGGCTGGGTTGCAGGAGTGCTTCACCCTTACCGTCTAGTAACTGTACTCGGCTAGGAACCCAAAGAACCAAATCCGGAACCTAAACCCTCAGCCCCAAACCAAACTTTTCGAAAGTACAGCAGCTTAGCTTCCGCATCTGAGGCATGTCTACGGCACCCCGACCATCTTGGGTTGGTGGCCAAGCCTCATGGAGGCGTTGGGGGGCAAGGGGGGAGAAATCCAAACCGGAAATCACACGCCGAGTTTTTGAAGGAGACCCTGCCATGAGTCGGGATGGCAGGGGCAGCACAGCATGCAGGCTAGGCTGGGGCATAGTATACGCGTACACACATAACATGGGTATAGCATCACCCCGTTGTGTCAGCCATTGTATCGCATGCAATCATGTGCAGCCTTCGACAGACATGTGCCTGTTCCAATGAGTTCCTTGTATTTTTTCAGACTTCACAGGGTTCTGCTAGACTTCAGCTGCCATGCAACTATCTATTGCGAATCCGTCTTTGTTGAGTATTCAATCTATCGGTGTCCTTTGTGGGGGGGAGTCGCAGAGACGCACACACCCAAACGCGCACACGAACAGCAGCGTGTCTATGTAGCCATATGTCCAGATTCAGACCCCGAAACCCTGAACAGCAACAACAAAACAACAATGCATTTTACAGGAGCCGGCCTCTCTTGCTGCTGCCACGGTGGGTGCCGGTGGTCCAGGCAGGTGTATATGATAAGCACCCCAACATGGCCCAAGGCAAAGCCTGCCTATATCTAAAGCAGTAGCCAGGGCTCAACACAAGTATCAACCCGAAAAGAGCACCGATCGCCCCAAACAGACTATCGCAAGATGGCAGGTTCCAAAGCCGCCAGAGCCCATTGTTGCAAGTAGCTTGCAGCAGAGCCCCGTGGGCATGCTCGGCATGCCACAGAGCTGTGCATTCAGGGGTTTCAGAACCCTCAACCCTAAATTCTTAACCTAAGTAAACCACCACACACAAATCAGCACTCCAAGTCCAAGAAGCCGTGGACCCTACTCCAACATTCTTTGGGGTGCCGAGAGGCTTAGCGCAGCTGGTCGCGAGTTTCGAAGCGGCGTCAGGGGGCCGAAGCGGGCTGCCAATCCAGGTCGGAGGGCTTTGAAGCACTTTAGGGTTGGTTTAGAGGTTTTGATTTTGGGGTAGCAGGGTTTGTGCAGTTTCAAGGCTGCGAAGGCTTCTGGCTTGTTATGAAGGCTTCTTTCTTTTGATTGTTTTGTGCCGGTCGGCGAATCGAAGTCTGGTAGGTGGCATCATTGATGGGGTGTGACAGGCGAGCTCTGACTCTGGCTGCGTGGTTCTTGCGTTTAGGGAGTTTAGGATTCAGGGTTTCAGGCATTTCAGGCATAGGACGAAGCAAAAGACGGGTGCCGCAGGAGCTTCACGACGTTCTGCTTCCATCTATTGGGCCCCCCGGCGTTGAAAAAGAAGTGTAGAGTTGTAGATGTTTGAGGCTTGAGGTATCTTGAGGTTCTAGCATTTGGCTTTTGATGCTGAGCCAGTGGCGTTCAGGGTTAAGTGAGATTCAGGTGGATTCCAGGATCAGGCATCTCATTTGGGGTTGAGGCTTTCGGGGTAAGTGCTGACAGTGGGTTCAGGTTTCGGAGGGTTGAGTCCCAAGCCGACATCTGCTTTCCATAGCGTTCGGAGGTGATACAACTACCGGTCCTGAGAACAACTTCCTTTCAGGTTGCATAAACCGAGCTGGAATAATACACCACCCTAAACTCCTAAACCCTAAACCATGGGAAAACGATCGGGAGTAGCCCCATCCAATGAGACGCAGAGTAGACCTTCCACACACCCAGGCGTAGGATTTAGGGCCGTGATTCATGAATGATGAAAACTGAAACCCTGCACCCCGAACTCTGCAAGGTTGACCGGTCTCGAAGACTTATGAGACGGCAGCCCAAGTTCCTCAGAGGGCCCAATACCCCTTAATTAAGGAGTATGGCTTAAATCATAATATGAAGCCTATATAATTTAAGCCATATTCCTTAATTAAGGGGTATTGGGCTCCATGGGTCTAGAAACACTACCCCCTCGCTTTCCCAAAGGAAACTTAAACCCCAGGCCCTACAGCCGGGCAGTGATCAAAATCTTGGAGCCACCCGAATACCCCAAAGATCCCAATACCCCTTCATTAAGGATTATACCTTAAATTGTGGGGGGGGGGGCTTCATACTATGGTTTAAGGGATATTCCTTAACTAAGGGGGTATTGGGATCTTTGGGACTGTACCGTAAACAAATACTGCCGCACTTGTTGTCTTGTAGCCAGAGGGGCCCAGGTTCCATGAATAGGCCACTTGCCTTAATAAGGGCGAACTAGGGTCGAGGAAGCTTCCTTATTCAAGGGCTACATCAATCAGGCACAATCTAGAGAAAGCTTTGTGAAGCTCATGAAGTCTAGAGAAAGCTTTGTGAATCTCATGAAGCTTCCCAAATCAAGGGGAATCTAAACCCTAAACTCAGTACCTTGAGAACGATGAACTTCCAGCCCGGAAAGCCTCAACCCTCGAACTTGAATATGTCAACCTGCCATACGGATACTATTTGGTTTTTATGTGGCTTTAGCTGGTTTTTCTTGGGTTTTTGCAGGGGTTTCCCCATGCTCCCAAAGCTGCGAGCTCCCAGGATTGAAACCGATGGCGCCGTAATCGAGGTAGGGGCCGGGTCTAGGGCTTATGTCTCGGGGCTTCTGTTTCGGTTCACTGGTTCTTCGTCTTAAACCCTAAACCCTAAACTCCTAAACCAACTTAAAAAAAAAACTCCTAAACCTGTGCCGACCGAGATTCCCTGCAATGCGGGCTTCGTCCTTGCTAGGTGGGAGGGAAAAGAAAACTCCTAAGCCCTAAACCCCTAAACCCCAATCCCTGAACCCTGGGCAGCTCTAGGGTTAGAAGTTTCGAGGCTACAGTTATCTAGTTCCCCTTGTGAGGAACTTGACTGAAGTTACAAGTATCAGACTGTGAGAAGCTGGGTATGGAATATGTCCGTTTGGCCTTGCTTTTGGCAGTTTGCAGAACCCTACCAGAAGTCGTTTTACAATTCCTGGGAATGTCGTTGAAGGCAACACTTTTTTGTTCGGGGATGGCTAGTCTTCGAGCCCTGGCCATTCGAAGACCCTGGTTCGACTTGGCATTTAAGCCGCATCGGGTTTGGGGAGGTGGTGCTGGAGGTGGCGGTCGTGGTGGTGGTTCTGGTGGCGGCGACGGCGGTATGGTGTCGTACTGTCGTACAGACGAGTGGTCATCGTGGTGGTGGCCCTTCGCCTTAGCAAAACTCCTAAGCCCCTACACCTTGAAAACCCACCTGCCCAACCCTAACCCTAAAGCACCCGACCCTTAAACTCCGAGACCTCATGCCCTAGGGATCAAAATAGCCCAAAAGCCTTACATAGTATGGTCTTTGGGCCTATATGAGTCCTCAGATCCCTAGGGATAAATCCTAAGACAACGAAAACTTTCAGAAATCCGGGCGCAGGCGAAGTTCGCTGAGCTTCACGGGAGCGCCCCACTGAGCTTCAAGGACTTCATGCGATGGATCGCTGCGCCTGAGCATGCAAAGTATCCTAGGGGTGTACCTGTGGTCTCCATTGTTCCTTTTTAGGGTTCACCAAAATCTCTATTCTGGGAGTTTTAGGGTTAAGGGCTTGGGGTGTAGAGTTTTAGGGCTTGGGGTGTAGAGTTTTAGGGCTTCGGGTGTGGAGTTTTAGGGCTTGGGGTGTACGCTTGGAGTGAAAGTCCTGGTGTATACAGGTTTCCTGGGGGCCGTAGTGCTTTTGCTTGCTTCGGGGGCCTCGGATTCTGTTAGATTCAAGGGTGTGCTGGCTCGACTTGGGATTACGGGCTCCCGGGCTGAACTCGCTTTGGGCTGACGAGATTTCTGGTTGCCTTTTGTGTGGGTTTAGGGTTTAGGGTCTCTTGAGGCATGGTTGCAATGCCTCAAGAGGGCCTCCGGTCAGTGCATGCGCCCTTGTCTTCTTTTGCCGAAGCCTCTTCTTGTTTATTCCGCCATCCATTGACGTGGGCCAACTGGCTAGGGTCTATCTAGGTCCGAAACCAAGCACAATCCTGAAATATCATCCTGACAAACGCAGCCCGCCCGGTGGCTGAAGCCCAAACTCAACCCGAAAACCAGTACACCATGCAGGCAATAATGTAGGATGCAAACGAACTGTAAGACACAAATCTTGAGCCCCGACACGTTCAGGTCAAGCACCAACCCCCACCCTACCTTCCTAGCTAGTTGGGAGGCACAAATAACCTTCAAAGAGCAGCTACACAAATCCGCCTGAAGGAATGTAGGAACAGATCCACCTTGTAAGTTCGTTTAAAAACTAGACCAGCCTAGACCAGAAAACAGCAAACAGAGCAAAATCGCAGACAAAGACAGACCCTGAACCCTAAACCCCTAAACCCTTAAACCCTAAACCCCTAAACCGGTAGCAATGGACCCCGAAGCCGTGCCTGCGATTGTGCGAGTGTGCGAGTCGAAACCCCTAATCCGTAAACCCCTGAACCCTTCAACCCTAAACAGACCAAGAGCAGAAGCAGCCTGAGGATCTCTTTGTGCGCCTCGAAGCCGAGGCTGCCGTGAGCCCTCCGGCGCCTCCGGCGTAGGTGGGGGTCTAACATAGGGGCCTTAATAATTATAAATGGTTCTGCTAAACGGGGTCTATAAGGGCTACTATGAGGGATCTATGATATGGGGGCCTCAATAATTAGAATAGGGTTTTGGGGGCTCCTTATACAATACTTCTAATACGGAACCTCCTTCAAAAATAGTATAGGTAATTATTAAGTCACCTATATAAGGGTTTGGGGGTTTAAACTTACCAGGACCCTTCAAGGGCCCAGTCCTTATGGCCCTTAACAGTGGGTATTTAGGGTATAATAGAGGATAGTTGGGGGGTCTAGGGTTGGAGGGTTTGACCTTAAACCCTAAGCCTTCTAGGTGGTTTCGCACCTGACGACCTTAGTCCACTGTTGCTTCAAAGTACCCTGCAATGAAGTAGGGGGGAAAAAACCATAAACCCTAATCAGAACCTGTACCCTGCAATGCGAGCTTCGTCCTTGCCAAGTACTGCTGATGGACAAAATCCTGCATTACCCATTATAAGGAATATACCATAGTTCCCATAGTTTATAGTCCTTAGGGTCATGCAGGATTTTGTCCATCAACAGTAGGACGGAAAAAAATCAGAACCAAGGGGCATTACTATAGGGAGCCCTGGAGGCTGAACGAAGGGATTTCTGTAGACATCTGGGTGGTTATCAAAATTATTGTCCCCTTTTAGGGGTCCTTATTTGGGGTACCCAAAAAGGGACCCTAATTTCCCATCTATACAGTCTACAGGGCTTGCTTCCAAGACCTGGGTTTTCGGGTTTTGGTCGGGAGAGTTACTGATAGCAGTTTGTGTAATAGTTCCCGTATAAAGTCGATCAGAGTTTACCCCAAAAGCCCCATTCTAAGTATTGCGGCTCCCCTCTGGCACAGAGCGTCGCAAGTTTTTCTGGGGGTTTAGGTTCGCAGTTCTGTGACAGCTTAAGGATTTCAGGCCAAGTCTTAACCCCGAAACCCTGAACCCTTCAACTCTAAACCCCTAAACCCTAAGCCCTTTATCGGACCCTTATTATAACCCTTAAAGGATCCCTATCAAGGAACCCTAAACCCCTAAACCCTCGACCCTTACACTTCAAAGCTTAGGCTTTCAGAGTCGGATTGCCCAGTAAGCTGAAGACTGCAAGTTAGAACCAACTTGCAGCTCTTTTCTTATCAAAGGGGAAAAGGAGGGACCCTTAATGGGGACCCCTACCCTATAATGGGCCATACAATGGGTATATAATAGCTATATCAAGGGTATATACCTAGGGGTCCTTATTAACGGTCCCTCCTTTTACCCTTTGATCTTACATGTACTACAGAGAGTAGCCTGTCTGCTGGATATGTGATATATATATATATATATATATACACATGGTTTACATACATATACATATATATGTATATATGTATATGTAGAAAGACAGAACAAAAAGAACGAAAGAAGGAATCATATATATATATATATATGTATAGATGTACAGTCTTGTATTTTTGTACAGTAAAAAGCGGTACTACATGTTAGGTGTTAGGTAGTATGCATGTATTGTCTGTTTTCTCTAGACCTTCGAAGCCATTCCTGTACCTGGGGAGTCATGGGGTTCAGACACCGCTTGTCCCTGGAGGCGCGGGATGTGCTTCGAGTCGACTGTCGTGTGCTGCACCTCGTGGGTTTAGGGTTTACTGTAGGGTAGTTGTGCCACCTAGCTGCTTTTCGCGGCACTTGGCATGTACAGTGGCCAAGATGTGGCTTGATCTTGCCTGGTTCCTGGAGTTATCGACTTGTGTTTTCCGAGCTGGGTCGCCAGCAAGGAGCCCAGGAAACGAGTATTCCAGCTCGAAGATGGCCTAAGGCCGACGTCTGGAGATACGAGAAAAATCCAAAATGCCTGGAGAGCCTTCCTGAGGGCATCTTCCCATGACATCCTTATGCTCATGCATGCTTGGATTATGGAGCGTTGATGGTTCGATGTCGGCTTGGCGCTCAGACCCCTAGCGGCCCAAGCCGCAGCCAAAAGAACGAAAGATGGCCGAATGATAACACGGTGAAACACGGGATTGGTTTCTATAGCCATGGTTGGTTGCAGCAGTTGCCGTACCATCTGCCACAGCTACTGTAGCCATTCCAGCAAGGGCATCTTGCCATGATATACAGCAGCACCACGCGGAACATCATGTGAATCTCGGGAAATACTTTAAGTGACCCCAATATGGGATCCGCTACGTACGCACCCCACCCGTAGGCTTCAGATGCCCCGCTTAAAGGGTATCATGTACTACAGAGCCCCATAGTATATACCCCTTATCGGACTACCCTTCCGCCTTTTTGCCTCAATGCGGCTCGGCTCATGAGCCCCGCCCTCCCCTTGCGCGGGCCAGCGCAGAAGCGTCGGCGACTTCAGTCGACCAGGCAGGTTTGTTCTGGGAGGGGACTTAGTAAGTAGGGCTATAAGTATGGTAACTGTATAGTTAATATATCTACTAACCCATGATCCTCTAAGTTGTCGCTGCTTCGCAGGGTCTACAGGCGGTTTGGGGTGTCGGATGAAAGGCGATTCGTAACCCTGAAGAACCTACCTTTTTAGGGTTCCTTATTATGATTTCCTCGTAGAAGTCCTTGAAAACGTAGGTTCTTCGGGCTTAAGGAAAGGTTTACTTCGGAACCAGCTGTGCTATACCTAGGAAGCTTCAGCATTGGGGTGTGGTGATGACTTGTCAAAGCACTACACAGGCTGTTTGATAGTTTGCCAAGGCCAAGGCTGCTTGGACACTCCAGGAACCAAAGAAGGACTGCTCTGGATTAGACTTTTTCGAACTTTGGGAGTTCTTGTGTGTTTACATCACCAGAACATATGCCAGGGAGCAGAAGCTGGAACGGCCCGAAGCCCTTCCCCCTAAACCTCCGAACTGCAATTCCTTATACCAACACCTCTCACAAGCTCACGCTCTATTTGCCTGTTGAAACTCAAAAACTCGAATCCCTGGATCTCAAGAATCCGAAATGCTGAACCCCTTCGCACCCCCTAAAGCCCCGGCAAATTTCAATACCCCTCCCGCAAACCCCCAAGAAAGCCAGCGGAGACTCCAGACATACTACGACAGCCCTCTTTCTCAGGCGCCCGCGGCGCGTGAAGCTGGGTTCTGCTGGCCGCCTCCGCTTCGAGCGTTTCGAGGTTCCTGGCAGGGAAGACAGGCTCATAAGGTCTGCAGTTCGGAGGCTTACTGTATGTATGTACGTATGTGTGTATGTATGTATATTTGTTTGTATCTATATATACTTGCATACGTATACGCGCCTACTTTTTGCTTGTTACGGTTCTAACTAGACAGGGTCAAATGCATATGTATATATATATGTATTTATATATATATATATACACATAAGTATACATATTAATCTGGTGATGATGATTTTGATGGTGATGATGTTCATGATGATGGTGATGGATATTACTATAGTTATTACTGGGATAAAGTTTTCTTCGGTTTGTTTCAAGCGGTGCAAGATGGTGCCCGAGATTCCGATGACTTTCACGCTTTGGATATGGGAGCTGAAGGATTAATTTGCTTTTGAATGTGCAACAGGCTTTGCAGGCTCCAATGCGAAAAAGCCGTAGGCTTATAATGTACATATTTAATGTACATAGTAATAATAATAATCATCATCTTATTTGTATATATATACACACATAACACATAGTACCCGTAAAATATACCGCCAAAACCCTTTTCGCATTCCGAAGGCCCCTACAGCAACCATGCGCGGCAGGAGCCTGCTTGCAGTAGTGGGTTCTCCTTGTTTAACCCATGCAGGATCCGTACAGAATCCCAGCCACCCGCTCTACCCTAGATTCGCAGTAAGCCCTAAGCCCTTTTTGCGGAAATTACCTCAACCCCACAAGCCCTAAGAACCTAAGCCCTGCCTCTTGATTTTTCGGCCCTGGACGACTGGGTGCAGGTACCGGGTCGGCATGAAAGCCTGCTGGTCATCCGGGGATTCGCTTCTCATGTCAGGCTGTGCTTGCTGTTAAGTACAGCACTGTAGGTGTGTTACGGTTTTGGGGCTTTGGGATGTGGTTTTTCTTTACAAAGTTTCCTGATCGAGTTCGTCCAAACTTTTGTGGGTGATGGTTCAAGTCTCGACGTGCGGATGGTGGGGTCTCGCACTGTGTAGAGGGTTTGGGTTCCCGCTTCCCAGCGCTTCGGAGAGAGAGACCTCCAAGCTAGGAACTTGCATTGCGAGCGAAAGATCAGCTGAAGTGCGTTGAGCGATAAACGGCCCGAGGTGTAGCCACGTGCTGTAAACTGTGAAGAATCTGATAACTGGCAAGTTGAACTTGGGAAAACGAATTCGGGTATGTTGGTGTGCTGTAGCGGCTCCTAGTTAAGATTAAGATGGTCGATCCTCTTGCTATGTATGGAGCTCTACCTTGCATCCATCAACAAGATGTGACCGCCGCAGCTTCGGGGACGTGTGAACATTGGATTCATTTGTGAGAGCTTCAAAATTGCGCTTGCTGCGTCGCTTATGGCTCGTTAGAGCGTGGCTTTTTCAGTGGGCACAAGCCTTGAGTGAAGCCCCCCGCCAATAGCATGAATGAAGCTTCCTTCCTAGATCGTGGCGACCAAGTTCTGCTAAGCTTACAGCACCAACTGATGGTTCCAGTGTGTGTGTGTGTGTGTGTGTGTTCAAAGCCTTCACCTCTACTACCTCCTTCACTGCGACAGGCATGAAGATGCCCTTTGCTGGGCCAAGGACATCGGGTGCTCTCCGGAATGCCACACAAACACTACAGTGCCTCATGAAGAAGAGGGTGTTTAGATGCTGACCAGAAGCTGTGACACAGTTTCACATGGCTTGCCCATAAATCCTGATCGCATCACCCCAAACCCTGAATTCCTCGATTCTGAATTTTGAACCCTCCGGCTTCGGCCCGCAGATTCTGGAGCGTTGTCGGGTCGTTTTCTCGTCTTCACAAGGAGGCTCCATGGGGATTCGACGAGTGCGCCGACGACATGCACCTCGTTGGACCCAGAGACTCCAAAGCCCCTATATTATGGAACATCCCTCGAATTTGACAATCTTGCTAGGGTTCCTATTTATGTTAAGGGTATATATCTTGATTTAGGAGTTTTGGGGTCTGGGGAACCCACTGTGGGAACGTCTTTGATATTGACGAGCACCCCGAACCTATGGTCGTGTTGCTCCGGCTCACCTTGATCTCTGTATGTTCCTGCTTGCACAATAATACATAAGCCCTGTAGAAACCCTTATAGAAGAACCATGTATGTATGAACGGTATGTATGTGTGTATGTATATACAGATTAGGACAAACTATGGACACACAGATGGTTACACACGTGCATACGTTCATACATACATTCATTCATTCATCCATCCATGCATGCATTCATCCATTCCTTCGTTCATTCATACAAACAGACAACAAACATACATACATTTCAGCCCCGAGACGATTTCGGATCCGATCTGAAGCTGCGTTTAAGGCAGTTCCTTACCCAGTGGCACTTCCTTGACCTGGCTAAGTTGGGGCAGTCGCTCGGCTTGGGTGTTTCTTTTTAGTAGGGGGTGCCTTGTACTGGGAGGTCTCAGGGTTTAGGGTTTCCTTACGTTTATGGCCGGGCCCATATCACTGATTAGGGTTTAGGGTTTAGAGGTTTAGGGTTTAGGTCCTATATTGGGTTCCTCTAGTTTCTGAAACTCTCATTTGGTGTGGTTTCCAGGTTCAGTAGAGACATGAACACAGGCAGGTGGATCTTCGACCAAAGCCTGTAGCCTGGAAGGCATCGGACGTTGGAAGGCAACTTAGAGGTGAGTGGGGTCTGCACTTGGAGGATCATTGGATTCAAGCAAGTAGAGATACAAGTTATAAGTCGATAGAACTACTGTTGCCTTACTTACAACCCGAGTTACCTACAGGTACAAGGATCCTCTAAGTAGACTTTGGAGGAATTTCCCTTCCGGCCTCTATGTCCTTTACCCGAAGTCCGAAAATCTAAAGTCCCTAAGCCCTCGCCTGCGTAGTCCGAGTTGCGAGAGTCCGAACCCCAAGCAGAGACCAGAGGTGTGAGGTTTAGGGTTGAGGGTATTTGCTGTGAAGAAGCGGGGGAAAGGGGGGCTCTTGCTGTAACCGGGCTGCTGGACAACGAGGCCTGCTGCAAAAAGGGTTGAGGGTATAAAGTTTAGGGTCTAGGGCCCAGGTTTAGATTTTTGGGCTTCCATGTCACTGCTCCCGCCGGCGGCACGGTTGCAACCCTTGTCCGGCAGACTTCGCATTCTGCGAGCTGAAGTTAGAAGCTTAGGGGTCAAAAGCTGATGAACCCCCCCTACCACCCCTTGTACATCTTAGCGCCCCAAACTCCCAAACCCCAAACCCAAAACCCTAAACCCTAAACCGTCTTAGTGCCCCAAACTCCCAAACCCTTACAGCTCCAAAGATCCTTCAATCACATCATCAGCCCCCTGAAGGAATACACACATGCCTTGGAGCCCCCCCTGGTAATAGAAGGCATCTTCTTCTATGTACCTAGACCCTCAACAGTAGGTAAAATAAATGGCCAGAACCTACAAAAGGCCATTCTGCTACATACTTTCGGGGTCTATAGGTAAGGGGTATTGGACTCTCTGCCTTGATCCGAGGCTTCTGCGTTGCCCAGACTTTGCCCGCACGGTGAGCCTCCACGTGAGCGAGGCAGCCGCTGTCATCTGGATTTCCTCCCCCACTTACTAAGTCCCATGGTCCTCCAAGTAATTAAAGCCCTACAGTAGTAGCCAGAAAGGTGGAACATGGGTTTAGGAGGATTAGTGCTAGGATCCCCTTTGCTTTACTTTGGGGGCATGAGGATACTAATGCTCCAACTTTCCGGCTTCTATCATAATCCCAACAGCAATACACCAAGACGGGATCCGGATATCTTTGCGAAATCCCAGGTCAGTGCCATCACGGCAATGGTGGGTGAGGGCCAGGAGAAGCATTCACGAGTTCGACGGTTTAGGTGTTGAGGTGTTGGGGTATAGGTCTAACAGTGTGCAGAGCGTAGTAGCTTTACGGCTTCAGGCCCTAAACTCTAGACCCTGAGCCCTAAACCCTAAGCCGCATAGGGCTTCGGAAAGACTGCTTAGGGCTGAATGGGTGTAAGTTTTGCGGTCTGCTGGCTTAGCGGGTTGCTGTGGGATTGTAACATGGCATATAGGGGGTTCGGGTGAGTCTAATCCTAGGTTCCCTATAAAGTTACCCAATACCAAAAAGGGAGCCCTTTTTTTTCCTAGGTTACTGGGCATCCTAGTTAATTATTTCTCGTCAGGATCCGAAACCGCACTGCGCGCTGCAGCCCTGACTTCAAGCTTCGTACATACCCGTGGTTTAGAGTTTGCGGTTGAGGGGTTAGGGTTTAGGGCTTGTAGGGGTTCAGGGTCTAGAGTTTAGGGCTCAGGGTTTCGGGCTTTAGGCACCCTAAACCCTAAACCGCTTGCTCTACAGGGACGCTGTGAACCCAACGAGCTTCCCAGAGACTCCAATATCCCTTAATTAAGGAACATACTTTAAATTATAATAGGATCCCTAATATGATTTAAGGAATATTCCTTAATTAAGGGAAAATGGAGTCTCTGGGTTCCAAAGCATACCATCTCGGCCGGAAACCGAGAAAGCTGCAACCATCAGCGTCAACCCAGATCCGCAGGGTTTAGGGTTTAGGGGGTTAGGGGGTTTAGGGTTGAGGATTTAGGATTTAGGGTTTAGGCCACTTGCAGCATGTCGATTACCGTGGAAGTTTCACTGCTCAGCGGCAAAACAGCTACTTAGCAGCTGAGTGGATACACTTTACACTTTTTGGGGTAATAATACCCGCTATGATACCAAAAGTGTACACTTTTTGGTGGCTTATGAACTCAGCAACCCTAAACCCTCAACCCTAAACCTTAAACCCTAAACTATAGCCGTTTATAGAACCCTTTAAAGGAACCCCTACTTTAAGTATTAAGGCCCCCATAAGAACTCAGCCACTAAGGCTATTCTGCAAGCAGGCTTGGGAGAAACCTGCCAGACGTTCACACAACGAGCTTCAGTCGCCCTTGGTGTCGGCAACCAGGCTGTTCAGTGGTTTAGGTTTAGGGTTTAGGGTTTAGGGTTTTTTGCTTTCGAGTGTTTAGGGTTTAGGCTTTTTTACTTTCTAGGGTTTAGGGTTTAGGCTTTTTTACTTTCTAGGTTTTTTTACTTTCAGGTTTCTGGGCTCCTATTATCAAAGGGGAAAAGGAGGGACCCTTAATGGGGACCCGTAGGTATATACCCTTAATATAGCTATTTTATACCCATTCTGGGTTCCTATTATAAGATACGAGCCTCAGAAAGTATATATATTGGGTACGGCCCCCTCTCAGTAACAGTTGGATAATATTCAGAATATAGATATATTAGGCCCTTAATAGCAGCCCTATTATAGACTGTTACTGTAAGGGGGCCTTACCCAAAGCATATACCTTTTCCCAGTCGGTTACTGAACAGCCTAGGCAAAGCGAGGCTGCTCGACTGCTCTGGAGCCGTTCTGGAGGGATGCAGCGAGATCAGACATGTCGGGATTCAGAACGGTGACTCACTGAGCTTGCAGGTCAGCAGAGTTCAGATCCGGTCGGGTTGCGATTGTTTCGCTGCCATTCTTGGTGACCTGGGGCCGTGCTGCCGTTGGCGGCGACAGCAGGTCTGTGCAGGATCAGCTGAAGAATGTGCAGCAGATCCAAGCCTCCGGTGGCGCTTTTGCTGCCATTCGTGGCGATGGATCTGTCGTGACCTGGGGCCGTGATGTCTTTGGAGGCAACAGCAGGTCTGTGCAGCATCAGCTGAAGAATGTGCAGCAGATCCAAGCCTCCGGTAGCGCTTTTGCTGCCATTTGTGGCGATGGATCTGTCGTGACCTGGGGCCGTGCTGATTTTGGCGGTGACAGCGGAGATTTGCAGCATCAGCTGAAGAATGTGCAGCAGATCCAAGCCTCCGCTGGCGCTTTTGCTGCCATTCGTGGCGATGGATCTGTCGTGACCTGGGGCCATGCTGATCGTGGCGGTGACAGCGGAGTTGTGCAGGATCAGCTGAACAATGTGCAGCAGATCCAAGCCTCCGGTAGCGGCCGCGCTTTTGCTGCCATTCGTGGCGATGGATCTGTCGTGACCTGGGGCCGTGCTGATTTTGGCGGCGACAGCAGGCCTGTGCAGCATACAGCTGAAGAATGTGCAGCAGATCCAAGCCTCCGGTAGCGCTTTTGCTGCCATTCGTGGCGATGGATCTGTCGTGACCTGGGGCCGTGCTGATTTTGGCGGTGACAGCGGAGTTGTGCAGCATCAGCTGAAGAATGTGCAGCAGATCCAAGCCTCCGGTGGCGCTTTTGCTGCTATTCGTGGCGATGGATCTGTCGTGACCTGGGGCCATGCTGATTGTGGCGGTGACAGCGGAGTTGTGCAGGATCAGCTGAACAATGTGCAGCAGATCCAAGCCTCCGGTAGCGCTTTTGCTGCCATTCGTGGCGATGGATCTGTCGTGACCTGGGGCCGTGCTGATTTTGGCGGTGACAGCGGAGTTGTGCAGCATCAGCTGAAGAATGTGCAGCAGATCCAAGCCTCCGGTGGCGCTTTTGCTGCCATTCGTGGCGATGGATCTGTCGTGACCTGGGGCCATGCTGATTGTGGCGGTGACAGCGGAGTTGTGCAGGATCAGCTGAACAATGTGCAGCAGATCCAAGCCTCCGGTAGCGGCCGCGCTTTTGCTGCCATTCGTGGCGATGGATCTGTCGTGACCTGCGGCGATGCTGAGTGTGGCGGAGACAGCAGCTCTGTGCAGCACTAGCTGAAGGATGTGCAGCAGATCTAAAGCTCTGGTCGGGATAGGGTTTTGGGTGGTCAGGTTTGTGACTTCAGGTCAATATAGAGGTCTTGACACTCTGTATTCATGTCCTCTGCAAATGAAGGGTTCCGGGTGGCGGAATTCGGGTGTCCCCCAGACACCCAGTGTCCTGGGATTTCGGGTTTCGGGTTGGGTTGGGGGATTTCAGGGTTTGGTGAGGTTCAGGGGTTTAGGGCTGAAAGAAGAGGAGGGACCCGTGTTGGGAGTGATTCTGCTGATGGACAAAATCCTGCATGACCCTAAGGACTCTAAACTACGGAAACTATGGTATATTCCTTACAATGGGTAATGCAGGATTTTGTCCATCAACAGCTGGGGTCGACAGGAATGAGTCCGATGGAGCGTCTAAGGTTCAAGGTTAAAGCTGTAGCCTACAGGGTTCGGAGTTGAGGTTCGGGAACAAAGCTTCAGGAAAATGATCCTTAGCCCTAAACCCACGACCCTCGACCTTAGACCCCGAACTGTACATAGACCCTAAACCCTAATCCCTAAACCCTTACTAAACCTAAATACCCTGAACCCTGACCCTAAAACCTTAAACCCTAAACCCTAAACCGCACACCTTGACCGTACACGCCGAACCCTCAAGCTGAACCCTTGAGCCTGACCCGTACACCCCAAACCCTCAAGGATTTGTGGTTTAGGGTTGAGGCTTCAGGGGTTAGGGTATATGGCTTAGGGTTCAGGGTTTAGGGTTTAGGGGTTGGGTGCTTAGGGTTCAGGGTTTAGGGTTTAGGGGTTGAGTGCTTAGGGTTCAGGGTTCAGGGTTTAGGGGTTGAGTGCTTAGGGTTTAGGGCTTCGGGTCCGAATGAAAAAGCTGTTGGTGCTTGCAAGGATACAGTTTAAGGACATCAGCATACTTAGAGGATCATTGGACTTAGTAATTAGGGTTATAAGTACCTCAATTTAGGGTTATAAGTGGATATGATATAACTATAGTTGCCTTACTTATAACCCTACTTACTAAGTCCTCTGATCCTCCAAGTAGGGCCGGAGCGGTTTTCCAATGGACAGTACATGCCGTCCTCAAGGCATTATCCTGTTGGCGAGGTCTTTTTCTCTGGGCGCATTTGCAGATTTTAGGTTTTTGGTTTTGGGATGTGGGTGTGAGTTTCGTAGAGGGTTGGATTGTGTTTCAGGCTTCGGGAATTGGGGTCGAGGGGATTCTTGGATAAGAGGACATCGGAAGTGATTCGGGAAATCCAGGTCCCAAGATTGCCGAAGACCTTGCAGTGAATCCAGAAAGTTGGCCAGAGGATGATAACTGCCGGGATTCCCTATACGATACCTTAACGGCAGCAGAGTAATGATGTTCCAACTCTCTGGCTACTATAGGGACCCTAGAGACTCGGGGTATACTTAGACCGCCCAACTACCTTCTAGTATACCCTAAATACCGGTTATTACGACCATAAGGGCCCCATTCAAGGGCCACTGGGGTGTCCTGGCACCCTAAGCCCTAAACCCGCGTTTCAGATTTAAGGTTTGGGGATCTGTCTGTGGAGCCACATGAAGAGTATGGCTCCACAGAAACTAGGACCTAGAGTAGGCCCTTATTCCCTTATCTTAGGGTTCAGGTTCCCTTCTAAGCCCCTTTAACCCAAAAAGGGCACCCTTTTTATCCCTAGACCCTAAACCCTAAACTCTTAGGTCTAGGAAAATTCCCCGAACCTTAAATCTGAAAGCTATAACCCGAAACGGTAGGGTCCCTACAGTAGCAGTGGGGGGTTTCCGAAAATTAGGGGTACCTTATTTGGGGGTCCTTATCATAAGGATCCTACTATTTTAGGGTACTAGATTAGGGTCCCCTATTTTCGGAAACTCCCAAGTGTGGCCTTCAGGCCGGCTTCGGCCAGATGCGTTGGTACGGAGCTCCCCTGTCTGATTTTAAGTGCGGTTTCGGGAGGGCATTACGGTTTAGGGCTTGGGGTTTTGGGTTTTGGGTTTAGGGTTTTGGGTTTAGGGTTTAGGGCTTGGGGTTGAGGGTGTGCAGGATGTAGGGTTGAGGGTGTACGGTTTAGGGTGTAGGGTTCCGGGTTTAGGGCATTATCCAGTGAGCCTCGTGCAACAAGGGATTGAACCATGCCTGTATACTTGCAGGGTATTGCGAGGTTTGGGTGTCGTGTGCAGGGCGTGTAAGATGCGGAATTAGCGGGCTGTTGTTTGAACCAAGACGTAGGCGTGTAGCTAGCATAGTACATCAGAGTATGCTATCGTACGGGAACATGTTCGAAACTTCGGCCCGTCCTCTCAAGCGCGTCTTAATTGAAGGCAGATTAGAGGAACCGGCTCAAGCATGCCTCGCAATTATTCTCTTGTATCATGGTTAGCCTTCGCAGCATCGAAGATATAAAGCTAAACATGGAGCGCCGCTCCGTCCTACTTCCTGTACGCTGTATAGTACTGGCTTGGGGTTCGTGATTGAAGCTCAGCGACAACACAAAGAGGCTGGAACCATTTGCTTTACCCTTGATAAAACATGACAATAAGGCTCGCCGTGAGTTGTCGGGGTGTACCGATGCAGTCGTTTGCACTGCAAGGTGGCCTCGCAATCCCCAGTTTACATAGAAGCACCCGAAAGCCCCAACCAGAAGCAGAGAGCAGAGGCATCGCGTGAGACGTCACGGCACAGCGATGGCTTCGATGGAACCTGCATAGATACGGGCAAGGCCGGATTGCCCCCCCTTTCCAAACTTGGGAAAAGCAGACAAGAACCTAGAAAACATATTCTGGCGTCATGGTTGGGGGTTTAGGGCTCCATGAGTTGTTGCAGAGCCTGCAAGCTGCCTACATTGCTATGCGGGGCTCGTGATAGCCATGTGGGAGGCCAAAACCGCCGCAAACCTATAGGAGCAAAAATTAAAGGGTCTTATTGAGTAGAAAAGGGTTTTGGGCCCTTTTGTAGTATAACTATACTAAGAGGCCCCAAGGAATACCATTGGTAGCTGTTCCGGCTTCGAAACTACTGGAGTTCCGAGTCTTGAGGCCATGCCGTGAAACCACAAATTGTCACAAGCCTCGAAAACCTTGTTAGTTATAAGCCTTACCCTAACCCCCAATAGCCTACCTGTTTCAGGACTTCTATAAAGAAATCAAACTAGGGAACCTTAATAAGGTAGGTTTTTGGAGTCCAGGTAAATCCTCATCCCCAGAAACATTGGTCTCGAAGCTCAGCCTTGAAACCCAAGCCCGAGTTCCTGAAACCTTAAACCTAAATCCTGAATCCTGAACGATAAAACCCAACCCGCCAAATCGAAGCGCACCTGGGTTCTTGTTGCGGAAAAAGCCAGCAATCAACACAAGGGCTGTGCCGCAAAGACTGTAGTTTCTTTACTTCCTACAATCTACAGTAGAAGCCCAAAAGTTGGAAATCCCATAGCCTCAATCCTTAAGAGCAATGTATAGGGAATCCCAGCACTATTTGGCCTTAATCAGGTTTCCAACTTTATGGAGTTTACCATGCAACCCGCATGAAACCCTGAGCTGACAAAGAAAAACACCGTCCATTTCCCCAGCAACAAATTGGGAGTTTCCAAAAACAGGGGGTACCTTATTTTTGGGTCCTTATAGGAAGGATCCTAATTATTATTTAGGGTACCATATTAGGGTCCCCTATTTTCGGAAACTCCCAAATCTAGCAGACCGTCGTCGGACAAAGCCGCCTGCTCCTTCGGCTGGGTCGTTGCCTCGGGTACAAGAGTTTCAGTGTGCGTCTTACTACGACTTGGGTTTAGGGTTTAAGGTTTTCCTGAAATTTTTTTTGAGATTTAGGGATTCAGGGTATAGCTTCTTTGGGCATTCTTGTGGGATCCTGTTGCCTACATAGCAGGTGCTCCGGTACATATTACATGTAGCGTGCCTTTCAGGCAACTGGAGCCCTAGGATTTCCTTTTTGTCCCACGATTGTGTTTTGTGGAGCTTGTTGCTTTGCAACCAACCACACCCTAAAACCCTAAAATCCTAAACCCCTAAAATCCTTAAGTCCTAAAGAATATCCTTAAACCCTAAACCCCTTAAAATCCTAAGACCTTAAACCCGTAAAATCCTTAACCCCAAAACCCTATTAAGATCCTTAGAAAGCCTAAATGGACCAAAAACCGGTGAAACCCGAAAGCCCGAAACTCCTAAAACCTTTCATCGCCGTCCTTAGAGGATCAGGGGACTTAGTAAGTAGGGTTATAGGTAAGGCAACTATAGTTATTTCTACTTATAACTTTAATTAAGGTACTTATAACCCTACTTACTAAGTCCCATGATCCTCTAAGTAGTCCTGAAATCATAGACTCTTAAAATCCTAAACTCCTAAAATCCTGCCTTAAACCCTTTCACAGCCTTAGTCGAGAAGGAGGGCCCGGCTTCCTCCAATTCTTTTTCGAGAGCGCCGGAGGGCCGGGTGGACGTCTGGACCCGCGAGGGGTTTCTACATACCATAGGGGCCTTATTAGTTAGAACAGGGCTGGGGGTATATTGTAGTAAAATGGTAATAAGAAACCCCCAACATTGCATTCTAACCACTAAGGCCCCTAGATTAAACGAGTCGAGGGTTTAAAAGGCCGAGGCATTTAGGTTGAAAGGGGTTCGGTAAGGTTTTGTTGATGGAAACTGAAAGTCTTCGGGGGTGGTGTAATTCATGCCCGAGTGCGCCCCCCCCCCCCCCCTGAATGCAGGGATGCTGGAGGGTCTCTATAAAAGGCCCTTATGGGTTTGACCTTTGTATTGCATGAAGGCATGTTTCAGTCCAAGGTCCCCACAGGGTCAGGGATATCACATTCTATCGACCTCTTTTTGTACGCTATAAGTGTTTGTTTTGGCCGAAACCTGTAAGGTCCTTCTCAAGTCCCACAGCTCGCTCAATCTGTTGTAAACCCCTTATATGGCCCTTTCACATCGTCTAAGTAAAGCCTTCAGCTTTCTTAAAAACTTATACAAATAAATACACGGAAAGAGGACGCCTGCAAAGCGCCCAAAGAGCACAGGACTTGTGTCTTGACCATGGTGATCTGGTGCTAATGGACCGCGCCATCGCGTGCCGGCTGTAGAAACTGTTAAAAGTGAACATGTGTTTATTGTTTCTGTTTTATTGTGGGAGGACGGAGGGCGGGGAATTGAAGGTTTGGGTTTTTGAGAGGCTGGACTTTGGTTGCTTGGGGGCTTCGGGTTCAGGAGATTAAGGTCAACGGCGGTTTGGGCTTCTGCAGCTTTCGGGAAGCATCACGGATCGGCAGCATTGCTCACCCCAAGAACCCCTAACCTCCCTAAGCCCCACATGGAACCTATATACTCAAAGCTTGTCATCGTAGGGTAAGAACAAGAAGGCGGCTTTTGAACTAAGCCTTGCGATTGTTTCGAGTGAGGGGCTGGGGGAGTCTATGGGGGAGGGTTTTCGTAGTGTGAAAAAAGAGTCTTCGTAGTACCACTTATTGCAGTACTATCTCAATGCTGTTCTCTATAGGATTCTAGACCTTTTCGCGTCTCTCCGGGTCTTTGGACAGCAGGCCATTAACTATACCACATCTTGTTGCTAGTTTCATGGGCATACATATTTGGTGATGCAGAGACATGTCGGACTCATTGGTTTCTTCCGGAGAAAGGTGGAGCGGCAATCCCTCCCGGGAAGACGAGTTTTTGCCAAGCTGTATTTCTATGAGCACAATGTGGCGCTTGTGTTCTACTGCTATAGGCTGGTACTCGTCCCAGTGGCTGGCAGCGACAGCAGCCCGTCTCGAAATCTCTCGCAGGAGTTTAGGGAAAAAGGGCTGAGTCGTCTAGGTTGGGTACGGCCCCGACTCAGTAATAGTTGAGTAGTCTTCGTAGTATAAGAAATATTAGGGTTGTAGTAGTAGCCCTATTATAGACTCTTACTGTATGGGGGCAGTACCTAAGGTCTAGGGTTTGATTTTGACCATGCTTGCTTGCTGTTTGGTGGCGGACCCGAGAGATCGGCAACGAAGGCTTGCAGCTCCAAGTCACAAGCATCTTTAATGATGTCAACGGTTGAGATCCCCAAAAAGGGTTGAAGGTCATGCGCGGATCCGGTCCGCGGCTATCAACCTTGGCTCCAAAAGTCTGAAAACAGATAACCTTGATTATGAGAGCCCAAAGCATCCGAAAGTCTGCATGCCCGAAACATCCCGAAACCCTAAACGACCCTCATAAACCCTTGACCTTGACCAACAAGACAAGTCCAACAAGACAAAGGCCCGCAGCAGGCCCCTCTCCGAGACTGCCAGCCTCCTGAGCCAAATCCCAATACTTCTTGATCAAGGTTATGTATATATATATATATGTATATATATATATATATATATATATACATACATATATGGATATATATATATATATATATATATATATGGCGGCTTTATCAGCTGATTTAAGGCCTAAACCCTAAACCCTAAGGTATACCCCTTCAGGAAGGGGTATTGGGTTCTTTGGGTTGAGCCATGGCAACGGAGACGGAGAAGTATTCCGGTTTGCGCCTAGCAGACAGAAAGATCGCAGCGAAACGCTGGGATGAGCTCATGACCGGTAAGAAGTTCACCGCCTTCAGCCTCCTACCTTCCCTCCGTAGTACCGTTTTGCCCTCGTTCTGCCCTTTTTTCGTTTTGAGTGGATCCTTTATTAAGACCAAAAATATTTCGGGATATTTCCTTTATTATAACCAAGAAGTATATTAGGGGAGTTCCCTTGTTTTCAATGAAACCGCAGCTAGTAGGAAAAAGGGTACCCTTGTTATATCGGTGCTACAGGGGAACCGAGGCTCACTCACTGCTGCCAGTGAGTCGACCAGCATTGTGGCCATTGGCGTCCTGTATGAGCGGGGACTGGCCAAAACCTCGGCAAACGGAGGCGGTAGTTTCCGAAAATAGGCTACAATAATATGGGTTCCTTTAAAGGGTTCCTTTAAGGGATCTATAAGGGTTCGATAAAGGGTTTCGGGTTTAGGTTTGGGAGTTTCCGAAAATAGGCTACAATAATATGGGTTCCTTTAGGGGATCTATAAGGGTTGTATAAAGGGTTTCGGGTTTAGGTTTGGGAGTGTCCGAAAATAGGCTACAATAATATGGGTTCCTTTAAGGGTTCCTTTAAGGGATCTATAAGGGTTCTATAAAGGGTTTCGGGTTTAGGGTTGGGAGTTTCCGAAAATAGGCTACAATAATATGGTACCCTAAATAGTAGGGTCCTTATTATGAGGACCCCCAAAATAAGGCTACCCCCCTATAAATAGTAGGGTCCTTATTATATGGACCCCAAAATAAGGGCACCCCCTAAAAATAGTAGGGTCCTGATTATATGGACCCCAAGATAAGGGTACCCCCCCTAAAAATAGTAGGGTCCTTATTATAAGGACCCCAAAATACGGACACCCCCTACTTGGAGGATCATGGGGCCTAGAACTAGGGTTATAAGTACCTTGATTAAGGCTATAAGTAGAAATAAAGTGTTACCTTACTTATAACCCTACTTACTAAGTCCCCTGATCCAAGAAGACCCTAAACCCTAAACCCTAAGATACCTCTAAGGAACCCTATAGATCCCTTTAAGGAGCCCATTAAGGAACCCTACTTACCAAGTCCCCTGATCCTATAAGTAATTATCGGAAAAACTCCCAGGTCGCTTCGCGCATTGGTCGCTCACCGACTTGTGCTTTCCGCAGCCGCGGCTCTTGAAGTTGCTGCTGGGATCTTTTTAAGGAATATAAATTTAGGGGATCTTTTCTAAGGAATTTAGATGTTGATTAAGTTACCGGAACAAAGAAACCATATTAATTGCCATAGATCCCTAGTATGGTAACTTAAATACGATAGTTCCCTATGATGGTAATTTAATGTGTAAATTCCTTAAAAGCAGAGCCCAGGCTGCTCATGGGGGAGGCCTTCGAGACTTGGGACTTGGACCTGGGAAAGTCGGTGAAGTATCTGGGCTCTTCTTATTTTGGGGATCTGAGGACTTATATGTTAAGGCTTCTGGGCCCGAAGACCATACTATACAAGGCTTTTGGGCTATTTTGATCCCTAGATTTCGGGTTTCAATTTAAGTTACCATCATAAGGAAGCCTATCATTTACTATAGATCCCTATCATGGTAACTTAAATAAAATTGCCTTAACCCTAAAATTCTTTAAAAAGAACCCTTATAGAACCCTGAAAGGAACCCGAAATTATGTTAATTTAAGCCCCTTAACAAGAACCCAGGTATGGTGCCATCTTTGCAATCCTGAACCCCGCGGCTCTGCCATCCTCCAAGTCTTCGGGTACTGGCAACGAAACGCTCGTCAGCGCCAAGATTCTGGGCTTTGGTGTGCCATGCTTTCATACTTTTCTTGAAGGAACCATTACGAATACTTTAATACTTTTTATTATTATGAAATAAGAGTGTATACTTTTATCTCCCTGGTTACATACAAGCCCAGGATTACCCACTCCACTCAGCTGGTTCTTCTCGGTACCTGCCCTTCTCTTGGATTCTGCAAATGCCGGAAAAAGGATGGGCTGCCTTGCTCAATGCCCTGCGACATAGATCGTTCAGGAGGAGCTTTGGTGTGTTTCTACCACACCATGCAACAAGAGGCGGACAAAGTCCGCAAGTGGAGTACCAAAAACACGACTGCCTCACGTGGTAAGGATGCTTCAACCCCCGGGCTGATCGTTAAGGAGGGCCCTGCTCTGCGCGCCCCTCAGAGACCGCGACCAGGAGATCGAGTCGCGAAGGATCCTGCTCTTGAAAGGCTGCTCAGTGGCCGTTTACCGGCGACTCCTGCCCGCAAGACCAGCGCGGCTGCAAAGGCAGTTCCCACGCCGCCAGGCTCACAGCCGCCAGCATCGCCAGCCAAGAGGCAGCCGTCTCCCAGCGTGGCATCTAGCACTCAAGCTGCACCGAAGAGAGACTCGTGGACGTCAGCGCCCAGCCAACGTGCAGCACCGCGTGAGTTGGAGCAGGCGGATGGCGCGGCGCACGATGCAGCGCGGCAGATCCTCGCGCTCTTCCCAGATGGAATTCCTGCGCCGGACCCAAATCGACCGATGGAATCACGCATGCAGTTTGAGAGGGCCAGCTTCGAAGCACTCCGAAGGCGTGAAGAAGGTGGTGGAGCCAGAGTGCCCAGTGCTCCAGCGACGCTTTCCCCACCACAGAACCTTGCGCAAAGCAAGGGGGTTTCGAAGGACAACTCCGAGTATTCGAGCAAACCATGCAGCACTTCCGCCCCGACAGTGCCGGCAACAGCTCCTCCGCCAGCTCCTGTAACTATGTGTTACTTTGGGAATGTTTTTTATGTACCTTCGTGGTTCTCCTATATTATAATGTACCGTTTAATAAATATACTTTTAAGGGCCCCAGAACTACAAGCCAGGTAAGTCTTCGCCAGCTGGAGAGCGACTTTGGACGCAAGGTCGCCCGGCAGCTGGCCTTCAAGGCAGATCCGCGTCTCGACCTCGTTCGGCAGCAGTCCTCGCGATTTCAGAGTGCCATGGAAGAGGAGCGAGCTGCAAAACGAATGAGACGGCTTCATGAGCTCGAAGCGATGGATGCGGCGCAGGAGGTGATGGAAGAGATCAAGAGCATGAAGGTCCGTGCGTGGAGGTGTGCGAATTGCTTCTCCACCTTCGAATCCTTCGATCAGCTGAAGAGTTGCCAGGACGAGGGCTGCACACCTAACAGCCAAACTGGCCCTGAAACCACCGAGTCGCCATCACAAGAGCTAATAGTAGTATTAGTAATAGTAGTAATCGTAGAAATACTAGTATTAGAAGTAACAGTAGTAATAATGGAGCTACAAAGACCCTAAGCCCTAAAACCCTGGACTCGACCTATACTCTCCGTTGTAGTTCGTTTTGGGGGTTTAATAAGATATATGATTGGGATCCGACAAGGTAACCCCAAAAGGGAACTACAATGGAGACTATAGGTAATCCCGAGACTTGCCAGGAAAAGGGCCACAAGGTTACGGAGAAAGAAGCGACAAAGACGCGCTGGGAGTGCGGCAGCTGTCGCCACAGCGAGTCCGTCCTGGACCGCCAGCTGCCTTCTTACTGCCGCAGCTGCAGTGGGTGCAACTGGAAACAGGTCTCCCTTTTAGGGCTTAGGGTTTCAAACAAGGGGTTAGGGTTTGGACTAAGAGTTTAGGATGGGTGCAATTGAAACCAGTTTGTCTAATTTGGGTGCTTTAGGGTTTAGTATTGCGGAGGGTGCAACTGGAAACAGGCCCCTCTCTTGGCCAGGGTTTTAGAATGCACGATTTCGCCTGGGGGGCAACTGCAAGCAGGTCTCCCTCCGGAAAGTGCAGCGTGCCGCACCTGTGGAGAAGGACTTGCTCCTTGCACGCGGAGAGGAGTTGCCCTTCTTGAACTCCATCCACATCCCGGATGTGATTTCCAAGGCGCCGCAGAAGCAAGCCCGCGAAGCTCATGATGACTATGAAGGGCTCTAAGCATGATTTCCAATGTCGGGACCGATTAAGAAACCTTGGGCCTTCATTAGGATTCCCAATATGAACCCTAATACTTTGGGGTTACAGGAACCAGGTTCCTGCATTTACATTAGCTGATCGAGTGCGGCAGCTTTATGAGCATAGTGATTGTGGTTTGGGGTAGGGGTTAGGGGTTTAGGGTTTAGGGACTTCTGGTGTGGCTTGCAAGGCTCGACCAGGCCACGTGCTTAGTCAGTCAGCCACCTATTAATTAGAACTGTACAGCAACTTCCGCACAATGGCAGACAGATGAGAATAATCAACAGTTGCTTGTGCGCATATAGTTCCGGCCGAACCATGTCCGTTAATGAGTAATTACTCATCTGTTTGTCTTACCCTCCGCCCCATCAAAAGGTCAGACAGTTGGATATGCGGTTAGAAGGGTGTCAGGCCTTGTTGATAAGACTAATAATACGAATGGATGGGCTGGAGGAGTTGATTTCTGCTGCCCCGAAGCTCTCAGCAGCCTCAGTCCTGCCAGAGTCTTCGAGCTTTGGACCCAACACTGATTTCGGCAAAGAAGCTAAGGACTTTGAGCCAGTAACATACAGCCCCGAAGCTTACCAAACTACCCTGCTTTGCAGGCTCGTTCTTGCGAAGTTAGGGTTTAGGGTTTAGGGAGGAGGTAAGAAACCCTACCCTAAGCTGCAAGCGCATCGAAGCCGTGATGATCAGTACTGGGCCTGTCGTGGTTTTCGATGGGGAAGTCGAGACACACGCCGCGGCTATACAGGAACCCAAAAGAAGCAGTCAACCTACACCCTACAAGACATACATATTTCAGACATAATCCGTACCTTTTTGTGGTAATATAATACACACATATATATATATATATATATGTAAACAGATGATTATATGTGGCAACCAGAAAGATCAAGTTGTGGGTTGGGTATCCGAGTTGCTTAGTGAAGTAGGCTTTATGGCGTTCATGTGTGTTCGTGGGGTAATATGTCTCACACAAAGTTGCCCTGAAGACTTCCCACCCCTGTGCGAGAGTGGTTTAGGGAGTTTAGAGTTGTCAGGGTTTAAGGTTTAGGGGTTTACGGCTAAGGAGTTGGGCTTATAGGGTGTAAGAGTCTTCAAGAGCCCTTGCCCAAGGGGGCGTCGTGTTATCTATGGTCCAGGAACATCCTTTCACACACGGAGTCTGTCGTGTCTCATGCAGGCTAAAATGTGCACCGAATAAGATTGAAGGAATGTGCCTCCATTGCGGTATGTTTTTCCCTAAACCTAATCGCAAGTGATAGCCTTGCCTGGATTGTCCGGGAGCGAGCGCCGAAACCCTTTTTGTGAAACCAGCCTCAGACTAAATCTAGGTATCGATTCGGGATAATTTCAATTTTCCAGTCTTGTTTAATGTAAAATGTAGAGCCTCAGTTATACATAATTTGGGGGCCTCTTGAAATCGACACATATAGTAATAGGCCTCACCTCCAACCGACACAGCACAGAAGAACCTCGTCCGGCACGTCCAAGATTAGGCGCTGGAACTCTAAACCCGCCCAGCATAGATTTCAATCTTGACACTGGCGAAGCGCTAGGCCCGCGAGGCCATAAACCTACGAAGCTGCATCAAGCCAGAGACAGCTTGACACCCCCAGCCGTCAAAATCTGTACAGGCCTAGTGGCCTTACGGATCCAACCCCCTGCGAGGGTTTAAGCCTTTTCAAAACCTACATAAAGCATCCTAAAGCCTCAAAGCGTTGGAAATGATTGGCCGCAGCCATCACGAACTACACCCTCTGCATGCAGTAAAGCCCACAGCGGCCATAAAGGCCTTGGCATGAATAAACATGAAGATCAAGGCACCACCTTCGCGTGACCCATCGTGCCGGCGGCCTGCTTGCACGTCACTGCCCGAGGCATCTTTCAAGGGAGACGGCTGAGGATTTAGAATGGAGCTGGGAGGGGCTTAGAAAGCCGCTGTGTGGTGTTCGGGTTCGTTTATTCGGTTAAGGGGTCAACGAAGGCCAGGTTAACAAAGGTGATAGGGAGCACACTTGTTCCGAGAGCCCTTCCCAACAAGACCTGAGTACACTGTCTACGGATGTATCTTTGCATATTCTCACACAGAACACCTCCGTGCCTTTCAGATTACACACCCATTGGTTTTCGGCATTTAGGGCCAGGACCCTAAACCCTAAACCCTATGAACCTCGCCTGGCTTGTCCGAGTTGTGAGAGCGTAAACCCTAAACCCGTTCAGGGTTTTCGGTTCTCGAGGTAAACCCTGAACCATCTGCCATCAAGTCTCGACGAGGCGCTTCCGGGCTGATTCTACCGCCCGCAGCTTCGTCACGTTGGTATGGACCGCAGATGCTCTGGCTTCAGGGTGTAAGATACTGTAGACCCCTAGAATTTCAGGCTCAGGATTGTGTAGTTAGGGCAAGTTGCATCTTCAGGCTTCTGAGAATTTATCGGCTTCGTGGCTTCATGTTTGAGCTGATGTGTTGCGGGGTTCAGGGTGCACCAGTACCAGCACTCTGTCTTGCGACTTGCGGTTCGGGGTCATGTTTACGATGGTCATGTGCCGCTCCTTAGTGAAATGCCAACCTTGCTTGGCTGTGATTATAAACCCCTAAACCCTAAACCCCTAAACCCTAAACCCTAAACCCCTAAACCCCTAAACCCTAAACCCTAACCCCTAAACCTTAAACCCTAATCAGGAACCCCCTACATGATGGCAGCACCCTTACTCCAGGCACTCCTGAACGGAGCTGAAATTCAATTCAACTCCGCACACTGGGCTTCACCGGGACATGATCCTGGTTATCATGCTTTCCAGCACTGCTTGCGATATGATACTCGTTTGGTTGATGTAGCAATCCTCGTAAGTGGCAGTACAACTTCCGAGCCATTGCTGCAGGACAACGAAACTCCACAGAGAGGTATTCTTGGCTCTGCTGCTATCCCGGTGGATGCAGGACTCCCTAAACCCTAAACCCTAAAACCCTAAACCCTGAACTCTAGATCCTAAACCTTAAACCCGAATCCCTGAACCCTAAACCCTAAACCGTGACTGCCTTTCTTGTGCAAAGGTGGACCAGGTCGCCGCATGCAGTGATTAGTTATACGGACCTTATTCCGCAAAGTTCCCTAATGCTTGTAATCATTGTAATCAACTTGTCGTGCTATAGCACAGCACTCCCCGCAAGTAAGAGTGTGTGCGTGTGTACCTCGCCTCTGTCGGTTTGTGGGTGCTTTTTTGTCGTTGTGTTTGTATGGTGTTGCATTCGTCTTTGTCTCTCTCTCTCTCTCTCTCTCTCTCTCGTTCTCTCGCTCTCTCTCTCTCTTTCTCTCTCCTGTTTGTCTTAATTAATCTTTGTCTCTGTCTCTGTGCACTGTGGGCATGTCGAAAGCCTCGCTGTTTGCACCTGCTAGGACCGAAGTCTCGGCTAACACCTGTGATATGTGGCCCCAACGCCTTTGTCCAAAACCGCAGCCAACTAGTATTGCTACATATTGCTACGATAATTGTGTATATATATATATATATACACACCCATGTACGATCCCAAACCAGCTTGCATTGATTTCTAGTATGCTTTCAAGCCCTGCCTCCCGCAACCTACCGCCCCCTGAGCTCCTCACCGATACCCCTGCCATTCTGGCCGTTTCGATTAAGAAGGACCCTAAACCACAAAGCCAAGCCAATCCTGAATTTCGAGCAGATTCTCTTTGCATGTTCCTGTTCGGGGGTTATGTAATGTAACGATGTAATTAGAATGTATGGTGCTGTACCATGAAATAGGGGTGTATGTATGATTTATGTACGTGCATATGTCTGTATGTATGAATGTATGTATGTATGCAATTAATTACGTATGTATGTATGCATGTATGTACGTATGTATGTATACATATGTCTTTGTGTCTGTTTGTTGCTCTCTTGCACTAACTCACTCACTCACTCACTCACTCACTCACTCTCTCTCTCTCTCTCTCTCGCTCTCTCTCTCTCTCTCTCTCTCTCTCTCTCTTTCCTTCTCTCTTTTTTTGCAACCCTGTGTAGATAGAACCGTTTTTTTGTTGCCGCTTGTTTGCTACAGAAGCCTCGCCGTAAGATGGGTCATCCGAAGGAGGTACTACAGTTCAGCTCTAGGTATGAGATCAAGCGAGACCTTTAAACATTCCTGAACTGTTGGCAATATCCCGACTCCCTGTGCAGCCAGGACTTGCGGGAAGCTGTTTGCTCCCCGACGCTTCGCTGGCATAGTTTCGGGGTGTGCCGGGCCAAACCCCCTCCCCACCCACCCTCTCGCTTCCCTAGGGCCTAGTTTACACAGACAATTTGCTTAGGTGCTGGTCAGAGTTGAACTTCCGTTGTTGAGGGTTTTGGGTACTGAAGGGTGGGCCAAGCCCAGGTCGAAATCACAGTCCCGTCGCCTAATCTAAATAATTAGCTATACTATTGTGGGGGTTCTTTGTTATAAATACGGTACAATCTACCCCCAAACCGCTTTCTAATCATGAAGGCCCCTACATCACAGCCTTTCACCTCAACGCTCCAAGCAAGGAAACCTCGTCCACATGGTTCCAATCAGCTTAGACCTGGCTTTCGTAAACCTTCCTGAGCCCTGATACCGATATTGACGAAGTCCATGCCCAGTGTTTGCCGCAGTTGTGCTTTTGACCCGACGAATGCCTGGTAAATGCCGCGGAACCAAGTTCCGCACTCATTGCAGTCCCGATAATACTTGCCTTCACCGGCTTTCTCAGGGTAACGTAGTCTGACTTGTCTGGTCTCTGGACCTTGACCGGCTTTGTCCGAGCGTGCGAACGCCCTCAGCTTCACCCGAAACCCTCTATCATGAACACCACAGTATGCTGCAGTCATCTAGAATCCTTAGCCGCAGCGGAGAGACCGCAAAGAAACTCTCATCAATTCCCAGAGCCGCACACTGAAACCCTCCGAACCAGACTGTTAGTGAAAACAGTGTTTGCGGTTATTATGATTTTCGTATGCACTCGCCCAAAGCCGTAAACCGTAAACTGTCACATGCCTGGCATGTCCGAGTTGCGAGAGCGTAAACTCTCACATAAACCCTAAACCTTACGCAAACCCAAAAGCCCAAAATCTATCTGAGACCTAAACACCTAAACCCCAGAATGAAAGAAACAGAAACCCATGGGAGGCCCGAGGGTCTCGCATGTTGGCCCGAAGATCCGCGTGACATCCGCGACCAGCTGGAGTGGAAGGACTCTGTGTTGGAAGAATGGGATGAGTTCTGATTAGCTGTTATTCCTTTTCTTGTTTTGTTTGTATAATCGTAGTTTTCAGTAAAAACGGATTACATGTAAGAAAAGAAATGCGCATAACACTAGAAGCGAACGCCTGTTTCTTCTACTGGTTCTCATAGTGAGCTCAGTTGCTCCGACGTGTTTGGAGTGCTCAGGGCAGATTGGGTTTAAGGTTAACACGCTTAGGGTTTATGATAATACTGTTTAGGGATGAAGGTCGGGATGGGAAAGGTCCTCCTGCAGCAGATAGAACATGAAAGAACAGGAAGCACTTTCCCGTCACCTTGCAAGGGACTGAAGCGCAAGCCCCAACCTAACTCCGACGGCAATCAATAACGATCCATTGCCGGCCAATCGATCTGTTCTGGCCAATGATATCCAAAGGCATGCTCCGCCAAACCCATGGAATCACTGGCTGCGAAAGGATAGATCAACCCCAAAGCCTGCAAACCCTCTACTCCTACACGCCTCAACCCTGACAAGCCCTAACTAGTCGTGCAGAACTATACATTTACAACCTGAAGCCTCTCTACTTTCAATTTCATCCATCCTTCATGTGCTGAAGACAGGTCTCATGCGCGGTCCAAGCGAACCGTTGTCAGAAGCCGCTGCTTGCTCTGCACCAGGAACTGCTTCCCTGGGCGCCTGGCCGAACCCTGGCAGATCGCCAGCAAAGAGTGGAAGCCAGGAGAAATGAAAAAACAAATGAGTGTTTTTAGGGCTTATAGGAGCCCCAAAACATTTTGGGTGTTCCAGGAGCTGGCAGGCTTTGACTGTTCAGGGACAGCCGGGCCTTAAGGGCGACGGTCCTTCGGTTGCCTTACAAGGGTACATCCCTGGCCCGGAGCTTTTCTTCGCCCCGACGGCTTCTCAAAATTCTTGTAGGGATCCTTAGTGGGCTATACTCGAAGGATTTTGGTGTCTGTGGGAAAGCAGAAAGTCTCAAGCCTTATCATGGGTGGCACCTCAGATCTCGGGGACAGGTCGTTCGACGGTGGTTGCTTGGGGCTGGAGGTGCTGTAGAATCGATCATCGGGTTGAATCGATCGTCGGGTTGTTGGGCCCGGGTTGAAAACTGCTTCTTTGCCAAAAACGATCATGGACCAGGCAGGCCTCAAGCATCACTTAACGCCCTATGCACGATCGTCGAACTCGGGCACATGAGTTCACACCCTACCATGTTTCCAGTACCCCGTCATCAGCCTAAAACCATTATCAAGGAATCGCCTGTAATCCAGAAAAGCCTAGGAAGACTTGCATGAGAGATTATGGGATTTTGGTGAGGGTATGTCGGGCTCCTCATGAAATTGATGAGTGTAGAATTGGGCCCTAAAGTAGGAAACCTTTATCGTATCAAAACACCTGTCGTTTTTCACTACCGTCAACCCTAAACCCGAATCCCGAAGCCCCGAACACACCCTCAGCTCGCGAATGCCTTCGGGTGTGTCAAGGAATCCCTGTCTGCTTCACCGTTTACCGTTTAGGGTTCAGCGCCAAGTTTAGGGCTCAGGGGTTTACTTTGTGGGGCTTGTGGTCGATTATAACTAATGTTGGAACTGCATGCCTTCTCAGGCAATCTGGGAAGATCTGTCTGCTTTATCGCCAGGATGGTAAGGTTGAGGCATGCAGCATGGAACTGTGTAGCCCTGGCCTAACACATGCCGCGCATCTGTGTGGCTCAATGCAGCCTCGGGTGGATAAGCAATGGTTGTGAATGTCCACAAGCAACACCATGTTTTGAGACTTAATGCCCCGCGACCCATGCGGCAAGCAGGCCAACTAAGCCTGTGCTGCGGCTACTTCAGACTCCTCTTGCTATACTTGACCCTGAACCCTCACTCCCCCCACAAAATCACAAAGTAGCATTTTCCCCAGCCGTCTCCTTAACACTCTAGTCCCACGGGTCCAAACGCTCTTAGTTCGCCCTGCTTTACAACGAGAGTTTCTGGGCTTTGGAGCATCATACTTTAATTCTTTCTCTCAAAGGCACCATTATGAAATTTCAGTTGATGCTTTTTCTCCCTGGTTACTGAAAAGCCCAGTTTAGCTTCACATGGTTTGCCGTGCCTTTTGCCAGCTATGCCCTTCTTTCAGCAACCGCAGGTGGGTTCAGGGCTTGGGGCTGCGGTTGATAGACTTGGTGGTAAGTCTTGGGCTACGAGGTTTACCCATCAACTGTTTCAGGTTCCCGGAATAGGTCCTTAAGTTTGAAGCAGCCGTCAATGCTGAAAGCCACAATCCCACCTGGTACGGCAACCGAAGCCCTAAGATCCCTAAACCCTAAACCCCGGTCCTAAACCTCTATGCCAGTGAGGCGACGTTGACCCTTAAATTCCCCAGCAGGTGCGATGACTTGGCATTTGGATTTGGATAAATTGTTCATGGCTTAGGCTTCCCCAAACTCTACACCAAAAAAGCACCCTAGGAACTAAACCCTCAACCAAAAAATACACAAAAAGACCCTACACCCTACATATGGGTGGTTGTCAAAATTATGGTCCCTTTTTGGGTCCCTATTGTAATACGGCACCTCATATTCAGGGTACCCAAAGATGGACCACAATTTTGACAATCACCCATATAAGAAGCATGATTTCAGGCTTCGGGATGCTGCTGAGTCCGAAGAGATTCCTTAGGGGTACTTAGATTTTTTTTAATTTTTGGTTATTAAAATCGTTAAGAAACAGCTAAAATTATAATTTGAAACGCTGCGGGTCGTCCGCCTCGGCCCGGCTGTACGCGCATGCGGCGAGTGGCTACTATCTGCAGTAGGGTTAGAATTTCAGGTTTGAAACTCGCTTGGTACTGCAGCCTTAAAGGCGAGCCCCTACATTGCAGTAGGGTGGGGGGGGGGGGGGGCGGTGGCGGGGAGGGGATTAAGAGGTGGGGAATAGAGGAAATCCGAATAGGAACCTCTGACCGCTTCGGCCGGGGCCGGCGAATTTTTGCTAGGGTTCTAAGTTCAGTATAGATTCGGGATCCCCAGAACCTTGAAGCCACGGCCAAGAGAAGAGAAGCAGCGATCCGATTGGAGTTTAGGGCTTAGGTAGTCTTGCTGTAACCGGGCTGCTGGACAACGAGGCCTGCTGCAAGCAAGGGTTTAGGTAGTCATAACTCTTGGTCATGCTAGTTTCTTCTTCTTCTTTGCACGGACTTGTGCCTACCTAGTGAAGCATTGTATTATTTTTCTCTGCACAAGGAACAGGAAGACGGTACATGTTGACTCAAAGAGCACCACCAAATCAAGCCGTGCTATAGCCGGAATACAATACTTTGCGAGAGAGAATATCGTCCAGCAATGAACCCATTATGATCGTGCCTCTGGTACCAGGTCGATGCTTCGGAAAAGCAGCAGCTGCTGAGCGATGTCCTATGGCGCAGAGATCCACGGTTCAGTATATAGGGTTTAAGCCCCCTAAACCCAGAACCCTAAACCCTAAACCCTAAAATAGGGATCTGTAGAAAAAAGACCATACTAGGGATCTAGAGTTTGGATTTAGGGTTTAGGTTGAACGAAGGGTTTCGGGGTTAGTTAGGTTAGTGAGGGCTTAGGATTTAGGGGTTTTGGGATGTGGGGTTTAGGATTCAGAAGTTCAGGGTTTGGGATTTAAGCTTCAGGAGTTTGGGGTTCAGGGTCTATAGGGCTTGGGGTTTAGGGTCTTGGTTTAGGACGATACACATGAGTAGAATACTGGAGTAGGGTCTTTCGGTACATTATAATACGGTCACTTGTAAAAAACCGTGATATAGTAGTTAATCACAAATAGCCACAATATATGAAGGTTTAGGGTAAGTCCAGTCCCGAACGCTTATCCGGGTCATAACCCTGGTGGAAGCCGTGCTGCAGCAACCATGGCTCCCGCACCACCATCCCCGGACCCGACACCGGAACCCTAAACCTTCAACAACGAGACGGTTTAAGGTTTAGGTTTAAGGGATTTTCCAAAGTTGCTGAAATTCCAGCCCCAGAAGAGTCAACCGTAATCGCGCTGCACCCCACCGACTATGTAACCCTGAGCTGTATTCATCCTCAGCTGTACATCCGAAGGGCCGCGGGTTCTGAATCGGTGTTGGTCAGTACATGCTGGCGAACCCAGACATCTGCCAGCGATCCCGTTGTTGAGGATGCCGTCGCAAGAGACCCTGCTATCATGTTAGGAGTACATCGGGACTCAAATATCACAGCCGGTTCTGCGATCCCAGAAGCCACGTAGGGAACTCTTGACAGGACGGCTCTTGAGGTTGTTGTCACATCCTCCGCAGTAGTGCAAGCAAATTACACCTTTGTTCTGTGAGATGTTATTCTCCCAAAGACTCCAAACTCTACTCGTTAAATGAACAATATTCCTTACAGTCTGTAGTTGTGATCCTTAAAACAGGATCCTCCATGCAATCCAGGCGCAACCCCATGTTAAGCTTCTTGTCTTACATATTCCTGGAGAGAGGAAGGGCTCTCTTCATGGAGTGAGACACTAGAGTCCAAATCCAGTACCCTTTACGGGAGATTGCAGCTTAAACCATGTGTGTGTGTATCTATATATGCCCATATGTACACACTCTAGCATATATATATATATATATACATACACACACACACACACACACACGACATGTTCACGAGCCCGTTCAGGGATACTGGAGCACTAATCCGCTTCAGGGGGCGAGTATTAGAGTTTCTCGCTTCGCACAGGGGCCGACTGGCCCAATGTCTCCGTCGCGTATGGAGGCTGGCGGAGGAGTGCCGCTCCCAGCCTACAGGCTTCGCTTTTACCAGGGTTTGGGCTTTTGGGTGCTTACGGCATAAGTGCCTCGGATGTAGGATTCAGCTCTAAACACTATAACCCCTAGAACCTCTAAAGGTTTGAGAGTTTGTAGGGTCTCGGGTGGACAGTTGAGGGTTTCGGTTTCAACCTACTCAGTCGATGGGGGGCGGTAAAGTGGCCCAGTAAGGGCCGTTCCACTTCTAGTAATGTGTGAGATCCACTGCTGATTCTTTTCTTACTTCGCGGCTTTAGGCACGCTGAGTTTCAGAAGGATAAGGACGGAAGTCGGAACAAGCAGACAGGGCAGGTTTGATTTCGGTGTTCGCCACGTGGACAATTTTCGGGACTCTCTCTCTCTCTCTCTCTCTCTCTCTCTCTATATATATATATATATATATATGTACACGTATATGTAATGTATACATGCACATATAGAGCCACCCATGTGTAGCACATATATATATATATATACATAAGAACCTATATGGACTCATCTATAGGTATATGTAGGCATCCACAAGCCTTCTTATCAACATTGGCGTGTGTGCGTTCGGCGGAAGAGGGGGTGATGTTATGGGGAGACCAGGAACACCATCCCTTTACTCTCAGTCAGTGAGACCTATCAGAAAACTCCGAGGACTTCCCAACTTTAGATATAGTAAGAGTCAGACTTTAAGATTAGATTCCATCATGTACAGGAATCCTTAACAAGCTTCAGAACCACCGCAGAATTCTGACAGCCCCAACACCCACCTTGAATCCTCAACCTGAACCGAAGCCTTAAGCCCTAAACCCTTATAAACCCAAAACCGTAAACCTTAAACCCTAAGCCCTGAAACCCGCCTTACCTCCTCAACCGAAACCCGAAACCCTATATAAGCCATAAACCCTAATCCTTCAACCCTAGGCCCTAAACCCTAAAATCCTACCCTTTAAGGGACCCCAGGATCCCTTTGAAGGAACCTTAATCCCAAAACCTTGAACCGAAACCCTGAACCCTAAAAGCCCTTAAAACCCTAATCCTTCAACCCTAGGCCCTAAAAGCCCTAAACCCTAAATCCTAAAAGCCTTTAAAACCCTAAAAGCCCCAGAAACCCAGGCCCAGAGTCGTGGGATGGGTTCCCGCAGCCTTGGATCCAGAGGCTCGCGGACAGGATTCTGATATTTGGGTTTAGGGTTTAGGTTGTCAAATTATGGTTCCTTTGTGGGTTTTCACTATTATACGTCACCTAATATGTAGGGCACCCAGCGAGGGGCCGTGATGTTGACAACTGCCCATTTGGAGTCCGCAAGGGTTCCGGGTTTAGGGCCCATCAGGGCTAGGGTTCAGGGTCTACCTGTAGCCGAAAAGACCTACCTTTTTAAGGAGTTATATATAGAAACCATAATAAGGAACCCTAAACAGGTAGTTTCCTTAGGGTCCAGGTAGGGTTTGAATTTTGTGCGCTGGGGTGTAGCGTTTTTAGGGTTGTTTAAGGGCTCGTGTTTAGAAGGAAGGGTCTTGAGGCGTGATTTGCGGGTGCTGTGGGGGTGTGGGGGGCCTGTTAGGGTTTGGGACTTTAGGGTTTAAGGTGTACCAGAACCTCCCCAAGGCACAAGTACCCTAAATTGAGGCCGACGAGTCGTCAAGAAAGCGGTTGGGGTTGTACAGGCAAGTTGCTTGGTTCGGAGTTCGCGACATGGGATGTAGCATGGTGGTTCTGTTCTATGTGCTTTGGGGTCGTCAGAGTTGAGAAAATTGGCTGTTTACTCTGAATCTTGTGCCATGGATTAGGAAAGGCCCCCATGAGCGAATAAAGAACGTGTACATATGACTACAATTGCTATAATTGTGCAGTTGTGTTTACATATGTACACATAGTTGCAGATGCAAGTGCACACATGCTTGAAGTAGAGCTGAAGGTGCAATTGTGTTGAGTCCGCGGATTGTGCTACTGTCAAAGGGCACCCGCTAAAGCTGAAGCCTTGAAGCAAGCAAACGTGCCCGTCTGCACCCTAAACCGTAAGCCAGGGTCAGAGTTTAGGGTTAAACCCTAATCACCCCTTTAAAAAATACTCAACCCCTAGTGTGTTTGCTACTCGCTTCTGGGCAACGATTAGCTGAGCAGCACTCGAGACCGGCTGTGCTGTATATAAGCTCGTCAGTCAAGGTGTGATGGCTTAGACATGTGAATGGTTGTCAAAATTATGGTTCCTTTTTGGGTCCCTATTAAAATACGGCACCTATTATTCAGGGTACCCAAAAAGGGGACCTTGATTTTGACAACCACCCAGGCCTGAAGGTCCCCAACCACAAATACCTGAACCTGCGGCGCCGAACTCCAAGCCCCAAATCCTAAAACCCAAGGGTAAAAGGAGGGACCCTTAATAAGGAGTTATATACTAATATATATATATATATATATATATATATATATATACCCTTAATATTATAGCCATTATATACCCATTATGGGGTAGGGGTCCCCATTAAGGGTCCCTCCTTTTCCCCTTTGAAAAACACAACCTGGCAGCCGAAAGCCGCCCCGTGCTCCCTCAAGCCTACACTAGGATGCCCAGTAGTACCCTTATTCCCTTTTTGTAGTCCTAGGTTCCTTATAAAGTTACCCAATACCAAAAAGAGAGGCCTTTTTATTCTTAGGTTACTGGGTATCCTAGTACAAGTAAGACTAAGAGCTCACAATCTGACGAATGCTTGGGTGGGCTTAAGGAACCCCTTAAAGGAACCCTTTTAAGGACCCCTTTTAAGGACCCCTTTGAAGGAACTCTTAAGGGATAGAATTGCAAATCCACACCAGCTCCTCCCAACAGATCCTTTACATTCTTTAGCCCTGTCGAGACCCCTGAAACCCAAGCAGAATGTTCCTCAAACCGTGCGAAACCTGGAAAGGAACAGCTTTTCCCTCGATGTATCTCTGAAGCTGGGCTCCTGAACTAGTCTCAGTGCCGATATATCCGAGGCTTCAGCATCCGGACGGATCGACCCATCCACTTCTTGGAGGTCTGCTGGCATGCATATCCAAACTCCCGGTTCTTCGCTCTACTTTGCAAGCTTGGGGCAGTGGTCCCACCTCGTTGCTGAGACATGTGGGCAAGAGCAAAATAAACTACAGTAAGCACCATAATAAAGTTGGAAACCGGATTAAGGCCAAATGTTGCTGGTATTCCCCGTTCTTTACTCTTCAAGGATTGAGGCTATGGGGTTTCCAACTTTTGGGCTTCTACTGTGGGGCCGCATGTTCTGCTATGAAAAGGTTAATTGGGGCATTGTAGTAAGTTCGTTACGAATGCCAATCATTCAGGCCCCGTACAATGTCAGCATCTTAGCCTACTACCAAGCCACTAATATAGGGGCCTCAATAATACCTATACTATTTTGGGGGTTCCTTATTATGGTTATAGTATAATGAAGAAGATACCCCCCAAAGCCCTACTCTAGTTATCAAGGCCCGTAAAATAGATTCCAGCATCCTCTGGGCCGCAATGACACACGACCATGTGTCCCTTACATGCCTTTTGCAAAACTAAAACAAGTGCTTGGCCCTGATCTGTCCGTTTTCCGAAAGCCCACTTCATGGTTCTTGCCAGGAACAGCTCATTGGTTCTGCAGACGAGATGGACGATCGCACCTTGCTTCTTCAAATCCAGACGGGTTGGGAGCAGTTGTCAGTATTGAGGTGGTGTTTTGGTTGAGCCTCTGTTGGTGGGTCAAAGCGTGCTGAGTGCAGGCTGCATCTTTCTTCTGCAACTTCTGCCATGCCTATCAGGTTGAATCCAGAACTCCTCCCCCCCCTCCCCCTCCCCCAAGCCCTTAGGCTCCAATCCCCCGCAAACATAAACATCCTAAGCCCTAAACTCGAAACCCAAAACTCCTAAGCGAGAACAGCGGGCCTTAAAGGCTCAACCCTGCCCAAAACCCTAAACCCTCCTCAACCTTAGGCCTGGATATAGAAAATGTTCGCCGGGCTCGGACCAAGCGCCTTGGCACTCTAGCGACGGGCAGATCAAGGAGTCGCTCGGTTTCAGGGTGCCAGAGGATCTTTAGTCGGGTTTTAGGGGCCAAGGCCCTAGAATCTTAAACCTCTGGCGTTTAGGGATTTCAGGATTGAGGGTTTTGGGGTTAAGGATCCAGGTAGTAGGGTCTAAGGTCAAGGGTTTTCGACTGCCACGCATGACCCTAAACCCTAAACCCTAAATCCTAAACCCTAAACCCTAAACCCTAAACCTAGAGTTGAGAGGAGTAGGACTTGGGGGCTTAGGGGCCTTCTCAAGTTCAGGGCACAGAGGCATGGGGTGCAAACTTGGGCTTCTAGGTAATCACCTTAACCCCTAAACACCTTAAACCCTAAACCCTAAAACCCCTACTTCCTAAACCCTAAAATCGCTAATTCCTAAACCCTAAACACCCTAATTCCTACACCTTAAAAACCCTAATTCCTAAACCCTAAACACTCGGAAGGATCACTGAGTCCGATGTACTTTCCTGGCTGTTCCTGAGGCTTCCCTTGAGTTCTTTACATACGACACTCTATCCATAAAAAGCTCAACTGAAGTATAATACATTTGAATATATTACGGTATTACATGTTGTGGTTTATTACAATCTACTATGCTAGATGCCGCATGGACAGGTAGTGCTGACCTGGCGAGTCGATGGTACGCCTTGCCGATCTAATGGGTAATGTAGGAACCTGGCCTATAACCCCAAACTAGTAGGATGCATATAAGGAACCGTAATAAAGGCCCAAGGTGTCTTAATCAGGTTCCTATATTCAGAGGTGAGATCGCCAGGGTTGGGATTGTTCTGGAAAGTAATAAACGGTTAGCATAGGGGCCATAATAATTAGAACAGGGTTCCCTTTTCAGGGTTCAATTGAAAGGTTCTATATATAAGGGATCTACAATAGGGTTCTATGATATAGGGGCCTTAATGATTAGAATAGATTTTCGGTATACTGTACTACGGAAACCTTACCATAGTATTGGCAATTATTGAGACCCGTCTATTCGATAGATCCGGGCCCTCGCGTGCATCCGAAGACACCTGCGACGAGTCCGTGAGCTAGACGCCTCCGTAGCATGAGGGGGTTAGGGTTTAAGATTTAGTCGTCGTGATGGTGTTGCCGTTGCAGTGATCTCATAGCGGATAACCACTTGCAACCGGCAGAGTCTGCCCATAGTTCTTTGCCTGGGTCGACTAGTCATGCGCGGCAATGCAATCAACCCAACAGTACTATTTTTCACATTTGGATTTTCGAAGTATCGTTTTCGCAGTGAGCCCAATACCTGCCAACACCTCTTCCTCTCAGCTCTGAATACGGCCGTAGGCGTGAAATCATATTGAGGATGCCATCCTCCATAGTTGAAGAGATATTGGTTCAGCAGGGGCTGTTGGCCTTTCCATTAAGAGCAGGGGTGTCTTGCTTGCAGTACTGCAAACTACTGGAAGTTCAGAATATCAGAATAACAGCAGCAACAACAAGAAGCTAATAGAAACAACAATAACCACACGAATAGCAAGCACAACCCTAAACCCTAAACCCTCAGAAGACCTCAACTAAGCTTACTGAAGCCCACTCGGATGTGGATGCCCCAAGCCAGAGGCTTCTCTGCGCCTTGCGGGGAAAAGCTACCGTGGAAGGCATGGAGCCCAAGACCCCTAATTCAGGAATATGGTTTAAAGTACAGTATATAGGGCTTCATATCATGGTTTAAGCTATACTCCTTGATTAAGGGGCATTGGGCTCTCTGGGTTTGTAATCTGCATGTTGGGGCCAGCGACCTTTAAAGCAGATGAGGTGGGATGGTACCAGACTCTCCCCGACTCGCTTCCTTGCCCGTTCCTTCCGTGGCTCATGCCCTATGCACCCACAGGAATCGCTGGGCCCCGAACCCGCCACGCATGTTCGACGGAGTTTGGAGCATAGTTATAGATAGTCTCCGATGCCCCAACTTACAAAGCAGAGAAAACTTGCAAAAGCCGTTTCAGACTCCATAATCCAAGCACACAAATGAGCCTTAAGCCTCACCTGCAAATCTCCGCGTACTACTGTGCCAGGCGGAACAAGTGAAGAGATGAACTCGGTCATCATCTATAAGGGCCGGCCCTTGCACCACGGCTTCAGAGTTTGATTCAATTCATCTATTTACCAGTACGATTCCTTACTTGGAGGGGCCGCGGACTTAGTAAGTAGGGCTTATATACGTCGAGATACCAGGAATGAACCGAAAAAGGGATCCTAATTGGGGTCATGATACTTGAAACTCTCTGCATTTACAGACGACTAGCTTCTTACTACGTCCACCGACCCTAAGTCGAATTCGGTTCCTTAAGGTGATCGATGACGATACTAGGTAGGCCTTTGGGACATTTTATATTTTCCCTTATTGGGCTTAATAGGACCCTATTTACGAATGTTTTCCAGAGGCTTTAAGGGGCCAACCTAGGATAGTATAGTAGATCAAAAACAAGCTTTTGCTGATGATCAAGGCGCTAGTTGGGGGGTTTCTAAAGCTTAAAGGGAACTCCAGAAACTTGGAATATGGAATGATGGCAGGATCCCCTATATTTTACCTTAAAGGGACTATGAGAATGATATTCCAACTTTCTGGCTTCTACTGTATTAGGATCCCGACTTGAGGGATCGTACAGATCAGCCCTGAACTTGCATCCCAAAACGGGATTTTTTTCTCGAGATCACCTCAAGCAGACTCCCCACGGCCCGCAACACAACTAGCTAAAGCCTTTGGGTGTAGGGTGTATATAGACATGTCCGTTTAGTTTCAGGGTATGACTGTGTCAAACAGTGGATCTAACATGGCTGTCAAGTCGCCGCAATGGGATTCTCTGCTGCAGGTCTTGCCGTAAGGTGACCGTATCACCGATTACTAGATGCACCTGTCACACGAGATCGTGAAGCTACTAGGGGCTTTCGAAGTGAGCTTATCAAGTATGCCGACTCCAAGGCGCGTGCAGGTGGTGCACTTTGCCGTGTGGGTGTCGGCACAACTGCGCGAAAGCAGTGCCGTGGAGAGGTGGGTTCTGAACTCTGGGAAGTGTGGGGTTGGGGGTTAAGGTGTTCGGGTTTGGGGCTTTAAGGCTTTAGTGTGTCTCAGGTGGGATACCTTATGAGTTAAAAGCTGCTTGGTTAAGAAGTCTATCCTGCGCTTCAGAGAATTAGGGCTCACTATTAGTAGTCTGTGTATAGTCGGAATCCTACTTGGCTATCGCAAAGACGAATATCACTACCCTAAGGCCCTAAAGTAGTTCCTTTTTGGGGTTCATATTTAGAATCCTATTCGGTAATCCCAAAAAGGAACTACTTTGGGGCCTCTGGGTAGTTTTCTGAACTCCGACATGGCGTAGCTTTCTTGCCTCTTGCATGATATGATCGCCTCCTTGCAGATTTTCTGGGGTCTACGCACTGATGCGTTGTTCAAGGGCTTTCCGAAGCTTTGTGTTGCTTCGGCTGTTTTCATGTCGCACATAATATAAGCCCAAGGGGTCATGAAGAGGACAAGTTTTATTATGGGCCACAGAGCTTCATAGACGTGGCGTGGAGTTGTTGAGGACATGTCGACGAGCCCTGCAGCATGTGTTTTTCCTGATTCGCAGCACCGGAATCCTGGGTCGTCATTGCTCCGAATACAACTGTCCCGGAGTCAATCGGTGAGCAAATGTAAGAAACGCATCAGTATCGCATCAGTGCATCTGTGGTGTTTATTCTATATAATCATCGCTGCGTTTCGCTTTAACTATACTGCCGTATCATCATGGTTTCCAGCTATATCCATCTCTTTTATGAAACACCGTCGTATAGTGCAAGAGAGTCATAGCCCCTCCCTAAACGGTCAAGCCAGCCATATTATCTAGGTAGGCCAGCACAGAAGAGGTGCGCTGCAACCTTGACCACGCCAGGCTTTTGCCTTACCTCAGTGCCGAAGATGTCTTCGCCAAGGCAAAGTACCAAGCGCGGCCAGGCGCGCAGCGTGTGCGGGAGTTTCACAAAACACGGCACCTGAATAGCCATGCTTTAGACCTTGAGCCGTAGGATCCTCCTATTTGCGACTCGTAAGGAAGGTACCGCTAGACAGTCATTGAGCATGATCCATTTGTATAAGACTTAAGAGCCATTGAAAAAAGCCCCCCGCTCGAGATTTGAGTCTAGGGTCTGGGGCACAGACTTTAGGTCTAGGGCTTGGGGAGTCTACGTCAGTAGAGAGCTCATGTTTCGGGATTTGGGTCTGAGGTTTCCCAGGCTACCCGGGCGAAGAGTCAGTGTTACACAAAGCAGAGGTTATGGGATCTGTTTATTAGTTGTTTGGGTGCGTTGTTTTTGTAAAGTTGTTGTAGGTTTTGGTGTGTTTCTTTCGTGGGCTTTGGCTTGTATAGGGTTTGAGTGTAACGTTGAAGGTCGTGGTGCATCTGTGGGTTTTGGACGGCACTGCCAGTTCTAACAGCCTCTAAGAAATTGTATATGGAACCCTAAACAGTTCATAAAACCCGATGAAACTTGCAAAATAAGCACTAAAACCAGAACGCCTGCAACAACCGTTTTCGAGGCTCCAGCAAACCCTGGTAACATCCTAATTTACTGATGCTCCTGCTCCCTTTCCGCCGAATAGAGCGCTCACCCTATGCTTTAAATCGCTTAAACTTACCCTAAACCTCTTAAGCTCGAACTTTTGCCTTCAACCTCAAACCACCTCAGCTTCTGCCTCAGGCAAAAAACTCCCTAAGCTCTGCGCCCTAAATCCTAGAGCCTTTCTGAAATCCTAAGCCCCTAAGCCCTAAACCCCCCTTGTTAAAATTTGTCCCGTAAACCCTTTAAACCCCTGAAACCCGAAACTCCCTAAACCTACCTTCATCCCTAAACTCCCTAAACCCTGCACCCTAAACCCTTAACTCCCTAAACCCTAAGCTCCCTAAACCCTGCACCAGGAAGCCTGGACGAGACCTGGTTGGATCCGATCCACATCGCAGCCGGCTTGGGAGCAGCGCCTTGGATTCTACAACTTTCAGGGGTTTAGGGTTTAGTGTTGAAAGTCAGCTGTCCTGGCGTGACGTTGCAAGCCAGTTGCAAAAAAAAGTTGAGGGTTTAATAAGGTTTAAGGTTTAGGATTTAGGGTTTAAGGTTTAGGTTTTAAGGTTTCGAGTTTAAAGTTTAGGGTTCAAGGTTTACGGTTCTAGGTTTAGGGTTTAGGGTCAACTTCAAGGCTCTCTTGCCGGTCCTTTTGAGGGGGAGGGGGCTTTAGGGTTTAGGGGCTGGTTTACCGGTCCTTTTAATTTTAAGCGACTTACAAGGGGTGTAGATGGGGTTTTATAAGGGTCTTGTCTCGTCCGATGGGGTTTTGTAGTGTTTTCTGTGGCTGTTTATGGCAAATGGCTTTACGGGGTTGATAAGGTGGGGTAAGATGTAGCTGGAGATTTTGATTCTAGGTTCAGGATTTCGGGTTTAGGATTCAGGGATTAAGCTGCGGGGCTACACCCTTGAGGCTTTAAGTTCGTTGCGTCGGGGTGTGGGACTTTCCGTTTCAGAGTTTGCTTGAGGGTAGTAGTATAATTTCTTTCTCTGGAAGCATGAAGTCACTAGCCACCGTAGTTATTTTGCATAGTCAGCTGGCATTCGCAGCTTTGTCACGCTTCGACCAAGAAATCGCCAAGCAAGCAAGAGGAAAGACGGACAAGGTAGCTGTTTGCCCTTGCCCTGCCATGCGCTTGGCGTGCTTTTATTTACAGAGGTTTGCCTTTTTCTTGGCACCTGTACTTTCTGAAGACTTCCTATGGCTGAGTCAAAGCTATGATGAGATTCCCCAATGGCTTCTTGATCTATCCGAGAATCCGAACAGCTTCGTCTTGGTGGGGATCTTCGGGCCATGTTCTGGCAGCACCAGAACCGCGAAGATCCGACGTCTTTGCTTAGAGCTCGGGTTAGACTCGGGACGGGGACACAATCGAGTGGTGCAACTGGGAGATGTCTGGGAGAAGGAGCGGAGAAGGAGGTTTCATTACTTCATCTATGCCGACGACAACGGTGAGTTTACTTTCAAGGCCAACTGCTCCCCTAGTGGATGCGGGGATATCGGCTTGACACCGGACCCAAATGAGACGGCGCCTCTTTTCTTTCAGCGTCTGCTTCTCGTGCAGCAGCCGGCGGTATCATCCCCGATCCTTTGTCATAGTTGGGTAAAATTTCACATTTTTAAGTGTGCTTAAAGCCAATAAGGAATAAAATTTAAAATTTTATCCTTATCCCAATCATGAACCAGGATCTTGGGGGACGAGGACTGCCGGCCGGAGAGGATGTTCAGCTGCTCGACGGTCTTTGACCGGAAGTGTATCGCCTTCCATTGGTCCGTGCGACGTAACTTCCGAGTGTTCGAAGATTTCGTGGAGGTGTCCATGCTCGCCGCTGCCACTTGTTCTCTCAATGAGGTGATGGAAGCAGCCTATCGTGGATACACGTGGTCGTACCGGGCATTTCAGACAACCGGGAACGGCACTCGTTACCATGAGCACAGAGGAAGCTACATCCGAAACATGCATCCTTGCTTCCCCCGCAAAGTTCCGGGTGGCTACCAGGACAGTCAACCCTAGACCCTAAATCCTCAACCTTAACCCTTTACCTCCAACCCCGTAAACCCTCAACCCCAAAACCCCTAAACTTCTAAAGCCTAAATCCTAAACCCCAAACCCTACCTCTAAATCCTAAACCCCAAACCCTAAATCTTAAACCCCAAACCCTAAATCTTAAACCCCAAAACCTAAAACCCTAAGCCCTCTTCAGGACAGTCAACTAGTCGCCTGGATGCGGCCGCAACTCTCGCGATGCGCTTCCGAACAGCTCGGGCCATCATCAGAGCTTCTAGGTAGGGCTTTGGGACATTTTATATTTTCTCTTATTGGGCTTAAGAGGATCTTACCTACTAATATTTTTCAAAGGCTTTAAAAGCCCCTCCTAGGCTTCAGCGCGGTTGCGATCCGGAAGATCAGTGTTTGAACCCTCCCAGGAACGTGGATTATTCGACCTTTTTAACATGTTCTCCATGGGCAAGGGGGGAGGACTACTGCGTGAAGAAGCCGACAAGTGTGACACGTCTTCCTAAGCTGGACGGACAGCGCTTTGTGAACTTATACATGGGCGGCATGCTCGGGCATGGACTGCCGGATATTCCACAGTTGGATCCGACGAGCCCTCGAGATCGACTTTGCTCCCTCGGCCGCCGCAACTATAAAGGTCTCGTTCGCCACTTCGCGTCCAGGCCGACTATGAGAAAGATATCTCATCTGCCAGCCGATGGACATTGCAATGACCTCTGCAATGCGCTGTTGATAGGGGCTACAGTGCAAGCTAAGCATCCCAGCCATGCCGTCGCCGAGGTGGCCAAGTTGCAAGCCATAGAAGAAGCCAGGTCTGCCAGTAGTACCCGCTTTCTACTTTAGGGTCTTCTTATTGAAGCCGAATACTATGAACCAGGATACCCTGGTTGTTGAGGGGCTACAGGGGGAACCGAGGAGAGCCACATCTGCATGACAAGCTTTCTCCGCACCTGGTCCATGATGGACCTCCTTGGATCAGGAGCGATGTTTCAGAAGAAGGCAGCCCTTACATAGACTAGATAAGGATAGCGATAACTGTATGTAGGTGGGTAGGGAGGTAGGTATCCGGCCTGGATCCCGTGCCTTTGGAAGTGAAAGTGAAAAGGTAGGCAGGCAGGCATGTATATACAGAGTAGAATTTCTTAGTGTTCTCAGTCAACAAAAAAGCCATGGAATCACATTTCGAAGAACCCAGAGAGCCCAATACCCGTTAATCAAGGAATATGGCTTAAAGTATATAGGGACTCATATCATGATTTAAGCTATATATTCCTTAATTAAGGGGGTATTGGGCTCTCTGAGAACCCTGGAGGATGGTCTTCAATGTACGAGCTGCTCCAACGGGAGGTTGAGCGTCGCTCCCCCCAAAGCCAAGTTGGAGCTAGGGACCCAGTGGCTTTGACGGCAGCCGTGCCGCGCGAGGTCTGGGAATCCATTTCGATTCCGGGGGACCTCGGCTGGAGCGATTATCCGTGTCAGGTAGACACCTTTGTGAGGCTGATTCTTCGGGGTGTCGAGAATTCAACACTCCGTGCTGGATTTGTGCATGCAGCGCAGACTTACATTTTCAGCTGTGAGATCGGATCATGGTTGCACCCAAGTATGGCATCTGTTTGGGCGGTCATCGTGCTCATTGGACGCCTGGGCGTGAATGTGGAGGTCACGTCGCCTTGTGACACATAAGAAAAGTTTCCCAGAGGGCCAATATACATTGCCATTATGGAATTAGGTCCGCAAAACCATAATAGGGATGGTCTTTCAGTACCTACGTGCATTAATGGCAGTGTATATGGACCTTCTGGGTATAATGTAAGTCTCGCGACAGGCCATGCAAGCTCCGCACCTTGTCGCTGTGAGCGCTCAGCCCAATGTAGCCCGAAAATCCGAAACCACAAAAAATCCCACACATTTCTGGATCCTTAAAACCTAAAGCTCTACAGCCCAAAATCCTGAAACCCTGAATCCATAAGCCCTTCATAGTAATTAACTCTTGAAAGGCATCCGGACACGATCCCTTGCTTGAAGGAGCTCCTGTAGCAATCCTTAGACGAGCGTTTCCAAGAACAGCAAAGACGGCTGATAGCAACCTTTACAGGAACCCTTCATCGAACGCTTGCAGGGACCCTTCCAAGCAACCCTGAAAGGAAGCTTTGCGTGAGCAACCATAGCAACCCTTAATGGCACAGTCAAAAGACCCTTGAGTACACAGGTGCCAGCCATGGAGGTGCTTCTGAAGCACGTGGTGGAGACGGCGCGCACCCCGATCAGTTTGGGGTTCAGAGGGTTTCTGTAACGGTTAAAGGGGTTTCTTTGAGCGTTCCATGAGGGCTTTGGGAGTAGCCGTCGGGTTTGAGTTTATGGGTGATCAAGGATGGAGGGTTCAGGAGGCTATAGACTCCTTAACTGAGGGTTTAGTGATGAAGGGTTTGGGCTTTCAGTGATTTCGGCTTTTGGGTTCAAGTCGAGTCTATAAGTAGGGGGTTTAAGGATTTAGGTATTCAGGGGTTGAATATCCGAGGGTAGGTTTTCGATTTGCTTTTGAAAGTTGCCTCAGGTCTGCCGTAAGTCGCCTTCGTTTCTGTTACGCTTCTAAATCGCATGTCTACATAATCTGTCGTCAAAACCCAGTCACGGCCACTTGAATTATGTTGGCATTGTGTTCCAATGCGAACCATGAGGTTGGCTGCAAACATAAGTTAACTCGTACGAATATCTGTGTGGCGCAATATTAGCATCCTAAGCGCTGAGCCCCTTGCGTCGTTCTAGCACGGTGAATGCAGCAGAGGGTTCAGAGGCCAGACGTTAAGCTGGTTTTGTCTTGTAGTGAGTAGTTCTGATTCTTCTTGTTGTCAGGCTGATTTGCCACGACAGGGCATGAGCAATCTACTCACTTGCCGACATCATTTGACGATTCTGTTTCGAGCTGCTGTACTGCCAGAAATGTTTTTGTCGAATATAGGGTCCTTCATGATTACCTATACTGTTTTTGGCGGGCCCTTAGTATCATCGTGTTGTAATATACACCAAAACCATGTTCTAATTAATGAGGCCCTTATCCATAGACTTCTTAAAGGAATTATCATAATGCCATTTAACGGAACCTTATTCTAATTATAAAGACCCCTTTTTCTACACGTATCCTACAGCAAGCTCTAAGAAGTCGCAGGCCAAGCTGAAGACTGAAGAGGAGTATGTGAACACTCAGTGTGGCTTGGCTGATATACCGGGGGGGGGAAGGGGTAAATAAATAGAACAGGCTTTCTGGGTATATTCATAGGGATCCTTAGGGGTGTAGGGGGGAGGGGTGTAGGGGACTATATTTCCTTAAATAGGCCTTATTAGTCCTTATCATGGGCCTTAAGGCCCCCTACCCCCCCCCCCCCTCCCCCTACACCCCTAAGGATCCCTATGATATATTGTAGGTACCACTCACTCTATATGTACATGCATGTATGAACTTATGCATACGTAAAATAAGTACACATGTATATGTAATATGTATGTAATATATATATATATATATATATATATATGTGTGCACATGGACTATAAGGGAATACAGGTATTCTTTGTTTCGAGCTGCGATAGTATCCCTATAGGCCCGCGACCAGACGTAAACTCAAAGCCTACATAGGAAGATCGTGCACGACTGATTCGGGAATCCTTCGAACGAATGATGGCAGATGAATAAGCGACGGTGAAATGAGCGGATCCGTCGGGACGGTTTGAAACAGTCCTGCCTTGAATGAGCTCACTACGACATCATGACATCATGTGCCGCTTCGTGGGGTGATTGATGAGCCGATTGTCATGAACATTTTTCACAGGTTTGTGAGCTGCGAGCAAGGTAGACGGAGTCTTGCACACGGAGCCATAAGATGAGAACGCCAACCTGCCTGGACTTTACCTCTGCACTTACATGTCTTTTCACGACGCTGCGAGCGGCATTCACGGACTGAAGAGTCTCCAAGGCATGCGTGACTTGGGGCTCATATTACATGAGGCACCTACTTACCCAACCTTGAGCATAGATTTGGGTTTCCGTTCTGGATTGTCTGTAAAACAGAAGCAGGAGCCAAACTCTCCAACCCCAGAGCAGCGAGAAACTTCAATTTCCATACACATTCAACTCCAACAAATACAAAAGTCGAGATGTAAGAAAGGGCTTGAGAAGGCTGAGCTCAGTTTCAGGGGTATTACGGGCTTACCCTAGTCCCCAAAGACCAAACGCGCTGCCGCGCATGAAGCGGAGACCTTTGTTCGCCCTAAACCCTAAACCCTAAACCCTAAACCCTAAACCCTAAACCCCCAAAGGCCTGGTCCACAAGATCACAGGCGAAGGCGAAAACCGCCAGGAGTGGCAGCTCGGACATGGGTTGGTTAAAGCCTTAAACCCCAAACCTCTTAACCTTCAACCCCCCCCCCCCCCCCCCCCCCAAAAAAAAAAAGGCCCTAAACCCTGAACCTCTTAACCTGAAACCCCCCCCAAAAAAGCCCCAAAAAGCCCTAAACCTCTCAACCTAAAAGCCCCAAAAAGCCCTAAACCGATAAACTAAAGCCGTACTGGAGGCCTGAGTCTCCAAGGCATCCACGGGCCCTAAGACTCCATGTACCCATATAGTAAGTACTTAGGCCTTAAAGGGGTCCCTATATGGGTACTTTAAGGCCGAAGTACCTACTAGATGGGTACATGGAGTCTTAGGGGGGGTGGGGTGAAGGTAGGAAAGCGATTTCCGAAGAGGAACTCCTAGGATGCCCAGTAGTACCCTTATTAGGGGTGCCTTTAAAAGGATCTATAAGGGTTCCTTAAAGGGATCTATAAGGGTTCTATAAAAGGTTTTTTTGGTTTCCGAAAGTTAGGGGCTAGGATGCCCAGTAGTACCCTTATTCCCTTTTTGTAGTCCTAGGTTCCTTATAAAGTTACCCAATACCAAAAAGAGAGGCCTTTTTTGTCTTAGGTTACTGGGTATCCTAGGCTCTCATAAGTATTTGGGATTCTTCGTCTCTTTCTCTGGGTTGTTGGGGGCAAGTCAGCAGCCCTACCTACCCCTGTTCCAGTTCCTGATGTCTTCAATAGACCAGGGTCCACAAACTCGTCAAGCCTGTTCGATCCTAAGTCCTATATGCAAGACCTTAACAAGTCGTCATTGGTTTGTCGGTTTGGAGTTCCGCACATGCGGCATGCCACAGTTTTTGGAGGTACCGGAGGGCTAAAGGGCTCAAGACGTTGAGGCGCTCCAACGACACGGTTCTAGGGTGCGGGTGCTTTCAGGGTTTCGACGTTTCGATTGGAGATTGTTCGATATCTGCTTCAGAACCGTGTTGAAACACGGTAAGGTTATCATTCATGTTTGTTTCAGTTCTGGGGTGTGTGGGTTTCTAGGCGTGCTGGCGTCATAGTTACGCAGCATCTTTCCGTTTGGTATGCGACCAGTTTTGCAGACTTGGTGTGGGATACTGATTTTCGGACTTCGGGCTTTTGTTCTTGAGTTAAAGGGGAGAAGCTTGACATGAAAGATTCGTGCTGCACATCGAGGGGACAAGGATCCGAATATCCTTTGGCCCGTCACAGCCCAGGAACGAGAATTACTACCAGCCGCTGCACGATGCCACCAACGCAGGCTGGTGGCTTCTCGGGTCCCGACAGCAACAACAAACAATCAAACAAGACTAGCAACATCTTCTAATAAAAACTGTCACAATTCGGCAACCAAAGCTTCAAATGTGCCAGCAGGCACGGCCCGGCATCACCCTAGGGATATTGGTTGTTTCAGCTTTATGATGTAGCGGTTGCAAATGAAGGAGTTGCAGTTCAGGGCGCGGCATTTGGTTTCGGGGCTCATGGTTTACAGGGTATAGTCTATATGGATATGTATAGGGACATGTACAGGGATATGTAGAGGGTTGAGTGTTGAGGAGTTTAGGGGTTCCGGGGTCGCGGGTTGACAATTCTGCTGCCTTTCTCGACCATGGCAAGCCCAAGGCGAACCCTCATGGGTAACTAAGAAACACTAAGCACTGAAAGGCTGAAGCCGCATGAATGTCGAAGCTACATAAGGCTAAACGCCGTCCACGGCGGAAGTCCTACACTCGGTGCTCGCATAGCTTTGTCGCAGTGTTTAGAGTTTGGAGTCTCGCTGGTGTGGAATAGAAGGTTACGTTTAAGACTTCTCGTTCTGCAAGTGGAAACTCTTCCTTCCTTCACCCAGTTGCAGATAACTGCTCAGACGCGGGGCTGCGGAACCTTTGGAGAGTGCACTTATGCAGCAGACCGTGTATTCCTGCCCTGCACCATCCTGATTTCCAATAGCCCCCTGAACGCCAAGCATAAAAGCCTGAAAGGCATCCGCGACGTCTCCATGTGGCTCCTTGAGCATAAAGCCGATGCCAGAGCCAAGAACAAGGATCCTTGGGGGAGTTTACGGGTTCGCTGGGGATCTCACAATCAATGGCCCCCCTCCCACTCTTAATGAGGCATGCAATAGGGATGCTTCCCAGGTATTTGTTGAAAACAAGACTTGGGTTGAGAGTTGACTTCAAAGGATCTGGGAATCTACCGTAAGCCTCGAAGCAAACTTAAGCACTAGATTCTAGATCGTATGATTGTGGCTCTATCTGCAAACCCTAAACCCCTACACCCTGAACCCCTAAACCCTAAACCCTGCAATGCGGACCTCGTTTTT